AAGAGAATAAAAGAAAAAGAAAAGTAACAGAGACGTGACTGATCGCCCAAGCGGCTAACAAGCCAATCAGTGGTGAAGAGGATAAAACACAAAACACAAACAAAGCAAAATATCCAACATCGTGTCATGTCACATACTGCGTCTGGCAAAATTTAATAGTAAAGCTCCTTGGTATCTGGAGGCAGTAACTTACAGAAAAACAATGATAATCCTATTTAAGGATGTTTTGTCAGAGAATACTTCATAAAATAAGTTTCATATATTACTTCAATGAAAAGTAGTATAAAAAGGTAGTAGGTAGTAGGCAGCTACCAAACAGGGAGGTACTACCTCCTGGGAAGATATTGGAAGTATAATGTGTTGTCTAATGGTAGACCCTGCTGCCATATGTGACCAAGTCCCAGGTTGCTGATCTGACTTTCTGCCTCATTTACACACAATTGCAGGGTCTCAATTGTTTTTCTTACTATTGACAACACAACAAACATATATTGTTTCTCACTTTTGATCTTTTTTTCATTTTTGTATATCTTTATGTTTCTTTATTATTATTATTATTACATTTTCCCCTCCCAGGCCCTGATGTGGGTCAGTGACCTGTGCCCGGGTGGGCTAATCTCCGTAAAAAAAAAAAAATTATCTTATAAATAGTGACTCTGTTTGTTCATGTTTTAACAGGCGCGATGGCGTTGATCGATGTACTGTATACTTAAACGACCAAGATCCTTTGGATAATCTTAACATTAATGATGAACAATTGTTGGGGTTCTATTTATTTCCTCAATGTGAAATTTTGAAGCTGTGAGGAATTATAAGTTCTTTTTAGGTGGAGAATGAAGAGGTTGTGCCTGTACCAACCACACTTAACTGTTATTATTTGCGCCTTTCATATATATATTTTTTTAATTACTGTATAAGCTATGCAACTCGATTTTTTTGATAATTTAGCAATGTTTATGAAGCTTTTTATTGCAAATTGTACTTATATTTTAAATTTAAATTTAGTTGTAAACTTTGTGAACACAGTTATAGTTTTGGTTAATTTGTGCAAAATAGGCAAAAAGTGTAAAAAAGGTCCTTGAGCTGTTTTTTTTTTCTGAACATCTCTTGTACTCGGGGGCTGCTAGGTTTGGCCTTTTAAGGCCAGGCTGGCTTTTTCAGATGCTTTTGGCCTAAAAACAAATTTCATGCAAGTCATGGGCAGTGCATGGGACATAGGTTGTGTGACTGAGGCATGAGTTGTGTGACTGAAGTATGGGTGGTATGACTTTAGTATAGGTTGTATGACTGAAGCATGGGGGGTGTGAGTCGTGACTGAGGTATGGGTGATGTGACTTGAGGCATGGGTGGTTCAACACAAAGGAGAGGGACACAAAGTTCTAGAAAGGGGGACATATTTCTTGACAGGGGAACACAAAAGAACAGACAGTGGGACACATCAACTAAGGATGGGGACAGACCTCTTGCCACCCCTGGGGGTGTCCTAGACCACGAACCGCTTGGAACAGTCCCAGAACACCAGTCACCCTGGAGGCACCCCAGACCTCAAACTGCTTCTAGGGGTACCAAATGACTGCCAGCCACCCCTGGGGACGCCCAAGATCGCAGCCTCAAACTCACATGAAGACAAGAAGACTCACCACTCACACCACCACACACACACACACACACAGTCACTCGGACAATTGCACGAGTGCCCAATTTCTCTTCATTTATTCTCATGTAATATGCGGAAAATTAAATGAAATAAATTTATTCTGTATTCTTAGATTGGAACTACTAATATATCTGTAGTCTAACCTAGCTTAACCTGACTTAACCTAACAGGACCTAACCTAACCTGACTTAACCTAACAGGACCTAACCTAACCTGACCTAACCTAAATATCTTGTAGACCGCATGCTATAAGTAGCACTCTTAAATTTCATATTTATAATTCTCAAATTGTTCATAAAGTAGATTATTTTGTAAAGTATATTTTGGTTGACAGAAACTTTACTGTAGTGTGTAAGTCTATGGGAAAACATGTTTCACTTAATGTGGTACTTTTCTGGTGGTCATCTACAGTGTTGAGTGGTACACTGTACACCTACTGCATTTTAAAATGTCAACTGACACTTCATTGTGAGGTTTAAAAACAAATTACAGAACAGTATACTGATTACAGAGTATAATTTACAAATGCTATAACAAATACAGTACAGTACTGTATACTATTTATACTATACTGTACTATGTTATTAACTGGGAAACTATTTTCATATTTCTCTCCCTCTCATCTTCAAGACTTTGAGGATAACTACCCTTCAACTTCTTTTTCTTAATTTTATCTTCACTTGAGGAGCTGCAGGTCTGCAAAAGAAAGAAAAACTTAACTATAACAGAGACACACCATTTTACAAGACATACACTGTACTGCAAATATGTATTGTATAAGGATATTAGGCAATTTTATTCAACCAATTAACCTAAGGAACAGCGAGGCTATGGAAAGTTACCAGAGTACAATAAATATGTAGAAACACTGACACACAAATACTGACATATACAGTGGTCCCTCGGTTAACGAACACAATTCGTTCCAGAAGGTTGTTCGTTAACAGACAATTTCGTTAACCGAAACCATTGTTTCAATGGGTTTTTGGGTAATTTGTTCCAGCTCACCAAAAATTACCTAAAGTAAAAAAAAAATGCAATAAAGTACACTTACTTTGAGGTGTGTATGTAGAAGGCTCCTGGATGATGATGCTAATGTGAAAGGAGGAGAAAGGAGAAGAGAAGGAAGTGGGGGTGGAGGAGAAGCATTTTACTGCTTCTTGGAAGGTGAGTCACCTTCCATGAAAATGTCAGGAACCTCTGGACTGACAGATTCTCCAGCAGGAACATTCTCTCTCCTTCTTGAAGTGGAAGGCTGAGGGCTAGCATCATTTTCCCGATGCCTTTTAGTGAAGAAACTGCCAATTTTTGTTTGTGGGGCATTTCTCCTCCTCATCATTAACTGATTTTTGAAGAAGGAGACCACTGTGTCTTCAACATCACACAAAGTAAGTTCTGCTTCTTCCACATCAGGGTGCCTTGATGCCAGATTTCTGAACTTCTCCCAGTAGTGAACAACATCTTTCAAATCTGAAGTAGACATATGGTCATCACTTTCCCTTTCCTCCTCACCACTGTCAGCCTCTAACATCTCATCCAGTTGCTGCAAGTCTTCAGGAGTAAGTTCCTGCTCATGAGACATCACAAGCTCTTCCACATCAACCTCCTCCTGTAACAGCACAATTTGTATTATATAAATATTTACCCAAATGTATATTACCAATATATTCACCAAGTCATTCACCGATGTGTATGCATGAATGGGTGAGTTGACATTTCCTCTGGCCAGCGAGCGAGGTCAGCTGGGTCAGCGCCTCTCAACAACAACACCTGACGAGTAGCCTGTAAGGCGCCTTGCCTCACTTAAGTGCTCTCCCATATAAGTGCACTAAGACACTTCCCTTTGTATAGAAGAGAAGGTACAATATACTCTCAACTGAACTCAGTACCTGTGAAACTATATTTTTCTACAATAAAACAAAACCAACAAAGTGTTTACTTCAACCCTGCCACTTATCACATCAAGAACTAATATACTGTATATATAAATATATATTGTGTGACCTACACACTCCACTTCGAGGCCCAATGACTGACCAATGGACACAATCTCCTTGTCAAACTCTGCTTCTTCCTCAAATCCCTCAAAATCATGGACTGCTGATGGCCACAGTGCTTTCCATGCAGAATTGAGGGATCTAGTGGAGACCTCTCGCCATGAGGACACAATCAATTTTACAGCCTCCAGGATGTTAAATTGTGTCTTCCAGAACTGTGCCAGTGTTAGTTCAGGATCAGTGGAAGTTGCCTGATAACACCTCCTGAACATTTTCTTCATGTACAACTTCTTGAAGTTGCTGATCACATTCTGGTCCATTGGCTGCATGATTGATGTAGTGTTGGGAGGCAAAAACGACACTTTGACAAAGTCAAATTGAGCCTTCAAAGTGCTGGCAAGTTCAGGGTCATGACCAGGGGCATTATCCATAAGGAGAAGAGCCTTTAAAGGGAGTTTATTGGTGGTTAGGTAGCTCTTCACAGAAGGGCAAAACACCTCAACAGCCCATTCATTAAAGAGCTGTCTTGTCACCCATGCCTTACGGTTGGACTTCCAATAAACTCCAAGCTGTCCTCTTACCACTTTTTGTTGCTTGAACACCCTGGGGTTTTCAGAGTGGTAGACAAGCATATGTTTCAATCGGAAATCCCCTGAAGCATTGGCACCAAGCAATAGAGTGAGACGGTCTTTCATGGGTTTATGCACCAGGTAAAGAGGCTTCATCTCTGGTGATGAATGTCCTTTTGGGCATTTTCTTCCAGAACAGCCCAGTTTTGTCCATCAGCTGCTTAAACTCCACTACAAACTTTGCTGCTCCTTCTTTATCTGCACTGGCAGCCTCACCATGCCTAATAACACTGAAAATGTCACTTCTTTTCTTAAATTTTTCACACCAGCCCTTGCTTGCCCAAAAATCTTCGAACTCTGTGCCAGAAGAACCAGGTTGATCTTCCTTTAAATGTTCGTAAATCTCCCTGGCTCTTTCACAAATAAATTCTGTAGAAACTGAATCACCTTTCATTTGTTTTTCCCTAATCCAAATGAGAAGTAACCTCTCTGTTTCTGCTATCAATGATCTACCTTTAAACAGTCTGGTAGATTTGTCTCTCACTTTCGCTTCCTTGAACTTGTCTTTCTGTGCAAGAATTGTCGACACAGTTGATGCCGACATGCCATAGTCTTTACTAAGCACATTTGTTCTAATGCCCTGTTTATGTTTCTTTATTATTTCCTGTTTTACCTGGACTGAAATAACTTTTCTCGATTTCTTTGGAGCCATGCTGGATTCGATTTCAACACTGAAATTTTAAGTTTTATTGCTGTAAATAAAGAATATTTTCTTTAAATCAACACTGCACTGCGCTATATATTATCGATATGTAAAATATATTTCAAAATGACCAATAATTTGACTGTAAAAACAGAAAAATAGTTAATGTTCAAGAGAGTCTCAAACAAGATGTTCCCTCCACTGAACAGCTACACAAACTGACGCCAAACCTGGTGTGTTGAGTGGCTGTTTGGCGCGCTAAAAACTAGTTTCCTGTACTTCAATTATGTTCAATAATTGTTAAAATGACTAAAAATTTTAATATAAAACTTTTAAAATTATTGAATAGTATAAACTTCTTGATATTTACTCAGATGGTAATGAATTTAAGCCCTAGAACCGATTACTGTATTGGCGGACTAATACTACAGCTGGTGAACAGGCAAAAACATGTTAGGAAAAATTCATAAGGAATTCGTTAACCGAATTGAATATTCTTATGGAAGGTAATTCGTTAACCGAAATTTCGTTATCCGAGGCGTTCGTTAACCGAGGGATCACTGTATATAAATACACACTACATGCATGCACACACATATAAATACTTTTTAATTTACATTTCTTTGGAAAAAATAATTTCTTGTTCTTACTTTTCGTTTTGGACAGTCCTTACGTTTATGTCCTGAGCGTCCACACATATGACAAGTCAGTACCTGGCCAGCTTGTGCATGACATTTGTGGTCTTGTGGCTGACACCTTGAACATTTTGAGCAATGAATCCACGATGGCTTGACGCACTTCTTGCATAAGTCACAGTGCTTGTAAGTCTTTCCATCCTATGGGTTTTAGGAAAAAATTTAGCATTTAGGATTTTATAGTAAAGAAATACTCAGCTTAATGCAACATGGAGTGAGGGAGAAATAACATTGTCTCATGACAGCCAAGACAATATTTTTCTTAACATAAACAGTCGCCCACCCTTCCTGGTATATACTGTACAGTTATTGCTATTGATTTTATTGTTCAATATGCAAGCCTCCTTTTCTGTCTTGCCATCATAACCCAGTGAGAGATGATTTATGTAATTATAATCAAAGTTTCCTAAAACCTCTGAATTGTGTAAATTTTTTTATGTCATGATGGAAAGACAAGATGAGAGTTTTAAGGGGGAAAGATTGAGTTCAGGTGAAGATCTTGATTGAGCCCTTTTTAAATGTTGGCTTCTGAATGTTAGTTACGTCTACCTGGGAACTGAGTCTACCAGATGACACACTACAAGCTGAAGTCTGCCAAAGTAAGGACTGGTAGCCTTGTTGTCTCGTTTACAATTAAAGAAATGAAAGAACCAATCGATGAAAGTAATTAATCATGAAAGTCATGTTTGATGGTTTTACTCTTGGTACGAGGAGGTAATGAATATATAAAAAATAATAAAATATCTGTGCTTCTTCATGCGTCTGTTCTGTCTAATGACCTTGAGTGTAAGTGTGTGCATAATCTTAGCTGAAGTTTGTAATAATCATGGTATCCAGAACTTACTTTAGACATACATCCATTACACTCGTTACAGTGCTTGTTGTTTAGGCTGACCCAGCGATCACAAGGTTGACAAAAGTGGTAACCCTCGCTCTCAGGTAACGGAAACATTGACTGCGGTCGATTCACAAAGACTCGCACAGCAGAACCATTTTTCATGCCTTTTGGTCCTGAAATACAGAAAACTGAATACAAAGGAAGAACAAAGAGTAAACTTCCACATAGACGAAGATTACAATACAGTGGTCCCTCGGTTAACAAACACAATTCGTTCCAGAAGGTCGTTCGTTAACCGAAACCATTGTTTCAAAAGGATTTTGGGTAACTGGTTCCAGCTCACCGAAAATTACATAAAAAGAAAAAATAAATGCAGTAAAGTACACTTACTTTGTGGTGTGTATGTAGACGGCTCCTGGTTGATGATGATGATGATGGGAATTAGAAGTGGGGGTGGAGGAGAAGAGAAGGAAGTGGGGGTGGAAGAGAAATCACCCCATGTTTCATGCCGTCATTTCACCCATAAAATTTTAAGTTCACTAGGTGTAATTCAAGAATATTTTCTTAAAATAAACACTGCACTGCACTATATATTGTCAATATGTAAAATAAATTTCAGAATGACCAATAATTGTACTGTAAAAAAGTAAAAATAGTTTATGTTCAAGAGAGCCACAAGCAAGATGTTACCTCCACTGATCAGAGATACAAAGTGACGCCTTGCTGGGTGAGTCAAGTGGCTGATTGGTGCACCTAAAACTAGTTTCCTGTACTCCAATTATGTTAAATAAGTGTTCAAATGTCTAAAAATTTGAATATAAAACTTGGAAAATTATTGAATAGTACAAATTCTTGATATTTACTCAAATGGGAACGAATTTAAGCCCTAGAACCGATTACTGTATTGGCGGACTAATATTCCAGCTGGTGAGCAAGCGAAAACATGTTGACATGATTTCGTAAGAATTTCGTTAACCGAATTTTTGTTCGTTAACCGAATTGAAGATTCTTATGGAAGGTAATTTGTCAACCGAAATTTTGTTAACCGAGGCGTTCGTTAACCGAGGGATCACTGTGCTGTACGTAATTGCAATACAGGTAATACAATAAACGACAAGTGTGTTTAAGATGCAACTGTTTATACTGGGCTACAGAAACACACACAAGCTAAAGTATTATAACTGCTGAACAAAACAGACAGTTTGTATTAAATTAGTTACTTAGTTTTGAAGACTTTCTTTACTAGATTACTTTAGTGGAACACCTATGTTATTTTCATAATCATCTGAGATATTTCCATTATAATCTTCGGAGTTAAAGTGTGTGTGTGTGTGTGTGTGTGTATGTGTTTTTACGGGAATTAGCCCACCCGGGCACAGGTCAAACGACCCACAACGGAGCCTGGGGGGCAAAAAAAAAAGAAGAACGGAAAGAAATTGTAAATATAGAAAAAAAGGTTATACTGTATTAATCTACACCACGAAGATGCCGGAAAACCAGCTTTTTAAAGTGAGACAGATTGTAAGAGCATGGAAACACAGAAGAAGGCAGAGCATTCCACAGTTTGGCTGTGTGAGGAAAGAAGGAGGTACTATAATGGGTTATTCTCGTGTGACCGACATCCACAGAGAAACGGTGGGCACCGCGAGCAAGACGTGTGTTACGAACCCACGGCCTTACCGGCGGTACACAGGATGCCAAATCCACCGAACATTGCCCGTTAAAGTACCTGTAAAAGAGAGAGAGTGAAGCAACATTGCGGCGAAGAGAAAGGGAAGAAAGATTGTCGACTAAAGGAGGAGAGTTAATAAGACGAAATGCCTTTGATTCCACCCTATCTAATAGTTGGACAGAAGAAGAGCCACCCCAGATATGAGAGCAGTACTCCAAGTTAGGACGAATGAATCCCTTATATACTTGGAGCAACTGCTCAGGAGTGAAGTAGCTGCGGCATCTGTACAGCATTCCCAACTTATGGGAGGCAGCTTTAGTTATACTAAGGATGTGTGATTTCCAGGACATATTGGAGGAAATGGTGAGGCCTAACATATTTATTTCAGAATTTGGCAGGATGATAGCGTCCTGAAATGTAATTGGTGGGAGATCGTCTGATTTACAAAGTGTAATTGGTGTGTGTGTGTGTGTGAAACACCCACCTGATGAGTACAGTGGATGGTTGTCATAGTCCACCTGGTAGTCGAGCATCGTGAAGTTAGGCAAGTTACTGATGACCTGAGGCTCCATGAAGTAAGGGAAAATGAACAGCACTGAAATGAAAGAATAAAAAACAATTCAAATTTACAAATAACTACACATTGTCTGTACACATTAATATAACTGAAATATCGCTGAAAGAAGAGTGTGAATTCAATGCTTGTATCAAGTTCAAGACCAAGTCTAAAAAGAATTCAATCATGTCTTTAACTACCACCACCCAACAAAATTTTTCAATCCTGTTACTTCCTATTTCTTTAGTTTGCCCCATCTACTCCTAACAACAAACATTCCTATTATATGCAGGGGTAGAAATTCTCATACGCCCGGCTGCCCGAGGCGACCAAAATATCAGAAGGGCGAGTAGATATTAGAAATTTACTGGTTTCTAATTGCCTGGTAGGCGACTAGCATGTCAGATTAGCAGTATCTAGGAGCTATCTAGGAGTTTCGAAAAAAAAAATTTTTTGACAGTCTGCTTTACCATAAGGAAGTGCTTAGTGCCCAGTTTATAAAAAGCATTGCAAGAGCAAACGTGTATGGTACACGTGAACCCACATACAGTCGACCCTCGTTAATTCGGACCCCTTTAATACGGATTTCAGATAAATCGGACGAAATCTGAACTGTCCATATCAAATTTCTGGTTCTGGGATTGTCCCAGTTGCAATTGGGGTTGCAATTTCAAATTCTGTGTCATTACTAAGAAATAATGAAGTCACTGGTGTACTGCACTCTGAGATTAAGAGAAAACGGACGACTCAGGCGTCCTGAAGTGAGAGAAAAAGGACTTCTTTGACGGGGCACTCAAATAAAGAGACATAGCTACATGTTTTGTGGACTACCCACTTTACAGTAGCCTTTTCATCACTTTGTAATAAACCTCGCCATGCCTATGTGTTTCTGATGATTACCATAACATTATATATTTATATATTTAGCGGTTGTACAAACACAAGGCCTCACACATGCCACTCAGACTGACAGATTTGACAAGTTTTACCAACCATAAAGACAGTTGAAGCTTTAAACATCACTCACAATGGATCTTGAATATTCTAACTGTAATCAGACATACCTAAGTTGCCTCAACAATTGCAACCCCAGTTGCAATTTCAAATTTTGTGTCATTACTAAGAAATAAATAAGTCACTGGTGTACTGCACTCTAAGATTAAGAGAATACGGACGACTCAGGCACCCTGAAGTGAGAGAAAACGGACTCCTATGATGGGGCACTCAAATAAACATACACATAGCTGTATAATGCAATATTATGCAATATTAACCCCTAAATCGGTTAATTCGGACAATCAGCTAAAACGGACACCCTTCCCCCCTTATTAGTCCGTTTTAACGAGGGTCGACTGTACTTGGTCGTTGTGCCCTGCTGCTCCCATGAGTTGCCAAAGGGGATTGTTTGATATGTGGAAGAATGTCCATTGTGGTCTATGGGGCATCTGTCCTCCTCACCATTAACTTATGTTTAAAGAAGGAGACCACTGAGTCCTCAACATGACACAAAGTTAGTTCAGTTTTTTTCCACTTCTGGGTGCTTTGAAGCCAGTTCCCTGAACTTCTCCCAGTGGTAAATCACATCTTTCAACTGTTTAGCTGACATATGGTCATCACTTTCAATTTCCTCCTCACCACTGTCGGCCTCTAACTGTAACATCTCATCCAGTTGCTTCAAGTCATCAGGAGTAAGTTCGTCCTCATGAGACATCACAAGCTCTTCCACATCCTCCTCCTCCACTTCAAGGCCCAATGACTGACCAATGGACACAATCTCCTGGTCAAGCTCTGTTTCTTCCTCAAATCCCTCAAAATCATGGACTACTGATGGCCACAGTGCTTTCCATGAAGAATTGAGGGATCTAGTGGAGACTTCTTGCCATGATGACACAATCAATTTTACAGCCTCCAGGATGTTGAATTGTGTCTTCCAGAAATATTTCAGTGTTAGTTCAGGATCACTGGAAGTTGCCTGATGACACCTCCTAAACATTTGCTTCATGTACAACTTCTTGAAGTTGCTGATCACATTCTGGTCCATTGGCTGTATGATTGATGTAGTGTTTGGAGGCAAAAACAACACTTTCACAAAGTCAAATTAATATTCCAAATTTCTGGCAAGGTCAGGGTCATGACCAGGAGCATTATCCATGAGGAGAAGAGCCTTTAAAGGGAGTTTATTGGTGGTTAGGTAGCTCTTGACAGAAGGGCAAAACACATCAACAGCCCATTCATTAAAGAGCTGTCTTGTCACCCATGCCTTACGGTTGGACTTCCAATAAACTCCAAGCTTTGTTCTTACCACTTTCTGTTGCTTGAACACCCTGGGGTTTTCAGAGTGGTAGACAAGCATAGGCTTCAGTCGGAAATCCCCTGAAGCATTGGCACCAAGCAATAGAGTGAGACGGTCTTTCATGGGTTTATGCCCAGGTAAAGAGGCTTCATCTCTGGTGATGAATGTTCTTTTGGGCATCTTTTTCCAGAACAGCCCAGTTTCGTCCACATTGAACACATGCTGTGGAAGATTATTTTCTTCTTCCATCGGTTTTTTAAATTCATCTAAAAACTTTGCTGCCCCTTCCTTATCAGCACTAGCAGCTTCACCATTCCTAACAACACTGAAAATGTCACTTCTTTTCTTAAATTTTTCGAACCAGCCTTTGCTGGCCCGAAAATCTTCAAATTCTGTGCCTGAAGAACCAGGTTGATCTGCCTTTAATCCAGATGATAAGGAACCTCTCAGTTTCTGCCATTAGGGATCTACTTTTAAACACTCTTGTAGATTTGTCTCTCACTTTCTTCTTTAAATTTGTCTTTCTGTGCAAGATTTGTCAACACAGTTGATGTCGACATGCCATATTATTTGCATAGCGCATTTGTTCTAATGCCTTGTTCATGTTTTTTTATGATTTCCTGCTTGGTTTGGATTGAAATCGCTTTTCTTGATCTCTTAGGCCCCATGCTGGATTCAAACAATGTCAACACGTGCTTTTTAAAGTTAAATTTGTTGTAAATAAAGAATATTTTCTTTAAAATAACACTGCACTGCGCTATATATTGTCAATATGTAAAATAAATTTCAAAATGACCAATAATTTGCTTGGAAACACAGAAAAAAAGCATTTAGTTGAAGAGAGTCTCAAGCAAAATGTTACCTCCAGTGAAAACAGAGAGAGACTAATGCCTGTCTGGTGTGTTAAGAGGCTGGATGCCGCGCATTAAACTAGTCACTTTACCTTCAATTATGTTCAATAATTGTTAAAATTATTAAAAAATTTAATATTAAACTTTTAAAATTATTGAATAGTATAAACTTCTTGATATTTACTAAAATAGTAAGGAATTTAAGCCCTAGAACCGATTAATGTATTGGCGGACTAATACTACAGCTGGTTGACTGCCCAGTGCAAGCCAAAACTTGTTGAGTTCGGCTCGTAAGAAACTCGTTAACCGAGGGGTTGCTCATTAACCGAATTTAAGAATCTTATGGGAGGTAACTCGTTAACCGAGGCGCTCGTTAACCGAGGCGCTCGTTAACCGAGGGACCACTGTACAGTGAGTTCTGCTATAACGCGTGTCTTGATAACGCGAATTTGCTCTAACGCGATTTATGAATAGAGGAACGATATTTGTATAACGCGAACGCTTGTTTGCTGTAACGCGATTTTTGCTTACTATTTCTCCAATTTTGTGGTATTAACTGTGAAAATGGTAAAGAAGAATATCTCCAAGAAGCGTTCTGATGATAGAATTCCCGGTGATTATCGTTACATTCATATTTTTTCAAGGTAAAGTGTTACATTTACTGTATGATTTCATTATTAGATATGAATGTAACATTTATTTATACTGTGCTATCCTTTGTGTTAGGCTAACTACTAAATTTTTTCGATTTCAAGTAATCTGCACCTAACCCTATTTTCTCCATAAGCCCTGTTATTTCTATTACGCGATTTTCTATAACACGATATTTTACAAGAACACAACTATCGCGTTATAGCAGAACTGACTGTAGTATAAAAAAGCAAAGACTTGTGTCTGGTAAATGCACAACAAAGCACCAAATCTAGAAGTTAGGGAAATTCACAGTCAAAAGGATGGAAATTAAAATGCTTGAATTTATTGCTGAAGATTACCTGGCTGTTATCTTTAAGTATCAGTAATTAACATGAAGACTTTTACTTTCAGAGGAAGAGAGACGATACATGACCTTCATACACTTGTCCCTGACACTGTTTGTTATTACCATCCAAGGTAGACAGTGTAAATAGTCTGTCGTGCAAAATGTATTGTCCTAATATTATTAGAATCTTTTAACCTTCTGTCACACTCTGAAATATTTTGTCCTCATTTTCTTGTAAACCTTACTAAAACATTGAATCAGCCAAGTACTGTATGTGCTCTCTACCAAAAACACAACACTAGCTTTTAGCACTTTTCAGAACTAATTAATATCCTACAGCCAGTCAAAGTGTTGTTTAATAGTTTTTGTGTAGAATCACAGAATTATGAAAGAGTAAATAACAATGTCACATGAGAGAGAATGTTAAATTTCTAAGCTACCAAAATAATTGTTTGTTACACAGTGAAACACACTGGAGGCACGAACAACTTTATACATTAGCCAGTTGTGACAACTGACCTGGCAGCTGTGTCTGAGAGTGTACACCACAGGCTTTTTTCCATTCCTCCTGGATCTTGTTTAAGTTATGAGCGAGCAACTCCATCCTACCACCAAAAGGTGGATCAGAAACTATTACCAAATCTGAAGAAAAAGACAACATCTTACTTTGATTTATCTATAATTATGACATCTTAATATGCTACATTTACACCTGTCACTGATAACATGTACAGGTTGACAACCCTTTATCCGAAATTCCGAAAACCGAAAAGCTCTGAAAACCGAAAGTTTTTTGTGGAGCTTTTTTTTTTTTTTTTTAACAGGGATTAGCCCACCCAGGCATAGATCACTGACCCACATCGGGGCCTGGGGAGCAAAAATGTAATAGTAATAATAATTATTCATCATAAATAAAAATTTTAATTAAAAAATACACCAAAATAAAATAATAATGACAATAATAATAATAATAAAATATAATAATAAAATGTATAATAATAATAATGATGATAATAATAACAATAATACTGTATTAATAAAATAATAATAATAATAATAATAATAATAATAAAGAAATACAAGAATGAAAAAAAGATATAAAGTGAGAAACATGACCTAGACCTATGAATTATTATTATTATTATTATTATTATATTTTCGCCCCCCAGGCCCCAATGTGGATCAGTGACTTGTGCCCGGATGGGCAAATACACTGAAAAAAATAAATAAATAAAAAATAACCATTCTGAAAACCGAAAAATTCCGAAATCCGAAATGTCTCTGGCCCCAAGGATTTCGGATAAGGGATTGTCAACCTGTACTGTTCATTAGAGCATGAGTAATGTCTTTAAACATTAACATACCCTAAAATTCTTCATTCTAAAATATCTCACACTAAGAAATCTAATGCTTACATCAACCTAGTTTCTTGTTACAGCTATACTGCAGATTACTTACTCTCACATCCCAAGATGAACTTTTGGTACATGGTCTTCGCCTTTTGTCCATCGAAAAAGTGATGATTGAACATGTTGTATCGGATGAAGCGCTCAGGTGAGAAGAATGAACACTGTCAAAAAACATTACACAAAGACATATAACACAATTTCCTTGATGCAATATTCTACTTTTCTTTGTAATTTAGAAAAGAAATACTAGAATGAAATAATGGGGAGAAAGTAGTAGGTCATAATCTCACATGGTGGTTCCTCTATGGACAACAATGGTCTTCCACATACTGTACACTGGCTACAACAGAGCAGTCTTACTCATGATGTAGTTACCTCAAGGAAGTTACTGCCAATGAAGAAATACCCCCTTGGGATGCAGGTACTGTACATACATAAGTGACTGCTGACTCACTACAGATTTGTTCTTAATTAATTATGAGAAACTGCACAATTAAACAAACTCCTTACACTTCTGTACAGTATATTTCTCCATACAGGTGTTGGTGCCTTGAATTTCTAGGAATACAGTTAAATTGGAGTTAGCTATAATGTGAAACAGCTGCCATTTGCTTCTAATATATAATGAGAATGTGTGAGAAAGAATGAGGATTACCTTAAAAATTGAACACAAGGAGGAAGTAAAAGTAGTTAAGGTGATAAAAGAAGCAGTGGACACTAACAATCTTACAAGAAAAGATGTACTGTAGTTTGGAAATAATACATAAGACTATTAATACAAACTATCATGTGGTTTGCACTGGAGAAAACAGCCATTAGAAGCAGATACTGATCACTCCATTAAACTATGAATCAAAATCAACCACAAAAATAATCATGACATCTTTATGACATGTTAATCATCAGTGTTTCTCTATACAGTAGTACCAATGATACAATAATATGTCATAAATAATTCTTTTTACAATGGGTATCTACACAATAATTCTTCGTTCATTTATTTACAAACATTAAAATTCTAAACACTGAGATATTAAATGCATACAGTCAGCTACACTTATTACTGGTACAGTAGCTGGAGTATTTTGTGAGATGTGCCAACTGTAGAATGCTATCTAGCATTCTTAGTCTGGCTACTATTGTGAAGTTCCTTAGGGCCATTCTGGGAGTTTTAATATGATGTAAACAAACACAGAGGTGCCACATCTCTCAAAATCCACCAGCTACTGTGCCAGGCATTTGTGTAGGTGACTGTACATCACAGCGAGCACAAGAGACAACAGGCCCCCCCCCAAATTCGCGGGGGTTAGGTTTTCAAAATGGCCGCGAATCGCCAAATCCGCGAATAGCATATGCTGACTAGGGGGGGGCATTTTTACTTGTTTACAAAGAAATGTAAATTCCCTTTATGTGTATGCCCTTAGGACAATTATTTCTTTCACCTGTAATATAATAATAATAATAATCAGAAACAAGACACTCCTCAAGTCCGTGCTTTATTACTTTATTAATAAAGCACAGACTTGAGGGTAGACCGTCATATTTTTAATAAACTTGTTTCTGATTATTTGTGAGAGAATTTTCCCAATATTATTTATTTGTATGTGTTTTGTGTGTGTGAGTCAACACACACACACACATATATACAATACAGATACAGGAGATTATTGTCTCTAGAACGAATGGCTCCCTGTCCCAGCCGCAAAAATGCCGGCAACTTTAAAACTACCTACAGACATTCTTAGGTACATCAAGAGTGTCATCCGCGAATAATAGAGGACTGCGAAAAAAAAATCCGTGAATTTTGGGGCCCCTTGTACTCACATATCTGTCATCAATGTCCATCATGAGTGAGGACATGTTGAGGTGCGGACTGTTGGTAATGGCTTCATGAATGCGTGGGGCACCAACACACACAACTCTTGAGGCCTTTAAGTTCTGTAGCATACCCACAATGATGTCAACACTGCTGCTTGCAAAGAGATACTGAGCTTCCAGCTTTGCACTCTCCTTTGGTGGCAAAAACTGAAAATGAACACATAACATGAACAAGAATTCATACACGTTTCTCTATAAATAACTATGACGTACTGTAGAGGTAAATATAAAATTCTTACTTTTGTTTAAGCTGACTAAAAAAGTGTAATTCATTCAACTTCTTGAGTATAAAATGTTTATATATATGAATAAAAGTAAGACAGAGTTGAGTGTTGAGCATAGAAGTAATGATTTGTAATGTACGAGTAGCTAATGTATAGAACTTACACACAAGTTACTGAAGTTTAGCACAGTACATGTACCTAGAGAAAAAAGATAAATACAGTACTGCAATAAAAACAATTCCTGAACTAAAATGATCAACATTATCATTATTATTAATATTCCTATTACTGTATTACTATTATTATTATTATTACAGTATTATTAATGAGTGAATCCCTCACTTACCGTTGAAGGAGAACAGAGATGCTTGTTGGTGATGGGGGAGATGAGAACACATGAGTTATGATCTTGCCTTTCATTTTTCCTCAATAACGTTGAACAAGAAGTACAGTAACGTCTATCAGCAGCTGCCAAGTCCTTTATATCTTCCAAACTACGGTGGTGAAGCAGACATACAAAAATGTTCATATTACTTTAAAATTTTTTGACATGCATCATTACATTTTTAATAATGAATACAAAGATGATTGATACTATAATGACTTGACTGTGAGAGGAGATGTGACCTTATTGTTCATACAGCATCATGCCTCTGTTATGCTCATAACCATCACTCTACAACAGTAAGGATATATAGTACTGTATGCTCAGTGGTGGGCACAGCTAAACGAAAAGATAGCTTCACTAACCACTAATCTGCTAACTAAAAAGTTAACTTCGCTAATGCTAAACAGCTAAAAAAAAATAGCGGAAGCTAACGCTTACCGCTAACTTTTATTATATGAGTTTAGCTTCTTTTTTTGGGGGGGGGCTCTAAAACCCTTAAAAACAGACCTAGAGAGCTGAAATTTTCATATGTTGTCTTGTAGCTTAGACATAGAGCTTTCCAAAAAGGTATAGCATGCCAAGATCAGATGATCAAGGTGTACACAAATAATTAAATGAACAAATTAAATTAAACATTAGTTTACATTCAAGTTTCAACATATACTTTATAATCTTTATTTACTGTACGAAAAGACAGAAAGCATTAAACGAATCCAAAAACTATAGTACTGTATAGCATAGGTAGCAAATAGCATCATGCCAAGATCAGATGATGATCAACTTATCAAGGTGTACACTGTACACAATTTCACAAATAATTAATTTGCATTATCATACAACCTGTCGGCCTTATTCATTATTCATGTAAATATACAATACCAATCACATACACATTATACCAGTGCATTTTTATATAACTTATTGTTGGTCTTAGTCATGTAAATAAACAGAAAACTCTAAACTTTAATGAAAAGTAAGTTTTTAGAAAATTTTGTTTGGCGCACACCTTGGATGACATCCTGGTTATGAACTTATGCAGTACTTAGCATAACCAAATATATTGACACAAAAAAATCCTAATTAAATTAACAAATAAATGAGAAATGAAATTATACATTAGTTTACAATTACATTCTATGATTCTTTCAACATACACTGACAGTCTTTATTTACATGTACTAATACGCAGTCAGCCAAGCGTGCCTGACTGTCTGTTGGAGACACGTGTCGCGGCGTCACACGCTTACAACAGACAGGAACAAACATGTATAAATTTTGTTAGCGGAACTAAAATTAGCGGAAGCTAATTGGTCCGCTAATGGTTTCCAAAGTTAGCGAAAACGCTAATCCGCTACAAGAAAGTTAGCTTCGCTAATTAGCGGTTAGCGGAACCGTGCCCACCACTGTGTATACTATACACTGGATACTTAAATATTATCCTCCCATTTACCATTTATATCTTTCCTTGTGTGACCTTACAGGGCTGGATTCCTTAACCACTTGATCCCACAACTCTTTCTTACTACTTGTTATTTTCTGATCTGCCCAGTGGAAAAATGCACAATCACGTCGGTCCCGACAAGCAGAGCAGGCATAGAACTGACGGCTCTGTCCGTTGCTTTGGAATCTTTCAAATAGTAGAGTGGGGCCTGTTAAAACAAGATTAAACAAGCTTATTGTATTCTATAATTGCATAACAGTACAGTACATATTAAACAGTAGACAATAAACATCCCGGGTATATATATATTGTACTCACTACAGAATTTAAAGTTCCTTCTTATTTCAAATGTTGGATCATGACCCAAATATTCCCATTGTATATATTATATTAGTGACTGGGAAGACGAAAGTTAAGTTTACAGGGTGAGGTGGAGTGAGTAGAGAACTAAACCCAGGTGTTAAGTGTTCGTCCAACATTGTGTTATAATCATGGCATAAACTACTGTACATTAATGAATAATGAATGATGATACTGTAGTTTATAAACCATGTAGCTACTGTTTACACGTGTTATGCTCAATATTGATTTACGGGTGTCTATAACAGAAACTATTATTAATTAAAGCAATATGAACAAAGCAAATATAACCTAACCAAACAATAATCTTTATGTGAAACAAACCGAGACGGAGATTAGGTAAAATTATCGTTTCGGTCATCCCAATGTTTTTCCGACAGTTTTTGACGAGTTTTGAATGATTTTGATCTTACCTAACCTACCCATACCAACCTAACCTAACCTAACCTAACCTACCCATACCAACCTAACCTAACCTAACCTACCCATACCAACCTAATCTATCCTAACCTAACCACAGAACCCACGAATTATATTTAACCAAACCTAAATTATTAATATTCCCCACATGACTGAAACGATAATAATAATGGAGAATTCTTCACGATATAAAATTTACCTGTTATTAAAAAATTAGCTCAAGTTGGTTATATTGCCAAGGTAAGGTAAGTTTAAAGTCAAAGAATACGACTGGGAGCCCAAAAGACACATTCACCATCATATTTTTTTGGAGGAATATATATTTAAGTTAAAAAAGCTATATATTACAGGTACTAGAGCTAGCATATAATATTTACCATGTATACACAATGGGTTATCCTCAATGTTGTTAATTACTACATCCACACCGAGCTTTCCTATATTGGCCATGTTAAGATCTCCTATATTTTGTTATATATAAAGTTTACTAAAGATTTCTTCATTCCTTCACATTACTCTGTCTTCTCCTCACATCTTCCTTCTCTTTACTGTACTCCTCCTTATCTAACTACTTAAACCACATTTCAGTTCTCTCAACATCTGTAATCTTCGTTTTTCCTCTTTTCTTCACTAATGTTAACCTCTTTTCCTTTCACTTGGTATTATCACGTTGTTGTTATCATCAGCCAGTTCTTGTACAGGTAATCCTACTTCAATCTTCATAACCCCTTTAGGTACTGGTATGACGTCACATTACAGTAATAAATATTAACTTGTGTTTTTAGTGTTTCAATAAGCAGTAGGCAGGAGGTACTACCGCCTGGGAAGATATTGGAAGCATAATGTGTTGGCTAATGGAAGACCCTTATAGCATCACAAAAATTTTGACTAAGTCCCAGGGGCTCAATTGTTTCTCTTACTTTAATAACAGAACAGATACTGATCAGTTTTATTTTTTCTATTTCTGTATTTAATATATGGTTTTTTTTTTCTTTTTGCCCCTCAGGTCACGTTTTTTTAAGTTTAACAAATTTATTGGCAGAGCTTGTAGTACAGTTTGCCTATTCTGAGTAATTCAGTCAGGTCTTGACACTGAGGGTGGTATCACTTCTCACTGCCACGCAGGACAGAGGTTCACACACAAAGAAATACATCATATTCATTAACAACTATAAATGTATAAAGGTCAGGTTCATATGGGTAATGTCACTGTTCACTGCCATGCAGGACAGAGGTTCATACACAAAGAAATACATCATATTCATTAACAACTATAAATGTATATAGGTCAGGTTCATATGGGTAATGTCACTGTTCACTGCCATGCAGGACAGAGGTTCGTACACAAAGAGTTGCATCATATTCATTGACAGTACATATACATATATGTAAACACACACACACACACACACACATACATACATATCCGTATATACATACACATATACATGTACACGTACATATACATGCACACACGCACACATACATACATATACGTCGGTCAGATTCATGTGGGTAATGTCACTTTTCACTGCCATACAGGACAGAGGTTCGTACAAAAAGAATGGTCACGATGTGTGTTGGTGACCTTGTGGGGTATGGTGATGTTTGTGTTCTCACTCAGGATGGGATGGAGAAAGGAAACTCACAATGTGCTCTCTGTATACATGTTGTATTGGATGTACAATGTAGCTTGGTGCTGGGAAGGCAGCATGGTTACAAGCGTGATGTAGAGAGAGCTGGTTGGTGAGGGTGCTCAGAGGAGGACAGCTTGTGGGTCGCCATGCTCGCCGGCGGGAGCGAGGACCGCCAGGCAGGCGGAGGTGGTGTAGCTTGCTGAGGCTGTAGCTAGAAGAAGAGGGAGCTGGTTGGTGAGGATGCTCAGAGGAGGACCAGCTTGTGGGTCGCCATAATCTCCGGCGGGAGAGGACCGCCAGGCAGGCGGAGGAGGAGGAGGTGTTGCTGGCTGGTTGGTGTAGGTAGAAAGAGAGAGATCACCACGAGGTCAGGTCTTTTATAGCGGAGGTAGGCGTGGGTAGATAGTTGACCCCCGCTCCGTGGGCGGCGCTGGTTGACCTAGACCACAAGGCATACACTGGGGAATTCATGGGGTCGGCTATGCAGCGACAAACAGCGTTTGTAGGGGAGAAATCCACTACAATACTCCCTCCTTCCCTCCAGGCGGTGTAGGAGACTTGTTGTCTGCAGGGTTGCACAGTACATGTGAGGCAGAACGGGCGGTGCATGCCTTATGTGAGACAACGGCGATGGCGTGGATGAGCCGGTCGCTAGAGACAACTGTCTAGATACACAATATCTGTGGGAGTAGAGAGGGAGAAAAAGGGTGTGTGGAGGCGATGAATGTTGTGCTTCCCTCACGGCAGGTACAGAGTCGTCAGATGCGCCTGCTGGGGTGTGTGGGCCTGGGTCAGGAGCAGGGGCTGCGTCAGCAGAAGCGGATGAGGGATCGTGACAGCAGCTGGGTCCACGACAGCAGCCGGGTGCAGAACATTAGCAGGGAGTACCTGAGGGAGAAAATAGGGGTGTGTGGGTCTGCACTCAGGCGCAGGGGCCGCGTCAGGAGAAGCGGCAGGGGGTACTGCTGGGCCGGGGGCGGCGTCTGAGGCAGGACGGGTGTGTTGGTCCGCGTCAGGAGCAGGGGCCACATCAGGGGCGGCAGGGGGTACTGCTGGGCCGGGTGCGGCGTCTGAGGCAGGACGGGTGTGCTGGGGTCGGTAGGACGTGGTGCTTGGGGCAGGAAGAGGAGCTGGTGTCTGCTTAGAGAAGCAGTGCTGCTCTAGGGTGTCTAACCTGCGGTGTAGAGACAGTAGCTGTAGAGCCGATGAGAGCTGCTTCTTGGTTGATAAGCCAGTCTTCCATGTTGCTTGAAGACTGGGAGCGTGATTTGTTTCTCCTCCATCCTGTGTGAGTGCGAATCTCCGGGGGTCACCATTTGTGGGGAACAGGTGATGTTTGTGTTCTCACTCAGGATGGGATGGAGAAAGGAAACTCACAATGTGCTCTCTGTATACATGTTGTATTGGATGTACAATGTAGCTTGGTGCTGGGAAGGCAGCATGGTTACAAGCGTGAGGTAGAGAGAGCTGGTTGGTGAGGGTGCTCAGAGGAGGACAGCTTGTGGGTCGCCATGCTCTCCGGCGGGAGCGAGGACCGCCAGGCAGGTGGAGGAGGAGGAGGTGTTGCTGGCTGGTTGGTGTAGGTAGAAAGAGAGAGGTCACCACGAGGTCAGGTCTTTTATAGCGGAGGTAGGCGTGGGTAGATAGTTGATCCCCGCTCCGTGGGCGGTGCTGGTTGACCTAGACCACGAGGCATACACTGGGGAATTCATGGGGTCGGCTATGCAGCGACAAACAGCGTTTGTAGGGGAGAAATCCACTACAACCTGTGCCCGAGTGGGCTAAGACCCCCCCCCCCAAAGAAAAGAAAAAATTATATATTTATATATATATATATATATATATATATATATATATATATATATATATATATATATATATATATATATATATATATATATATATATATATATACAGATAGACCCCGACTTACGACGGGGTTAGGGACCCAAATCCAAGTCGTAAGTCCGACATAGATAAAAAAAAAAATTTTTTTTTTAAATAAATAATCTACAATGAAATACAGTACAGTAAAAGTAATGAATAATGAGGAATGGATACAGTGTGACAGCACTTACCTTTAATGTAGTCAGCTGAATGCACATGGGGCCCCCATAATTTTCTAATTATACATGGAGACTACATTAACTGGAAACGTTTCGGTATAGAAAATGCGTGTGTCATTTGAGAAATTTTTTTTTTTTCGTCGTTTTTTAATGTATATATATATATATATATATATATATATATATATATATATATATATATATATATATATATATATATATATATATATATATATATATATATATATATATGTATATATATATATATATATATACAGTTGGTCCTCATATTACGCGGTTAATGTAACCCGGAGGGTCCCGCGGAAAGTGAGGAACGCGTAAAGTGAACAACATAACATATGGGATTAATTGAAATGGAGTCCAGGCCGATCCCCAAACTCCACTTTTTGACGACACATAACTATGTTGCAGTAAAAATTTTATCTTAACTTTATGATGGTATGAAAAAACAAGTAATATAGAAGAGGTTAGGTTAGGAAAGATAAAGGTTAACATAGGAAAAATGAAGGTTACCTTAGAGAAACTAAAAGTTAGGTGGAACACTTACGGTAGTAGAAGAGATGGGTCGGCATACGGGGATGGAGGCTGGTTCCGAGGCAGAGGGCAGATTACTGGCCCTCAGGTGAATCACCATTACTAGGTGAATCATCATCACTGTCACTTACAGTTGTCAGGGCTTCCCTGACAAATCCCTCAAAGTCAACTTCACTGTCACTATCACTGGCTTGGGCTGGCTGTGGTGGGTTGCGGGTGAAGAAATCTGTTATGCTTTGCTGACGGCTGGCGTTGATGTTGTCGTGATACACCTTGATGTACAGTTCCATAGCCTGCACCAGCCGGTTATGGAAGACTTCATAGCGGTCATCGTCATTGTCGCGGGAAAGGAAGGACTTCATCTTCTCTGCACACTCCATGGCACCCTTAATATCACTATGACTTAAATTGTGTTCTTCGGAGACTGCCGCACCTTCTTCCTCCTCTTCACTGGCGTGTTCTTCTTCCAACATCTCGTCGGCAGTCACTTCAGGATTTCTGATCACCTCCAGGATGTCGTCGTCGGTAGTCTCGGAGAAGCCTGGAACTGTAACAGTCTGCGCAGCTTCTCTGGCAAGGTCCACTGCTACTGCAACAGTCTGAACCTCACCAGTCACAGATTGACTCCTCCTCTCACCTGGTATTCCATGCAACACATGTCTCCATGCGTGACGAATTGTAGCAATAGACAGCTGATCCCATGACTCCACCAAGATGTCCACAGCTTTCTTGATGTTAAATACTCTCCAGTGATAACGCAACAAAGACGCACTGCGCAACCTTACCGCGCCGCTTGCCCAAGCGGAGGGAGGAGGAGGGAGAGGCGAGGAGCACAGGCAGGCAGGCGGGCGGGTGGCGCGTGGCGCGTGGGGAAAATCTAAAAATAGCGTCGCGCCGGACACTCTCCGCGTAATGGCGTTCGCGACCGCGGAATGTAAGAATGTTAGGTTCTGGCAAGGCACCGCGTTAACGGTGAAACGCGGAATGCGGGACCGCGTAATATGAGGACCAACTGTATATATATATATATATATATATATATATATATATATATATATATATATATATATATATATATATATATATATATATATATATATATATATATATATATATATATATATATATATAATACAATTACCAGTAGTTTAGAAAAATATTCGTCTACCTCATCACAGTTTCTTGGATATTTATGCCAAAGTAAGTTTGAAACACCTTCTGAGGTAACAACTGTATACACAATGTTGCTTTCCTTTACCGATAAACTACCTCATTAACAAGGCTGGGCAGTTTTGCCTTGAGAACAACACCTTCTGCCTCCCCAAAATGTTCTTTACAACACAATATTGTAGTCTTTCTTACCTAACAGGAATCTATCATTAGCAGTAGCTTGGTGTAGCAGCTTACACACTCACACATACTTGGCTTGGTTAGGTCAAGCTTTGTTAAGTTAGGTTAGGCTTGGGTTGGTTAGGTTAGGTTAGGTTGGGTGTGTGTGTGTGTTTTGCTTTACTTTACTTTATCGTCTTCACCACTGATCAGATCGGCCTGTTAGCCACTTTTGCAGTCAGTCATGTATGTTACACACTGTTGTCAAGTACTGTACTGTACTGGTTCCTGAATGCATCTGTTACTGTACCAGTGTTGGTCAAGTATGGTCTTGAATGAGCTCACACTCAGTGTTGTCACAATGCTCTCTGGTAGATTGTTCCAAAAGTTCACAATTTTCACTCCCAAAAAGTTTACCCTGACATTTTTCTGAATTTGTGACTGCTTCAACCTTAAGCCGTGACCTCTAGTGGGGTGTGCATCCGCCAGCTCCAGGTATGAATACTCGAAACACTCGACTGAGTAATGGCCCAGGAGGTGTTTATAAACTCTAATAAGGGACTTGCCTGCCTATAACTTAAGCACAATTCCTCAAGAACCTTACTAAGGTGAGGAAATACTATGGAGTAAAAAAAATGCATTATACATTTAATATATTTGTCAAAACAACTTTATTATCATTGAAATAGTTTGTGTATGAATATAAACATGATTCAGAATTATCCTGAATAACAAGGATAAATTTATTTCATCAAAGACAATCTACAGGCTTTGGTATCACGGTACAGAGGCACTGGTGTATAAGTGTGAGCAACTCATTATTATTATGACCAATCTCAGCAGTTTTCAGTATGTGCTGCCTGTGGAAGATCACAAGGTGAAGCAGTTGGTCACTAAGACATAAACAATGGCCACAAGGAATACATCTTGTATTATGGCACAATTAATTTGATTAATTAATCACACAAGTACAAATCATATTAAAAGCCAGTTACATCATTGTCTGTTGCATAAGAACATTCAGCACTCACTATTAATTACATCTGATCAAAGCATTCATGTTGAATACAGGAAGAACAAGCAACTTGACTAGAACTGTTTTATTTTTCAATCTTATTGTATACAACAACTCACACACTGTCTCTCATCCATATTTGTTGAGTAAATACTCCTACAGCTTCATCCACACATAAAACACACATACAGCAACATGTATACACAGGTTAAAACCATGATTTTATATTATAACTACAACCCTGGCTAATAGTCTCACAAGAATGGTTGTTGACTCACATTTTCTTCTTTTAAGAAGAAACATTTTAAAAATATTGACTTCTGGAGTAGGAAAATACAGTTACATTAAACAATACAAAATAATGGATAACTAAAATATTTCCTTGTGAAATCTTTACGAGCACTATTTGGACAGAGATGGAAATGCCAAAATTCTTTGTATAAAAATAACATGGCAGGTTTCCGGGGATTTGCTGAGGCACTGATAAAATAATTTGGTAATTGTAGGTTATGTATCTAAGCTACTGTGCCGAGTAGCACTTATATATGTAATCACGTGGCAACACTGCACGAGTTATGTGGCAACATTGCCCCGAGGCTGCCATATGGCAAGGCAGTCTCAGTCTGACTCTGAGAGCCGTGCATGGCACACGCAAGTCAGACTGAGACTGCCTTGCCATATGGCAGCCTCGGGGCAATGTTGCCACATAACACATGCAGTGTTGCCACGTGATTACATATATAAATGCTACTCGGCACAGTAGCTTAGATACATAACCTACAGTAATAAAAAGAGCAAACTTATTCATCATATACAACTTGAGATAGCAGGACAAAAGGTAAAGTAAACTTGAAATGAAATGCACCCATAAGTACAGTACAGTATAAAACACTTCAACTTATGACACTCTGTTAGCTTCATGGCTCAAACACCTGTTCTTGTCATAAAAAAAATAATCCATAAAAAAATATTAAATAGTCTTGCAATGTTTGTTTTTTTATTCCTCTATGAAATGGTCTGTGGTCCTAACGACGCCACCTGCATCCTGCGGCCGGCTTCTTCCGCTGTCTTTTGTCGGCTTTCCGTGATCTGCAGAGCTCTCATTAACTGAGCATTTTCCAGGTACAGTTCCTTAACAAGAGAATCACTGCGACTTGCTTTACTTAACTGCAACAGAAATTTTAAATACATCATTAACTGAGCTACAATGTTATGTATACAGTGAAACCTCTATTTAATGGACTATACAGTATAGCAGAGTGCAGCCCATTATATGTGAAACCTTCACATAACGGACTGTACCTGTCAGATTTATGTCCGTTAAATGGAGGTTTTTACTGTAAAGTGTATTATGAAAAGTCACTTGAAGAACAAATTTCTCACAAGTCTTATGAAGTCTAGTGTGCTGACTTGGTTTAGTCTTACTCATGTCTCTAAAAGTTTACTCAAATAATGATTAACATGACCAATAAAATATCCTTCTATAAATGAAATCAGCCATATTCCTTACCTGGTCCTTGTACTTAGCAATGTGTTGACCAAGCATCTGCTGGGTGGCTGCCATCATACTCTCCAGGTTCTGTACTTCAGCAGCATGTTGTTCCCTTGTGACTGAAGAAAAGTGCAAGATATACAGGACAATTAGACTTTGGGAAGCTCATTGGGGGACAAATCTCTACCCTGACAATATATATATATATATATATATATATATATATATATATATATATATATATATATATATATATATATATATATATATATATATATATATATATATATATATATATATATATATATATATATATATATATATATATATATATATATATATATATATATATATATATTTATATATATTATATATCCTATATATTAATTAAAGGTATATATTTAGGAGGCATTATCCCAGTCAATGCAATGTTTATTATCCCTCAAATAACGAACAGAGCATTGGATTCCTGGCCTGTCCTAACACTGTATTTATGTTGTTTAAGTCTAGTTATAAGATCTTTACCTGTTTGGCCTAAGTAAAACATATTACATTCCTTGCAAGGGACTTTATAAATGCAGCCATTTGTATTATTGGGGGAATTCTTGATTAACATCTGTTTAACAGTGCATGGGTTTTTAAAGCCACATTGACGTTCCAGGTTTTTAGTTGTAAAGGAATTTGAGAGAAATTTTTGTGAAATGGTAATACTAGGAGATTCTTATGGTCATGGGTGGGCTTGGGATCAGTTCTATAAAAAGATTTCTTAGTAATGTTCAGGCAATTGTCTATGAAAGATCTAGGGTATTTAAGGTTTGAGCCAATATTATAGATATATTTATATACCTCATCAATGAATTCCGGGCTGCAAATTCTCAAAGCACGTAAAAACATTGTTGAAAATACTGACTGATTGACTCTATTGTGGTGGGCAGAATAATAATGAATGTATGAACACACATTAGTAGGTTTTCTATAAATACTGAACTTAAAGGTGTTACCTATTCTGTGGATCAGACAGTCTAGAAAAGGCAATTTTCAGTCATGCTCTAATCCACAGTGAATTTGATCGAGGGGGCTAAGTTATTAAGTTGTGGCAGGAACGCTTTTAGGTCTTCATTACATGGCCAGAGACATAATACATCATCTACATACCTAAACCAGACTGCTGAAGGTGGTAAGATATTACTTAATAGTTTCTTTTCAAAGAATTCCATATACAAGTTGCTTAATACAGGTGAGAGTGGATTACCCATTGCCATGCCCAATTTTTTAGCATAATATTCTCCATTGAATTCAAATTTACAATCCTTAATACATAGTTTGATGAGTTTGATGAGGTCATCTTTCGAGACAGGCAATGAAATATTATCCAGGGAATCTATGAGGAACTTCAGTAAATCATCAACTGGGACCTTTGTAAAGAGTGATGTTACCTCAAAACTGACCAGTTTAAAATCATATTTAATGTGTAAGTTATTGAGTTTATCAACCAGATCCATATTATTCTTAATATTAGAGTTAGAAATGTTGCCAACTTGGGGATTTAGTAAAGAAACTAACCATTTAGATAATTTATAAGAGATTGACACAACTGAGCTAATGATGGGTCTTGCTGGGTTATTAGGCTCGTGGGTCTTGATTAAACCGTACATGCATGGCAGTGGAGGGGACGTTGAAGTAAGATGTTTAATGAGAGTAGCTTTGCCTCTCAATAGAGACAAAAGTTTTTTATTGAACTGGGTGTTAACTGTGTTGAGAGGATTATCTATGAGTTTAGAATATGTTGTAGTATCACATAAAAGATCATTCATTTTAGAAATATAATCATCTTTGTTTAAAATCACTACTGTGTTGGCTTTATCTGCTTTAGTGACATGTAGATCCTTATTTTTCTTAAGGGCTTGGATTGCTTTGGTGAATCTATCTGGACAGTTTGGAACACAAGGCTTAGACATGGATGCATACACAACACCTTTACACATGTTAACTTCTTCACTTATCAAATTGCTGAATTTCTCCAAATTGCAAAGTGACAGGCAGGAAGCAGGAGCTGTATAGACTTGTTTGTTATCACATATTCTCACACGTGTTCTGACTTTGTAGTACTGTACTGTGTTGTAATTCATGTACCCAGAAACTTAACCCTTTCTGCAATTTTTATTTGGTGGAGTTTGACCTTGACTTGAGTTACTGTGGTGATTTTTTCCAACCTTTTATCAATATTAATGTAAATATGTGCTTTATGTATCACATGTAGCCATGTTGTGTTTATCAACAAACCGTTCTCCCGCTTTCTCTCACATGTACAGTATATTACAGTATGTGTATTTATATTTTCTTCAAGAGTTTTCAGTTTCCTTATATATTTTGTTAATACTGTAGCCAGTTCCCTCTTACATGCATTAAAACTAGCTTTGAGGTTACCTCCATCAGTACCTGTCAGTATTTGGTGAGCGTGAGTGTGGTGTTGTTTCAGTGCAGCTTCAAGGTAGCGAAGTCGTCCTTGACACTGGCGTAGCTGCGATCGTAGTGACCCGTTAATAGTTTCCTCTCCTAGGCTCCCACAGCCCTGTAGAGATGACAGATAAGATACATTACATATAGATTCACTGTGGACATTCGAGGTTTATCTCACGAGGGAAGAACTGATTGACAGGTGGCAGTAACTATGACAATGCTAACAACATTGCAATCGAGTCCACCACAACCCATTCCCAAATCTGGATAACAATAAAATCCAAGTCCATGAAAACTGAACACAAATCCAAACTCAAATCTGAAGTCCATATATGAGCACAACACAACAATGACTGCTAATATATTTGACTACTCTTACAAGCCTTTTCCTACCATGTTGCTGGATGGCTGGGCAGGTCGTGACTCTTAAGGATGTTGGTGCTGTGAAAATCATCTATACTTAAGCAGGTGCAGCCAAGAGAATAGCCATTTTATTACTGAGAATGCAAAGCTTAATGTATAGGGTGAGTGAGACACATGACTGACACATGACTCACACAGCAATATTAAACAATTTATGTATCTCCATTGTGTATGTTTTTTTTACGACATGTATGTTTTGCATTAATTTTATGCATGATGTATATGTTGTGTATTATGTATGATGTATGTTGTGTATTTTGTATACTGATTGTTGCTTAGTATGCACAGGGAGGCCCCAAGTTCACGGATTTTTACTTCACGGTTCTTGGTTATTCGCGGATGACACCCTGGATGTACCCAAGAATGTCTGTGGGTAGTTTTAATATTTCCGGCATTTTTGCTGCTGGGACAGGGAGCCATTCGTTCTAGAGAGAGTAATTTACTTTACCGGTATTGTAAATATGTGTGTGTGTGTAGACAGACAGGCACACACACAAAACACATACAGTACACATAAATAATCATTGGAAAATCTTCTTACAAATAATCAAAAACAAATTTATTAAAAATGTGACAGTCTACCCTCAAGTCCGTGCTCTATTAATAAAGTACTGTAATAGAGCACAGACTTGAGGGTAAACTGTCACATTTTTAATAAATTTGCTTTTAATTATTTGTGAGAGGATTTTGCCATTCTTATTTATTTGCATGTGTACACACACACACACAACACACACATATACAACACTATAGGTAAAAGAAATACTTGTAATTGTCCAATTGTCCTAAGGGCAAACAAATAAAGCTTATATACATTTCTTTGTAATCTAGTAAAAATGTACCCCCCCTCCCCGGTCCGCAAATGTTATTTGCGAATTTGGTGATTCGCGGCCATTTTGAGAACCTAACCCCGCGAATTTGGGGGGGCCCTCTGTATGTTGTGCAATGTGTATGAGTATGATAATAATGGAGAATTTTATGCACGTTTAAAATGTGTCCATTACTCCTCACTCACCCTGTACGAGGAGGGAATCCATTCCTCCACCCCGAGCTGGGAATAAAACCAAGAAACATTACATACAGCGAAACCTCCATATAACGGACCCCAATCTAATGGTTATAGTCCGTTAGATGGAGGTGTCGCATCTAATGGAACCTCGGTGTAATGGACTTCCCCCCTCTATATTCAGTCTCTCCTCCACTTACGACGGGGTTCCGTCCCGATTACCAGGTCGTCAGTCAATTTGGTCGTAAGTCGCAAAGGCGAAAAAAAATATAGAAATTCTAAAATGGGCGTCACTTTTTCTTCTCGGCACCACGAGAACTCTCATTTTTATGCTTGCCAGCCATTTTAAAGGGAATTACAAACAAAAATTTTGTCAGCACACATCGCGATCACTAACGTCGGGACTCGAAAATACGTAATGTGAAAAATATTTTATACGACCATAGCCGTCGTATGTCCGGGTTGTCGTAAGTCGAGGAGAGACTGTAGTTCGTTAGATGGAGATTTTACTGTCCTGTACTAGGTTTGCCATCGGACCTACCCTACCCTACCTGATAAATTGGTCTCTCGTCCTCCGGGATTCCTGGCCTGGGACCCTCCTCAGCTTCTGTCACATGACCATTCATTAAAGGAGTTCTCACCTGGCAAAACATATATATATATACTGTACTAGCATCACAAACCAGACTCTATTTAAACTTTGACAAACTCCGTGATATATTAATTGGCTCAACATCTCCTAGGACTATGGGGGTTAACTCAAGTATATTATAGGAACTGCTACAATACCAACATTGAGACATAAACAAATGAAACTTAGCAGGTAAAAACAGAAAAATTACCCAGATTAATAGCTCTCACTTACAGGCACGTGAAACCTCTGCTGGTTGGCTAACTCTTGAATGCGCTGCTCAGAGTCTCTTCTCACTTTGTCTAACTCCTCCAAGACTGAAAATAATATGAATAATTAATCCTCTTTTTTCTATTGTCTTCTCTTAATGGACCCTACTTCCTAATATGTATCATTGACCCATCCAACAATAAATACTTAAGACTACCAATCAAAGTCTTCCCAAATACTTATGACTACAGTACTGTACTTTACTCCCTAATGCAAGTACAGGGCACATAAATCTTTGCCTGGGATACCTATACACTCAGTAAATTAAGCAAAAAAAAACACAGACTAAGATTTTCTGCAGGTTTTTAATTCACAGGAAGCTGGTGTATTATGTCCATTATCCCAGTAACATTTAGGGGTTAAGTGAAGGTCATCTATACATTTATTTTGGATATGCACAACATGATTCCTTTACCAGTTGTGACTTGTAGCTGAGCCTGATGAAGCTGGGATGAAAGATTGTTCACTTGTTCCTGAAGGTTGGCACTCTCCAGGGCAGCCACCCTACGCTCCTCTGACACTCGCGCCTCCATGCTGCTCTCCTGGTCACAGTACAGTCATAAGTCAACATATTTAAAATTCATAAGGAACTCTGAAGAATGACACACAATCCTTAATTCTTTAAAAGCATAACTGACTAAAAATATTTATTAAGCAAATCTGAGAAGTTTAAAGATAAAACAAATTTACAGTCGACCCTCGTTAATTCAGACCCCTTTAATCCAGATTTCGGATAAATCGGACGAACTCTGAACTGTCCGTATCAAATTTCTGGTTCTGGGATTGTCCCAGTTGCAATTGGGGTTGCAATTTCAAATTCTGTGTCACTTCTAAGGAATAACAAAGTCTCTGGTGCACTCTAAGATTAAGAGAAAACGGACGATTCAGTCGTCCTGAAGTGAGAGAAAATGGACACCTATGACGGGGCACTCAAATAAAGAGACATATCTACATGTTTTGTGGACTACCCACTGTACAGTATTGATCGTATAATTTTCATCACTTTGTAATAAACCTCGTCATGCCTATGTGTGTTTCTGATAATTACCATAACATTATATATTTAGCGGTTGTACAAACACAAGGCCTAACACATGCCACTCAGACTGACAGACTTGACAAGTTTTACCAACCATAAAGACAGTTGAAGCTTTAAACATCACTCACAATGGATCTTGAATATTCCAACTGTAATCAGACATACCCAAGTTGCCTCAACAATTGCAACCCCAGTTGCAATATCAAATTCTGTCACTACTAAGGAATAACAAAGTCACTGGTTCACTCTAAGATGAAGAGAAAACGGACGACTCAGGCGTCCTGAAGTGAGAGAAAACGGACTCCTATGACGGGGCACTCAAGTAAACATGCACATAGCTGTATAATGCAATATTAACCCCTAAATCGGCTAAAACAGACACCCTTCCCTCCCATTAGTCTGTTTTAACGAGGGTCGACTGTATTTATTCTAAAATAAAAATACTAAATAAACATTGATCAGCTATTGCCAACTCACTTATTCAAAGTGGAAACTGGACATTAAAATTATGATTCTAAAGTGCTCTCTTAGCTGGCAAGGGAGGGTCCCTACCCCTAGCTGTAAATTTTCTCTGGTTTAACCTGGGAACCATGAGGTCTCCGGTGGTTGCCCCCAGAGCTTGATGATGATGATGCATTACATACTTCATTTTCTGCTCCCCTTGTGTACAATAAATGTTTAACTGTACAGCAGTGTTTACAATATTCTCATTAGCACATAGTAGATGCTGCTATTAAATTTTGCATTGGATATATTTTGCCCCTTGTATATCAACTGGGAAGCTTTGAAAATAAAACTCCTAGATAATGCACGTGCGGATACCCCTGAAGTTAATCAAATATACAGTATTTAAGAAGGCTGTCAACTTACCACATGGTACCTTTCTTCCCTGAGGTCTTCAATCTGCTTTCTCAAGACGCTCACCTCTTCCTCTAACTCCGTTACCTTGAAGACAATAATAATAATACAAAAGTTAATATAGTGTATACCTACATCAATCTATGATCAATTTTGTTTACACTAAAAAAACAATTCAAACTCAACAATTAGTCCACAGTACAGTTGGTCCTCATTACGTGTTAATGTAACGGAGGGTCCATGGAAAGAGGAAGCTGCGAAGTGAACAAATAAACATATGGGATTAATTGAAATGGAGTCCAGGCCGATCCCCAAACCCACTTTTTGACAATACAACTATGTTGTAGTAAAATATTATCTTAACTTTATGATGGCATGCACACACAATTAATAATTAAGAGAAATATCAATTATTAGGTTTTTAAACTTACATTAGTAGAAAGATGGCTGGGCACAGGGATGGGCGGTTGGTTCCGAGGCAGAGGGCAGATTATTGGCCCTCACCTGTATTAATGTATCAATTGTATCACTATCACCACAGAGGTTGCAGGGCCTTTTGTCAAACCCCCAAAGTTCATATAAGTCCATCCTCACTATAATTATCACTATCACTGACTTGGGGCTGTAGTGGTGGCGGGTGAAGACTGGTCATGTTTGATGATCTATTTTAATTCTCATTTTCGCCTTTACAAACATGGCGGATGGCGGAGGTTTGATCCAATGGCGCCAGCTTGCCGCTGTCATGGGCTCCTATCGAATGTGAAAATGTTAGGTTCTGGCAAGGCACCGCGTTAACGGTGAAACGCGGAATGCGGGACCGCGTAATATGAGGACCAACTGTACTCAAAAACTTACTTTCATTCTTTTGTCTATGAAATGTGAACAGAATGACCTACATAGATACCCAATTAAAATACTGAATTCCAAAAAGAATCCACACGAAATAAATTTTATAATTTCGGTAAAACTTTTTGTTCAATATCGTAAATTTTTCTTTTGAAATTTTAATCAATAAACCAAAATTCCATAAAGACAAATAGTACTTAACACAAGCTGGGGAAAGAATTTTAACTGAGCAGTGCCATTGTTTTGTTCTGGGTAGGTGAGCCGCCCTCCAACCACCTTATAGCAACCACCCAGAATCCACACAAAATAAATTATACAATTTTGGTTAATTTCTTTGTTATATATGGCTGTTTTATGTTTAACATATTTTAAAATTAACCAAATTCCGAAAGGATAAATTTCCGTAACCAGGATGTACACACACACACACACACACACACACACACTCCAAAAAGTATCTTTACAGAGGGTCTGATGAATTTCCAAATGAACACTGCAACTCCTGTTGTCTCGGTAGGGTTGTCAAAATCCTTTGTCTGCTGAGTCACATTGTCAAACACAAAATCATAAAGATACAGTACAGTAAAGCCTCCGATAACAACGGTTCGACCAACAACTTTTCACATTTAAGGCCCTAGTTAATTAAGAACCCAATTCAATTTACGTCCTTATTTCATTCGTATTTACAACCAAAATATAATAAAATTACATTCTCATATAAATAATAAGTAAATCCCGATATCTATTATAAAAAAATAAAATTACTGTAAAAAAAATTAAGAGCGCCTTGCACAAAGAAGCTGCCTGGCTAATGAGTGGTAATGCCAGTAAACAACAGTCGGAGCTTGGGGGTCCCTTTGTTTTCATGCATCTAGACAGGAACAGGAGAAAAATTTTCTCAGGTTTCTTACAGCATTTTTGCATCCCTATTCAACATGAGCTAATAGAAAATGCATAAGCTTAGCCGAGAAACTAGATGTGTTAAATTGATATGAAAAAGGTGAGAGGTCTGTGGATATTATATGTAGCAAGCAATGAACATATTTTCTGAAGTGGATCCATTGACAGAACAAAGCATTAAAATTTAAATAAATGCAAATGACCTCTACATAAAGATGTATAATGAGAAAAGAAAGCATCTGTGCAAGGTTCTTTCGACAGTTTTATTATTCGAAGGCCTAAACCATCAAGTTCGGCATCATAAGCAGCTTCAACATCAACTTCAGGTACAGTAACAGTTTCAGCAACAGCTTTATGGAAAGCTACAGCTTCAGCCAGAGTTGAGCCTGATGACTTTGTCATCTGAGTAAAACCTCGCACAATATTCATTGACTGTCCTTATGTTATAGACTTTACCACCATTGGTGTTTAGAATTTTTGTTTTACATTCGTAAATATTATTTAAAACATATAAGAACAGTAAATAAGTGTTGCTTTCATATTCATATGTAGAGAAATGACGATATGTTTTCACATGAACGCACTTACTGTTCATACGTTGGCGTTCCCAATCGTCTCATTAGCTACTTCTAGTGTTCCATTTATTAACATTACTTAATCCCTTAAGCCTCGGGTTAGGGGTTCTGCTGGCAGTACCCCCCCGCGGAGTTAAATCGAGAAGAAAAAAAATAAACTTTTCCAAAAATAATACAAAACAAAAATAAATAAATAAATAAAAATTGGCGGGAAAATAGGCGGACGTTCTGGAACGTCACCCAGGGCCTAAGGGTTAAAACATACACACAGATATTCAACTTTTTTTTTTAAATTAAGTTCACTACAGCTACAACCAGGGTCTTATTTTCTTCAGTTTCTTATGTAGAACCGTCGTCACTCACGAAAACAATGCCGTCTTGTCTCCTCGTGTGTGTTTTAAAATTCTACGTATTATTAATGAATTGCATTGTTCATTTCACATATATAAACATTAATTCAATCAAATACATATTCAGTCATAAACAATAATGATCTTTTGTACATATTCTTAAGATAAATGATAATAATAATAATAATAATAATAATAATAATTAACAGTTTATTGAAAGAGCATGGCAGCCGGAAGGCTGAAAATATACAATTACATAATCGGGGAATGGGTCTCTTGATTTACAATTGATGTACATGTAATATAAGTGATACAAATAAGATATATAATAATTAGGTGTTGATAATTTTTACAATGGTTGGGACTGGGCTGTTCTTGTAGCAATCAGTTCGTGCTCGTATGGGCTGGATGCGGTTGGGCAGGTGTGTGGCCACGTGGACAGGACAGTAGCTTGGGGCAATGCAGGTGTGCTCCATCCTTCAGGTTAGGTCAGGTGAAGCCGTGAGGTCAGGTCAGGTTAGGTCAGATCCAGCCACATTTAGTATTGCTGTGTTTTTGTGCTTTTCCTTCGAGGTAAAATTGCTACTTTTGTATATCACTTGTGGGTTGATCGTCAATCTTTGCACGGTACTGTTGGTGTGAGGATGTTGATAAATCCAGATGGGAAGGAGGAGATTGGGAAGGGGAGGGCCCGACAGACCGGGCTGGCAGCTGCATCCATGGTCAAGAGACCACGGCCACGTTAGCGGGCAGCGCCGACTACACACGTCCTTACCCTATGAAGGCTGTTTCCTCGAGTGCGCACGTACACATTGGCGTTCCACTATCAGTCTCACTTTTTTCTTTAATATCAGTGGTTACTTCTACTGTACATTAAATAACATTAATTAAAACATACATATTTTTTACATTAATTTTACGACAACAACAACCAGGGTCTTATTTTCTTCAGTTTCAGGTGGATAACTGACATTATGGGTGTAAACACTGACAACAATGCCGTCCCTTATCCTCTTGTGTGTATTAATAATCTACGTATTATTAATGAATTGTATTGTTCATTTCGCATATATCCCTGTATAAAGATTCATTCAATCAAATACATATTCAGTAATAAACAATAATGACTCTTTTGTACATATTATTAAAAAGATAAATGACGCGGTATCCTTAAATGCGTACGTATATGCTGGCGTTCCCAATCCACCTCTTTTTTTTTCTTTGCCATTAGTGGTTTGCTACTTCTATTGTTCCATTTATTAACATTAAATAACATTACTTAAAACATATATACAGTTGTAGTGATGGGTTGTCAGACCACAGCTTACATCTCAGAAACAGTCCAGACCTGACCCGACATTAGCGAGGGCAAATGTAAGGAGACCCTTCGCCGCCCCCCCGATCAGCTCAACCTGACGGCTGGTCTTCCAATATATAGGACGTCCTAGTCCTCCCTCACGAGAGTGTGTCTTGTAACCAAGAAGGGCCAGCAACTACGTCCCCAGTCCCGCTCGTAGCCCTCCCTCAGGGGAGCAGCGAGAGGGAGTCAGAGAGACAGAGTCGGGGAGAGAGAGACACACAGGGATCGGAGGAGGAGGTCCACCACAGCCCAGTCTCGCTCACGGGAGGAGAGTCACGCAAGACTTCCCTCCAGTGCCCAGCTAAGCAGTCTCCCATAGAGACAACCTAGGACCACCTGCTAGACCCTCCCCAGGTCACGTGAGTTTTTGTCAGAGCTTTCCATGGGATGAGTTACTTACGTGGGAAGTGTATTCATTTCATGTTCGTGTCCAAGAATCAGTGTCTAGTAACATAATATGATGTTCTAGTAACGTAATATGATGTTCTAGTAACGTAAATATAATGTCCTAGTAACTTCGATAGAAGGTGTTATTAATGTGTCCATGTCATTGTCGTAATTAATAAACAGTTGTAACGAAGCGGTGTTTGAGAAGTCGTCCTTAAGAACGTAATAGATGTGTATTGACATATAAGATAAGTTAAGTGTATTGACAGAGTAAATAACTAACACGGCCACGCTACCAAAGTCTTTCTCTCTTTTACTCTCTTACTAAATATTCTTCCTATATATATATAAATATTCTTCATGCAAAATCCGTCTTGTTATACAGTCACTCCTCGACTTACAACGGGGTTAGGGACCCAAATCCATGTCATAAGTTGAATTGGTCATAAGTCGAAAATGCAAAAATAATACACAGAAAATCTAAAATGGGTGTCTTTTTTTCTTCTCAGTACCACAAAACTCTCACTTTTAAGCTTGCTAGCCATTTTAAAGGGAATTACAAACGAAAATTTTGTCAGTACACAGTGCAATCACTAACGTCAGGACTCGAAAATACGTGATTTGAAAAATTTTTGGTACGACTGAGGCGGTCGTATATCCGGGTGGTCGGAAGTCGAGTAGGTCGTAAGTCGAGGAGTGGCTGTATTCATTTTTTTGCATTAATTTTACTACAGTTACAACCAGGGACTTATTTTCTCGTGTAGAACTATCGTCCCTGACTCCCGGCTGTAAACACAAACGAAAACAATGGCGTCCCATCTCCTCTTGTGTGACCATATTATTATTCATTTATATTGTAAAAGGTGCATTCAGAAACATTATTTATAGAATATAGTTTGCAATTTTCATTACAGTAATTGTATTGGTTTAGGGGGAAAAGAGGGTAAAGAGCCACACAAAAGATATGAAAGGGTCACACTTGGGAACGCATCTCATTATTATTGCTTTATTTTAACGGTAATTAATGATTCGCAATACGATGATTCACCTTACACTGCAATATTGGAGGACACATTACCTTCGTTATTCGAGGCTTTACTGTACTTGTACTTTTTGGAGTGTGTGTACACTAGAATCAAGCTCATTCTTGAAAAAAAATAAGTGAATCCTAGTTAATGGATGAAACATACCTGCTTCTCCCACACAGCGCTCTCATCAATGGTAGACAGGCGATCAGATTCCTCCGAGTTGTCCCGTCCTCCTCCGCCACCAGACAACACCAGGTCCTCATATTCCCGGATCTTTTTTTCCAGAGCAGAGAATTTGTCGTCATACAAGCGTCGTTCTTCCTCATAGTAGTCCTGCTCCTCTTGTAGCTTCAGGGTCCAGTAATCTTCACTCTTATCAAATTCAATACGAAGGATCTGCAACAACAGAAATATGTTGTTTAATTAAATTCATGCATTCTATATACAGTAACTCAAAAAAGATTCATGCAAATTCTATGTAACTTATCACATATTTTAAACCAATTATTTAAAATGGGTGACTTTGTTCTATTTAACATATATTATGGCACCCAAATATAAGCCTGTATATATGTTAGGCTCAAAGACCAAGTTTGCTATAGGGTAGGTTAGACTGGGTTTGTTTAGGTCAGTTTGGGTCGGGTTATATTAATGTTTGGTTAGATTAGGTTCAATTAACTTTGGTTAGATTATGTTAGGTTAGATTAGTATTATATTTAGCAAATGCCAGGTGATTTTATTCAACTCAGGGGAGACACTGTACACACGAGGTTAAAGAAGGTCAATAAAAAGTACTTATGGTACAATGGTTCGCTTCTCAAATTAATATCAATAATACTTCTAACCCACATAAACTTATCACCGCACCTCTAAGTCTTGCTCGAGCTTGCTGTTCTTCTCTAGCAAGTTGGCTCTCTGCTTCTCCAGGCTGTCTCGCTCCTGAGCCATTTCTTCTTCCAGGGCAAACACCTGCAAACATGACATGGATTAAGATATTTCACAGAGATTTTTCTTCATTCCAGTTAGCCCTCTGGAGATCTGTGTAGGCTTATGGCATTTTTTTTTTTATCCCAGTAAATATTTTGAGAGAGAGAGAGAGAGAGAGAGAGAGAGAGAGAGACCACAACAATGTCTAACACTCACCTGCTCTTCCAAATACTTGAAGTTCACTTTAGTGTCCTCCTCAGGAACCTTGTGTTTGTCTGAGTCATCCTTGGTGACACTGGCAGCCTCAAGAGACTCGCTACACTGGGACTCACTTGCGTCTCCCTCTTCATAGTTAGTGCCAGATTCTTGTTGGTCGGTGACATCCTCCTTCACTCTAGGTGTCAGAACGCGTCTCTTTTTCTGTATTTTTTCCACTAGGGCGAGGCAGTTTTTTTTCATGTTCTCAACGTCTGTCTGCCTCTGCTAGGGATGAGGATACTGTTATAATATGACACCAACAACTCTACTGTAATTATTACTAAATTAATTATCAGACTATCAAGCAATTACAATTGTATCATAATGGCCAAGATGGGTTATACTGAAGGCTCAATATCACAATTACTGTACTTCATATACAGGGGTTATATACAGTACTTTGTACAAATACACAAAATGTTGTACAGTGTACATCTTAAATTCTAACATGTAATACTGTATACAGTTTGTGTTAATAATCAAGTACAATTAAATGCACATAAGTATTACTAGGTTAGGCTATTATTAATTTATTAATTTATTAGGTAATGCAATGGTTTTATATACAGTACAGTATACATAATTCAGAAACACTTTAATAAGACAAAATAAAGTCCACAACTTACTACAGTACGCTGACACACTCTATGAGTCGACCAACACTGCTGGTGACCAACTACACTATATCCTACTTTTGCCTTTTATTCCTCCTACGATACAAAGGTTTAGTCAGTCTACAATGCTCAGGGAATATACTTTTGTAATCAACTTTTCCTACAGTATTTGGTGAATTAAATTAAAAACTTGTACAGTACTGTACATATTTTATACATAAGTGACATTTTCTTCTTTGTATTTGTCAGTTCCTATCATATAATACTGTCCAGAGGTGTGTGGGTTAATGGCCACCTGTCCTTATGTAGGATAAAGAAAGGAGATGAAAATATATTGAAGGAAGATTGACAACACAAATTTGGGGTAAAGTACAGTACACACTTTTTCTTCACTTTGAAACCTTTTCCTACTTAACCCAGAGTGGCCGGAAACAAGAGTAAATACGCATACACATTTTCCATTTATTTGTTGTTATTCATCTTTCTTATTAGCTATTGTAAAAGATGTTTTCTGTACACATCAACAAACTCTGATTAATACAATAATGTAATTATATATTTTAATTATATGTATATGAGATACTGCACAGAGATGGAATTGTAAACAACTGTAAGCCAGATACAAGTGTCAGAATTACTGACAAGTTAACTTATAAAAGCAAACAGTGGTCAGTCACAAGCATACATTAATAATGGTTAGAATGTATTAGGATCGTACTGGCGGTGCAGCAAAAGTAAATTTTCTACCTTCTCAAGGTTTGTCCTCAGACCCAACTGGCCCCTTTCTTCAACCATCTTGAGCACTTCAACCCTTACTCTAGCCAACTCCCCCTCCAGACCCCGGTACTGCTCTTCTAGCACACGTACTCTGCCCTGAAGGAAGGCGTATATACTGTCAGGGCAAAACACTGATGCGTGATTATTATTATGCATCATGTCCGTCGACAGTCCTGTTTATATTAAGAGAGGCATCCTGTACGTACCAACAGGGCAAAACACTGATGATTATGCATCATGCCCTTTGGTTATCCTGTTAAACAAAATAAAGCGACCCTTACCTCTCCTGCAGTACCCAGGGGCCGAAGGATTACTGGTTTAGCAACAGAAGACAGATCTGACGTAGACCCTGGATATGCGGTAGAGGAGTCAGCACCTCCGGACTCGGCAGGGCTGTCTACATCATGCCTACAGATGACATACAAGGTGTAAAAGCAGAGGTAAATTAACTAACAAGTGAAAAATTCAACAAATACAGGACTTAAAACTGCCTAATTAAACAAATACAGTATTGTACAGGTATTCCCAATCAGTTTTGTTTAAAATTATAAAATTTCCCAAATATTTGAAACTGGTAAGGATTGGATTCAACAAAAACTAAAATACTATTAGTTTTGAAGAGAACCATTGGTGTGGTGAGTGGGAGCCCAAGAGCTGCCATATAGGTAATTACTGTACTGTCCATCTCTGCTTTGTGTAGGACATTTTACACATTCACACATTTCATACCTTAGCCAAAGGATATTTCACATAATCAGAATTCTGCATGTTTTTCTGTCCTCAGGGTGTGTATAATACTGTACTGAGGTTGTAATGTACTCATAGTTATTGAGGAGATACAATGAAGAATATCCACACAACCTCTCCACACATACGTACACTTCAAGTATTTGGGGAATAGTTCAATCTTTTTCTCTAGTAAGATTGTTGTCTACTAATGAAATAATTTTTGTATAATATTTCCATTAAGGAATCCACCAAGTAAAATACAGTGGAAGTCTTTTGATACAATACCAATAACTAAGGACAGTTTCAAAACCATTACAGTATATTTGCTCCTTGATAATATATGTATACTGTACTGTACCTGTTAGCGAGGATAGTTTCCACACTGATGCGCTGTAATCGCTCCTGCTCCTCCCTGCATAGAGCCATCTCCAGCTCCTCCAGTGCCACGGTTAATTGACCCTGTGTGTCACCGCATCTCAAACACTGTTCAGTGAGACATATTATGTGAGGGACATATAACGTTCAAACATAATAACATATACAGTACAGTGTATACTTAAATTTAACATCAACAGCATCTTGCATGATGAACAATAATAATAAAAAGAATTGGTTGTATAAAAATGTCTAGTTGTGATCCTTGTTGTTGTGTAAATTCTCACTCAACTGTACAACTAACAAGAGGCAAACCTTATCCTTGAGGCTGGCAGGTGCTGATTGGGACGACTTGACGGGGGTGGACGAGACAAGGAAGCTTATATGACAAGTTTCAGGGGGAGACTGACTGAGCTGGGTTGTTGTCTTCTCTAGCTGCTCCTTGGCACCAGAACACTGCTCTAAAGCTGCTTCACACTCAAACTATCAAGAAAAATGTGAATACAATGGCAGAAACATCATTTAAAACATTACAATAATATAACCGGAAGAAAAAATACATCTAAAGAACATTACGCAAAATAAAAATATTAAATCCTATTATCTCTATGTTTTCTGGCCTTGTGCACCTGAATAAGACCCTTACTACTGCCCACCACCACACCTTACAGAACTCACTACCTAAAAGAAATAATCCAAGCTACTTCCTCTCATCCTCGTGTGAAGCAATGCACGATGAAGTACCAAATTATAGCGAGTCGCTTCGGATCGTGGAAGTAAAAATATTGGAAACTACAGAGATTGTCGGGATATTAACTCCCTTCACTACAGAGACGACCCCATACACAAGGGGTTAAGGATAATGTTAAAGATAATCAAATCATAACTATATTATTCACTGGTAAAAGCTGGAGTTGAGACAGCTGGACGGTCATTATGTAGGGCCAAAGGAGTGTTTGTTGGGGAAAATTTTCAACACTGAATCACCAAATGCATGGTTTGTTAATCATTTCATCCAGACCAATTATCCTATCTATCTATCTATCTATCTATCTATAAATATATCAATTTATCTACTAATCTAACTACCAATCTATCTATCACCTTCACTTTTTCCCCAAATTTTGGATGGGTTGGTCAAAGAAAATGGAAGGCCTCAATGAAAGGTGTGAGGGGAATATATGGTAGGGGAGTGTGGTGCAGGACAAGACCAGAAAGTGACAATAAATGGCTAAAATAACACATAAATCCACCCCATACAGTGAAACCTTGATTTAATGGGCTATAGGGAGATGAAAGTTCATTATATCAAGGGCCTGTTACATATAAAACCTCCATCTAACAAATTATATAGATGAAAGTTCATTATACTGAGGGTCGTTAGATATAAAATCTTCATCTAACGAATTATATAGAGATGAAAGTTCGTTATATCGAGGGCTCATTAGATGAAAAAACCCCATCTCACGGATTATATGGAGAGAGAAGTCTGCTATATCGAGGTTTCACTGTACCTACTTCCTTATATCCTAAACTTAAGAGATAAAGTGTAGAAGTTTTAACCACACAACTTAAAAAAAATGACTGTATTGTACCTCCTTCTTCTCTAGCTGGTGTGAAAATTCCTGTTTCTGTGCTGCTAACTCCTTGGCCAGTCTGTTCCTCTCCTCACGTAACCGCACTAGTTCCTTCTCCAACTCCTGAAAGACGCAGACGATGAAGATTCCTCATTACACCACAATTTCAAAATTCAGTTATGTATTTCAGCCATTCTTGAAACTTCTTTTAGAGAAACCACACACAAACACACGCACAAGAAAATAAGAATGGAGGAAACTACAGCGGGCCTATTGGCCCATATTGGACAGTCCCGTTTACACCCAACCCCTATTGCTCATATATCCATCCAACCTATATTTGAAGCTATCCAGCATATTCAAGTTAATGATGATGTTTGGTAACTTGTTCCACTCATCCACTACTCTATATCCAAACCAATGTTGACCTATCTCGCGCCCAATTCTAAATTTGTCTAATTTAAAACCATTGCTACGAGTTTGCTCCTGGTTGGATTGATAGTTTAAATACCTTTGTTATATAAACCAAAAAGATTAAACAAATAAATTCCTCGTGTATAAAAAAAGCAAAACCATAAATGAACCAAAAAAATACCCCAGGAAAAAAATAAAATAATTGCAACTCCTTAAACATAAGCGTATTTAATAGACAAACTTAAGAAAGGACAAAACCAGTGTAAAATTTTAACAGAATCTTGAAACAATTTCATGAAGCTTTATGATGAAATTAAAGCAAATTACTGTATTACACAAAAACAAAACAAATAAGATCTCAGTGATAAAACCAAATTAAACCTTACATGGAAAACAAAATAATAAAATCTCCAGAATAAAACCAAACACAAAACCTTGAACAAAAATAAAACAAATAAAGTATCCGAGAAAAACCAAGCAAAAAAAATTAGAACCATCACAGCAATAGGCCCAAACACAAACTCATAACACAACACATCATACTTGGTTTATTATCTGTAGTGTTTCTTGACCCTTTTGTAGCAGAAACAACTCCCACCCCACAAGCTGCTGAGTTACCAGGTCTTGCCCACCATACTTCTCATTTATACCCAAAACAGATGGAACAAGACATACACTTAGTATCATGAGAAAGACTCCTTAAAAGAACAACACTGTACAGTAAGTCCTTGTTTAACGATGCCCCCGATAACATTGTTTCGTTATGTCGCCATTCTTTAGATACCCATGATTCGGATAATGTCCCGCCAATTCAGTATAACGTCGTCACGGACTACTTTGTATGGCGCATCACCCTCTATCAGCTTGGCGCGCTACGCTCTCACTCGTGGAGCGTCACAGCATCCCCAAACGTCCCCAGTCTTTGTTAGGCTTCTACAGAATTCGTGCATGTTTTAGTGTTTTTGCTCTTAATACTGTACTCTAACCATTCGAAATGGCCTCCAAGCGCCCATCAAGTGCTACTGATACTAGTGTTGTGAAGAAGCAACATAAGACCATTGGCTTGCTACGAAAATGGAGGTTTTAAACCGGTTTGAGAAAGGTGATCGTGCGGTGGATATTGCTGCTGCCCTAGGTCTATCCCCCACAACAGTGCGTACTATCCAGACCAGCACGGACAAGATTAAGGCTAGTGCTGAAAGAGGTACTTCTCTGAGTGCAAGAAAGACAAGATGTGCTCGAAGTTCCGTGATTGAAAAGATGCTGGCTATGTGGATGGAGGACCAGAATCAACAAATCAACACGATGCCCCTGTGAGCCTTATGGTTATCCAGCATAAAGCAAAATCCTTGTTTGACGACTTAAAGGCACTAGAGGGTGAAGAATTGAAGGATGAGATCTTTATGGCCAGCCAAGGATTGTTTCAACGTTTTAAGCATCGTTATAACTTCCATAATATTAAGATGGCTGGTGAAGCTGCCAGTTCAGATATGGTTTCTGCCGAAATATTCCCACCGGAGTTCAAAAACGTTATAGAGGAAGGAGGCTACTCAGCGAAGCAAGTCTTCAATGTGGATGAAACTAGTTTCTTTTGGAAGAGGATGCCCGAAAGAACCTATATCTCCAAGGAAGAAAACAGAGCGCCAGGTTTTAAGGCGGCAAAACACAGCATGATGCTGCTGTTTGGCACGAATGCTGCTGGCAACCTCAAGCTGAAGCCTATGTTAATTTCTCGTGCTGCCAACCCACGGGCCCTGAAAGGCTACTCTAAGGATCACCTTCCTGTCATCTACAAGGCAAATAAGAAGGCATGGATAACCAGCGCCATATTTAGCTAGTGGTTAAATGTGTATGCCGTCCCTGCACTGAAGGATTATTGTGCCAAGGATAACCTGGATTTCAAAATTCTTCTTGTCGTTGACAGTGCTCCAGCGCATCCTCCCAGTCTCGATGATTTACATGACACTGTTCGAGTTGTATTCCTGCCTCCCAACACGACAGCACTGATGCAGCCTATGGACCAAGGCGTATTATTTACGGCGTACCATGGAACAACTGCTCAAGGCTACTGACTGCGGAACCCCAGTCAGAGCGGGAGGAGGAGCCACCCGCCGGGTCTCAGCGACTCACCACCCTCCCCCTCCGCTCCACTACACACTCGCTCCACCATCTCCGTCCATCAGTGAGTACAATACCAAACAATTTAGTTTATTTATTTATATGCTATTTTCTATAAAAATGCCAATGAATTTCTGTATATGTAATGTATTTCATGGGGCAAAGGGAGGCCCGGGGAACGTAACTCCCTATCAATTTCTTATGGGGAAAATTGATTCCGTTAACGTTGTTTCCGTTAACGTCACAGTTTTCAGGAACGGAACCACAACGTTAGGCGAGGACTTACTGTATATACATTTAGTACCATGAGAAAGACTCCTCCTCAACATTCATCACTGGACATCAATTACTGTACCCTGTACCACAATGGAGATAATGAATAAAGAATAAAAATAATAATACAGTATAAGGATGAATACCTTCGTTAGTCTAATTCAAAATTGTACTGAAAAAATACGATAACTAACAATGTGTTAAAACTATGGGATTAGTTTCTGATAAAGGAGGAGTTGTCATGTTGTATGCAAAAGAAAAATATGTTCTATGCTACACTAAAATCAGAATTAGGGAATTTCTTTGGCTATTAAGGTTTACAACTTGGGAGTAAGAAACAGAAAGTATTATACGGTACAATATTTATGAACTCAGACACTTTCAGTTTAACTCATAATAAACGTAAACAACGACACGAATCACTTTACACGCCCACGCATACAGACGCTGGTACAGTACAGTACTCAAAACTCTTCTCACTCACCTCTCTGGATTTTTTTGTACGTGGAGTATCTAACTGCTCACTGCCTCCATCACTCTTGTTCTTAACTCTCTCATCCTGTCTCTGAGAATCTGAATCCTCACCCAGGTCGTTTTTATATTCTTCTTTTACACTTGCTCGAACTTGCTTGAAGACCTGAAGAAAATACAACTTAAATTGTCATTCTATCAAACATAATGGTGATGAGGAAGATATTATCCATTAGTACTGTAGAATCACTTCCCACCATCTGCCAATTGATATGATTCATTAAAACTACTAATCATCTGGTTCTTTTATTTTTGAACAATAATTAATAATAGTTTAATGAGACAGTTTACAGTAGCTATAGAAAGTAAGTGATTTAATAATTCTCATAAGTTACCAAGGTTGTCTACTACACCCCCGAGCCTCACCTGATACTTCCCTCGACTCATCCAGTGTGAAACAACTCACTGACAACACAGAGTAGTGGTACATAATCATTACCCATGATCCTACAAGAACAAACTATCTCAATACACATTAACAAGGACCTCTGTATTTTTTCCCAAATTTATATTCGAAAGTAATAACTGATAGTGCCTTACCTGCTTCAGCTCCTTGTTCACTAGCTGTGAGGCACTCTTAATGCCCATACCAAATGTTTCTTTTATAGCATTAGTTTCACCGGCATCCTGAAACAAAGCACAACACAGCTTCAGAGGTATTTGTCAAGTGCAAATAAACAACAACCAATGGTAAACTAACGTAGAGCAAACATACCAGCCCTCTCTCACCTCTGACATCTGCTCATAACACTTCTTACACACACACACACACTTTCAAATACTACTAATACAACAGCTCCACCAAGATGCACATGATACACCCATAACTCTGAAACTATATAAATTGTAGCCTTAAAAAAGGAAATGTACAAGTTTTTCTACAATAATCGCCAAGAAGTTGAAAAAAGTCTATCAAAGAAAGTTGTAGGTACAGTTCTCAACAAAAAAAATAAATACAAATTAGTGACCAGTTGGTAGCTACAGGTAGATATTGCAAAACTTTGGGTAACTGAAAAAAATGGTACAGTACTTACACTGTCACTAGAACTTCTCCGAGGAACCTTGATTGCCAATTCATCAAGGGAAGTTGGCTGGGAAGAGTTGAGAGGCTGAGTGGATGGGGCTGGTGAGCTCTTGAGGAGGCTGCTCATGCTGGAGTCGAAGAAGGATTCATCATATGCTGAAAGTAAATGTTTAATGTTAAAGCAGATGGTCTTCCTGTTGTCTACATAATGATAAGATATATTGAATAAAGATACACAATACAGTACTAATATATACATAATGCAGTGAAACCTCTATTTAATGGACTATATAGAGAAGACAGTCCGTTATATCGAGGGTCTGTTAGATGTGAAACTTACATCTAACGGACTATATGGAGAGAGAGAGAGAGAGAGAGGTCTGTTATATGTACGGGTACAGTATTCAAGCAACAAAACACAACACAACTTAACTTACATCCAACATCAACATAGTGAACATTGACCCCCTTGCTGCAGCGCCGTACTTTACTGCCTCGTGGACTCTCTTCCTCACAACTGTCATCGCCCGAGCCACTGTTTGACCCTCGACGCTTCACTGGTGCCAGAAGACCCATTGGCTGGTCCACATAATCCCCGAGACAAGAACCATCCAAGCTGTTGTCCTTGTCACTGTAAAAGGTTTACACACCTCTATTAGTATTGGTTCTTCCTCAGGTGACAAATATTCACATCATAGCTTGTATTATACTCCGCTTGGTGGCCATCTCACTGAACATCACACAAACTTCAAGGAGGTGATAGATTCCTTGGCTAGACTGGCCCTCAGATGTAGTAGTAATTATGGGATATTACTTTGGCCATTTAATTCTCATTCTTGTCTGTTTTTCATTCATTTAGTAAACTTAATTAAGACCATAAACTAAACAATCCAAGTTAAATACAAAATACCTACATGAAACTGAATTATTAAACAAAAGATATAACAACATCAAAAGCTTCTGTACCTGCTTCTCATAGTGATCTGACGAATAGGGAAGGAGTCTATCTGAGAGAGCAGTTCATCGTTGTTGTCTCGGAGGTGTTGGTTCTCTGCTGTGACGTGCTCGAGGCGTTCCAGCAGCCTGCGGTATTCTTCCTCTCTTGGACTCATGGACTCATACTCTGCCACCTGGTGGGACATTTGGGATTCATGACTCATTACAGTACTCAATAAATCCAAAATACTGGGGAAGGGGGGGGGGGGTCCATGTTGTTGGTTATGTATGAAACAGGTATAACTATAACTAGATTTTTAACTTCCAAATACAGTATTGTATATTAATTTTCCAAACATAATTTCCAGTATTCATTCTTTCAAAAGACTAAAATGTTCTTTAAAACCTGAAACACTGTGCTGACCCTACTGTATAAATGGTTAACTTGACCATTATTTAGCTGAATAAAATAGTTGAGTGTCAGTGTCCCAGAAGCCATCTAATCTTAAGAGTCCTCTTTCATGTATATTATCACTCACTCATCTAATTATCTGTTGTAAATTCTTTGATAATCTGGGCATTGATGTTATGTTGTTCATGTGAACCAATTAGATTCAGTCTCATATCTCCCAGTAATTGCAAAATATTAAGTACAAATCCTTAACCCAGGCTCAACCAATGTACCAGGTTTGCCTCTAACAGTTACCTTGTTCTTGAGTGTCTGCATGTCCGCCACCTGCTTCTCCATCTGAGACAGCTGTCGTTCTGCCTCCCTCATCTTCTCACTCAGCTCCAAGTTTTCAACTTCCAAACGTTTCACATCCTACAGTGACAGAAAACAACAATATAAAAACTGTATTAACACAAATTAAACAGTATCTTTAGAACGCCATTTTGTTGTGGATATGTAGAGAGACCTGAGGCATGGAAGGGGGATAAGAGAGTTAAAAAAAATATAAATCTGAAAAAAATATTACCACATCTGCCTAAGTTTGTTAATACTGCAGTTAACATTGCTCTTTATTCTTCACATTTAATTAATATCTATATAACAAGAAAAACCCCAAAATCTAAATGTATAATTGTTGCGCGAGTCTATGTTATCACGAGTCGTATTTTTAGGTTTTAGTTCATTAGATCATTAGTGACTTTATATGTTGACTTACAGCGTAGAGTGAGGACAACTTAGTCTTCAACTTGGATTCTTCTTGTAGCAGCTGACTGTTGTGTGTCTGCATCTCTCTCGTCACGGCAGACACCTGTTCCCGGGCCGAGTCCCTCTCGTGGGTCACCGCCTCTTGTAACTCTCGCAGCTGATCCCGGTATTGTCTCTCCAACTCCCTGTAATTGACTCACACGATTTCAAGATTTGTTCTGCCACACACTGTCTCTTACTAAAAAAACTCTTTGAAAAACTTCTAGACTTTGAGGTAAGAGTGTGTTTCAAAGCGTGAGGGTAAACAATCTACTTAACCCATAGTCCTGAAGGGTTAAATAATCGTCCTTAAAAGGTTAAATCATCATCAGCAACGGGTTAAACCATAATCTCAAAGGGTTATATCATTGTCATCAAAGAGTTTAATCATCACTGTCAAAGGGTTAAGGTAAGTTTAAATCCTTGAGTATAGAACCTGCAAATATACATAAAAAGAAGAGTCACTCAGGGAAAGGGACAAAAGTAGTTCCTTATGAAGTGGAATACAGAATAAAAGCTTCATTTCTACACAAGATAACGCCCACAAAACTAATTCCCAAGTTCCACAAGACTAATACTGGGTGGAGGTGAACTGTACTGTACTGTACTTACTGTATCTGGTACTGAGATGATGCCTCCATGTGAGCATTGTGTTCGTCCAGCTCCTGAGCCAACAAGGCCAGCCTCTGATTGGCTTCGTTCAGATCAAACCTGAGCTTGTTCCTCTCACCACGAGCAGAGTCCAGAGAGAGCCTGCCAATTGTGTTCAAGATTTAACAGTGAAAGTCTTAACACTGATTTTTTTTAATGATGTGTCAACAGTTTCATAATTGCATACTGTAATTAAATCATCACTAAAATTATAATTCAACATTATTCTAATTACCAAGGACAAAATTAATGAACAACAACAACACATTCATGAACAAATCAATTATGAATTAAACATTACATCCATACATAATCCTGGACTTCCATTAATAATCTAAGTCATACACAATACTGTACCCTGATCACTAACATAAGTATTAATTTTCTAAACTCTCTTTTATACTGTAAGGCAACATTATAATACTCCCATACAACCAACTGTGATTTAATTCCAATTCCCTTAATGAGCCACAAACAGTGAAACAGAGTAAATACAGCATGCCCGGATAATTCGCGGTCCTCTACTATTCGTGGATGACACCCTGGATGTACCCAAGAATGTCTGCGGGTAGTTTTAAAGTTGCCGGCATTTTTGCGGCCAGCACGAGGAGCACGCAAGTTTTGTGGCATCCGCAAGGTGTCTCTCTTGTCCCAGGAGGCTGACCCACGTACGCTCCCCCTCAGTTTGGGATAAACACTTGTCCGTCTTGCGCGTGTGCTACTCTGCTCTTGTCACAACTGTGCTCCTCGTGCTTGTTATGGCTCCCAAACGCCCTCAACCACCTTCGTCCAGCCACAGGAAGGTGCACAAACAAGTGAGGAGAGAAAAGAAGGTCATGTATTTCTCCCATACATATGCCTGGCTACGCTTGGCAACGGGAGCGGGTGAAAGGAGTGACTGCCAGTTAGTGCATTGCCTGCAGTTGTAACTCTCCTCACTCTCTGACATATTTCACTGGATTTACTGTTATTAATAGTGTTTACTGATAGAATAGTGCTTAATAGTGATTAATCATGTCATTGTAGCTAGGTTAGCTCATCAATGCAACCACCAGGCTACTGGGCCAAACTGTGAGGTGTTATGGTTTTTTTTCAACTTGTATTTTTGGGTAGATACAGTATAAGTAATACTTCTTCATTTATTTTTACTCATTTACATGCAAAGACCATCCTACATACATACAGTCTCTCCTCGACTTACGACAGGGGTTCCATCCCGACGACCAGGTCATAAGTTGAATTGGTCGTAAGTCGAAAAGGCGAAAATAATACATAGAAATTCTAAAATGGGTCTCTTTTTCTTCTCAGCACCACAAGAACTCTCACTTTTACGCTTGCCAGCCATTTTGTAAGTACACAGCGCGATCACTAACGTCGGGACTCGAAAATACGTAATGTGTAAATATTTTATACGACCATGGCCATCGTACGGGTATGTCCGGATTGTCGTAAGTCGAATATGTCGTAAGTTGAGGAGAGACTGTATTGTGAAAAACTATACAGTATTACACCACAATTACCGACATCCTTCATATTGGGTTGGCTAGATGGCTACGAAAGAAATTCTGTAAGTTTGATCTACGTATCAACCCAGCTGGCGCTGGCGCCTTATGGCAACTAGACCAATTGAACTTTAATAACAAAGCACCGAGTTGACTTGAGGGTAGACTTGCATTTTTTTCTACATTACATTTTGTTGTCGTGTTTCTTATTATTTGTGAGAGGATTTCCCCATTATTATTTATTTGTAAGCATTTTAATAATAATAATAATAGTTAACGGTTTATTGAAAGAGCATGGCAGCCGGAAGGCTGAAAATATGCAATTACATAATTGGGGAATGGGTCTCTTGATTTACAAATAACATAAGTGATACAAATATGATATATAATAACTAAGTGGGGAGAAGGTTATAATACAGGGCATTTCAACATAGTGACAGTGAAAAAAGGTAAGATTGACTGGGAGTGAATACACACACTGGTAAATTACGAGTTGTTAATAATTTTTATAATGGTTTGGGACTGGGCTATTCTTACTGTGTGTGTGTGTGTGTGTTAAAGAAATAATTGTCCTAGGGGCAAACACATAAAAGGAATACCCATTTCTTTGCACACAAGTAAAAATGTACCCCCCGTCAGCAAATGTTATTCGCGGATTTGGCTTTTCGTGGCCATTTTGAGAACCTAACCCCCGCGAATTTGAAGGGCATGCTGTACCAAACATAACACATACTCAACGATCACTTTAATCCCAATGAGGTTTAGACTGATTAAGCTTATCTCACCTGTTGGTCATATACAGATAATGTTGGTCTTTGTGTTGTGTCTTGGCCAACCTCTCGGTGTTTACGTTGCAACGACAGTACAGTATAAGTACAGTGTACCCCCCTGTACAGGTATATATGCACTCACCCATGTTCAAGACACCTATGTTTAAAGACACTCACCCACAGTCAAGACAATCACCCACAGTCGAGACACTCACCCACAGTCAAGACACTCAGCCACAGTCAAGACACCCATGTTCAAGACACCTATGTTTAAAGACACTCACCCACAGTCAAGACACTCACCCACAGTCCAGACACTCACCCACAGTCAAGACACTCACCCACAGTCAAGACAATCACCCACAGTCGAGACACTCACCTGAGGAACTTTATGTCGTGGAGGTAAGTGAGGACACACATCTGCAGGGTGGAGACGGAGGCGTTGCTTGAGCCTTGGTCCTCGGTGATCTGACACTCCTCCTCTAGAGCCACGGACAGGTCACAGAGGGAGAGTCGCTCGCGGGACCGGTGAGGGAAGCCCATCTCCCGCAGTATGCTCACCCCGTTATTGATGTTGAGGGACTCCCACAGCTCTAGTATGTTGTCCACAGTGGTGTACCTGAAGGAGGAGAAGTTTTTGCTTTATAGACTGATAGACCCTATACTTTTTATATATATATTTTTTTTTTACGGGGATTAGCCCACCAGGGCACAGGCCACTGACTCACATCGAGCCTGGGGGCGAAAATGTAATAATCATAATAATAATAATAATAATAATAATAATAATAATAATAATAATAATAATAATAATAATAACAACAATAATAATATACTACTACTACTACTACTACTACTAATAATAATAATAATAATAATAATAATAATAATTCTTAGTAAATAAATTTGTTAATAAAAATAAAAAATTAAAATTGAATAATAATAATTTATTGCAAATAAAATTTATAATCAAAATAAATAATAAAATAATAATAATAATAATAATAATAACAACACTAATAATAATAATAAAGAACTATAAAGAATTACAAAAATGAAAAAAAAAAGATTAATAGTAAGAAACGATATATGTATGTTGTGTTGTCAATAGTAAGAGAAACAATTGAGACCCTGCAATTGTGTGTAAATGAGGCAGAAAGTCAGATCATCAACCTGGGACTTGGTCACATATGGCAGCAGGGTCTACCATTAGACAACACATTATGCTTCCAATATCTTCCCAGGCGGTAGTACCTCCCTGTGTGGTACCTGCCTACTACCTACCCTACGCGGTAAATAAAGACTGAGGGGTAAATAATCAGAACACAAATGATAAATATCGTAGTATCTTAATCATTTCAGCATTAAAATGAGTGTTTATTTTTCTACACACACACACGCACTAACAAAGGGCGGGGAAGAGTGTAGAAGGAGGGGAAAGCCACAAGGATGCAAGGATAATACAGATAGATGATGATGATGATAACAAGGGGAGGGGGATAGAGAGAGGGAGAGGTGGGGAGAGGAGAGAGAGAGGAAGGAGGGGTAATACACAAGGATGTAAAGGATAATAGAGATATATAATGATTATAACAAGGAAGGATTCCCGTGTAGACGAGTTGGGTGTTACGCCACAAAACAATGACGGGGTGATTCTACCAACTCGCTGAGACGACACCCTCCCCCCCCAAAAAATCTCTCTCAACATAAAGATAACTCCTGTATGTACACTCCCCTAAGGCCGTGATCAGTTACACAACATCCACACTCACGAGACGTTCGGTTACTTCGTGTCACCATACTACTTTAGAAAACATTCCCGCTGACATACTCACGACTGTGAATGTGTCCTTCATATTCATGTTGAGCGGTTTGGTCTGGAGAGTTTCCTAACCTAACCTAATCTAGACTTACCTAACCTTACCTAAACTAACCTAACCTAATCTAGACCTACTTAACTTAAACCTACCCTTACCTACCCTACCCTAACCTAACTTAAACCTACCCTTAACTTCCCCTACTACTTAAACACACACACACACAGGACAAGCACCTCCCTCAGCCTCGCCCCCATACACTATCCACGCCTTACGGGACACTTAAAGCATTACGGTACATATCTTTCCATAACACACTACTTCCTGTCGTTTAGCGGAGAGAGAGAGAGGTACAGGTAGTGACGTCACCCAAGCAACAGGGCCCTAACGTCACCCACAGTCTGTCTCTCCCCCTCGCCAGTCAGTCTCAGCGTCTCTCCTGGGTCACGTGGCATGGTCATTATCTCTCCTTGTTGACTATCTCCCCACTACGACCCTTTAACAGCTACGAGACATAAACAACAACAGCCCAATTCATCCAAGAGACCGTAGTTAACCATTTGACATTAGGTGAACGCCATATTTGTCCAGATTTGTGACACTGAATTAATGACATTTGTGAACGCCATATTTGTGAGTTGTGGTTGAAAGGGTCGATCATCAGAGCAATTAAGAGGCGGCGGTAGAGTTCCTTGAAGAAGATTAACGAGGAAGAGCCCAGATAGCGTGTGAGTGGTGAAGATGACACTTCACAAGACAGTGGTGTACCTGTGGATGTCCTCCTCTAGCCTCGACCTGGCCCACCACCACGACACCCAGCGACCCAAGTCTACCGTGAGTGTGTGCGCGTGTGTGTGTGAGTGTCACCTTGAGTGTGTCCCCCATTAAGTGTGTTCCCCCCTAAGTGTGTAAGTGTGTGTGTGTGTGTGTTCCCTTAACTATGCCGTCCATACACCTGAGAAGTCCCCCTCTGGTACCACGAGAGAGAGAGAGAGAGAGAGAGAGAGAGAGAGAGAGAGAGAGAGAGAGAGAGCCTAGCCTACACCAACAACAGATCGTCTCGTTCCTCTACAGGCCCGGGTCCGGTTCATGACTGACACCCCCCCACCACGGTGTATACAAGAGAGGTCACGCAAGGTAAGAGTCACCTGTTTGTCGAGTCCTTGTTAACACTTGCTACTCTTTATCCTTATCCAAACTTATGTCTTTTTTAATCTATGTTCACCAATCCTCTCTCTCTAAACTGTGTCTCACTGTCTCTCTCTCTCTCTCTCTCTCTAAAACTGTGTTTCACTCAAGTTTCTCTCTCTCTCTCTCTCTAAATTGTGCCACTCAAGTCTCTCTTTCTAAACCTGTGTTCAACTCTGTATATATTTGACAGAGAGAGAGAATATATATATAATATATATATATATATATATATATATATATATATATATATATATATATATATATATATATATATATATATATTGGTAGGGAGGGAGGAGGAAGAAGGGGAGAAGGGGGGGAAGGGGGAGAGGGAGGAGAGGTAGGGGAGGGAGGTGGGGAGGGGAGGTTAAGGGAATGAGAAGGGAGGAGAGAGGTTAAGGAGGAGAGGGAGGGAGAGAGGTTAAGGGAGGAGAGGGAGGGAGGGAGGTTAAGGGAAGGGGAGGAGGGAGGTTAAAGGAAGGAGTTGTAACAGTACAAGGAGTTGGTGGTGTGCAGGATGTAGAATATTACCTTCACTATGCATTGTACCTGGAGGAGCCCTCTCACCTCACCTAACACCTGGAAGAAGCCCTCTCACATCACCTAACACCTGGAAGAAGTCCCTCTCACATCACCTAACACCTGGAAGAAGTCCTCTCACATCACCTAACACCTGGAAGAAGTCCCTCTCACCTAACACCTGGAAGAAGCTCCTCTCACATCACCTAACACCTGGAAGAAGTCCCTCTCACCTAACACCTGGAAGAAGCCCTCTCACATCACCTAACACCTGGAAGAAGTCCCTCTCACTCACCTAACATCTGGAAGAAGCCCCTCTCACTTACCTAACACCTGGAAGACTCTCACCTCACATAATACCTGGAAGAAGCCCCTCTCACATCACCTAACACCTGGAAGAAGTCCTCTCCCCTCACCTAACACCTGGAAAGCCCCTCTCACCTCACCCTAATACCTGGAAAGCCCTCTCACCTCACTAACACCTGGAAGAAGTCCCTCTCACCTAACACGGAAGAAGCCCTCTCACCTCCACCTAACACCTGGAAGAAGTCCCTCTCACCTAACACCTGGAAGAAGCCCCTCTCACCTCCTAACACCTGGAAAAGCCCTCTCACCTCACCTAATACCTGGAAGAAGCCCTCTCACCTCACCTAACACCTGGAAAGCCCTCTCACCTACTAACACCTGGAAGCCCTCTCCTCCACCTAATACCTGGAAGAAGCCCTCTCACCTCACCTAACACCTGGAAGAGTCCTCTCACCTAACACCCGGAAAGCCCTCTCCTCTCACCTAACACCTGGAAAGTCCCTCTCACCCCTAACACCTGGAAGCCCCTCTCACCTAACACACCTGGAAGAGCCCTCTCACCTCACCTAACACCTGGAAGAAGCCCCTCTCACCTCACCTAACACCTGGAAGAAAGCCCTCTCACCTCACCTAACACCCAGAAGAAGCCCTCTCCCTCACCTAACACCTGGAAGAAGTCCTCTCACCCTAACACCCGGAAAAGCCCTCTCACCTCACCTAACACCTGGAAGAAGCCCTCTCACCTCACACCCCACACACCTGGAAGAAGCCCTCTCCACCTCACTAACACCCTGGAAGAAGCCCCTCTCACCTCACCTAACACCTGGAAGAAGCCCCTCTCCACCTCACCTAACACCTGGAAGAAGCCCCTCTCACACCCCTAATACCTGGAAGAAGTCCCTCTCACCTCACCTAACACCCAGAAGAGGCCCTCTCACATCACCTAACACCCAGAAGAAGCCCCTCCTCACCCCTAACACCTGGAAGACCTCTCCACCTCACTAACACCTGGAAGGCCCCTCACACCTCTCCCTGGAAAGCCCCTCTCACCTCACCTAACACCCGAAAGCCCTCACCTAACTACACCTGGAAAAGCCCTCTCCCCTCACTAACACCCAAAGAGCCCCTCTCACCTACCCAAGGCAGCCCCTCTCACCTCACCTTTCCCAGAAGAAGCCCTCCTCACCCCTAACACCTGGAAAAGCCCCTCTCACCTCACCTACACCAGAAAAGCCCTCTTACCTAACCTAACACCTGGAAGCCCTCTCACCTCACCTAACACCTGGAAAGCCCTCTCACCTCACCTAACACCCGGAAGAAGCCCTCTCACCTAACCTAACACCTGTATGACCCTAACAGGTGGGGAGTGGAGGTGTAACGGGCAAAAAACAGTTAGCAATAGGGACCACATGAAGATTAAACACCCCAGCTTATCACACCTAAAGAGTGATCCTCGTGACACTAGCTAGCCTGGTTAACTAACCTAACCCAACCCGACATAATCTAACCTAACCTGACATAATCTGAGCTAACCTAACCCGACATAATCTAACCCTAACCCGACATAATCTGAGCTAACCTAACCCGACATAATCTGAGCTAACCTCCTGACATAATCTAACCTATCCGACATAATCTGACCTAACCTAACCCAACCTAACCAAAACACAAAATAAGGCCACACACGAGAAAATTATATCTTGAAACAAATCTTAAATCTTCACCATCACTTCCTCCTTTACACCAAGGGCGGATCCAGAGGGGGTCCTGGAGTCCGGACCCCGTCTTTCACCAAGTTTTCAATACTCTTTCTTTAATTCAGTACTGTACTCAGGCATTTTGTACCGTGAAAGTATTTACTACTGACTTCAAGTGCGCATGGCCTCAAAATACCCGTGATATTGGCCAGATTTAAATTTCTACAGGTCTTAGCCCCCCCCCACAACTTCTTGGACCCCCTTTAAATATTCCTGGATCCGCCCCTGTTAATACCCCCCCAAAGCCATCAAGCACTATGGTACTACCCCACCCACCAATACATGGGGAACTATCAGGGGCACAACATTTGGTTTTCAGCGCTAGTGACATGGGAGGGAGGGGGGAGGGAGGGAGAGAGAGGGAAGGAGGAAGAGAGAGGAGGGGAGACGAGAGATGGGAGGGAAGAAGAGAGAAGGGAGGAGACGAGAGAGAAAGGAGGGAGAAGAGAGGAGGGAGAAGGGAGGGGAGACGAGAGAGAAGGGAGGGGAAGAGAGGGAGACAGAAGGGAGGGGGAGACGAGAGAGAAAGGAGGGAGAGAGAAGGAGGGGGAGACGAGAGAAGGAGGGAGACGAGAGAGGAGGGAAGAGAGGAGGGCAGAAGGGAGGGGAGACGAGAGAAAGGAGGGAGACGAGAGAGAGAAAGGAGGGGAGAAGAGAAGGGAGGGGGGACGAGAGAAGGGAGGGGAGACGAGAGAGAAAGGAGGGGAGAAGAGAGAAGGAAGGGGAGAAACTCCCCCACACACCTTCCATTACCTTAGGCCCCAACACACTCCAGGTTGAGAACTCCACTGAAGCTCCTCGGCGTCACCATAGACAACAAACTAAATTGGAAACCACACGTCAGTGAAGTTGTCAAATCCTCCAGTTTCCGTCTCCACCTCCTCCGCCGACTCAAGTCCCTCAGAGTTCCTGCCCCCGAGCTCCTCAGTGTTTACACAACATTCATACTTCCCAAGCTCACCTATGCCTCCCCTACCTGGTCTTCCTCCCTAAATGCCACACAACGTAAACACCTCGATAAAGTGCAAAAGAGGGCATGCTAGATTATTCTCTCCCCTTCCTACTCCACATATCAAGAAGCGCTCAACACACTGACCCTTTCGGCTCTCTCTGACCATCACCACGACCTCACCTGCAAATTTGGTGAGAAGCTTCTGCACCATCCTCGACACCGGCTCCTACTTCCACACTATATCCCTCGTCCGCGAAATGTTGTTCAACACCACAACCGCATCCAGCCCATACGAGCACGAACTGATCGCTATAAAAACAGCCCAGTCCCAACCTTTGTAAAAAAATTATCAATAACTTGTAATAAACCAGTGTATTCACTCCCAGTAAATACAACTTCTTGCACTGTCACTATGTTGAAATGCCCTGTAGTTTGAGTTTTTCCCCATCTAGTTATTATATGTCTTATTTGTGTCACTTATGTTACTTGTATATTATTTGTAAATCGAAACCCATTCCCCAATTATGTAACTGTATATTTTCAGCCTTCTGACTGCTATGCTCTTTCAATAAACCGTTAATTATTATTATTATTATAACTCTTCTTCATCTCCACCAACGGCTGTGTTAAGGCTTATCACTCGACGCCTGAACGATAAAGATGGTTGCAGCGTCATAAACCAGGTAGTGAGCGATGCCTGGTGAGACAAGAGGGGTAGGGGGGAGGAGCCAGAGGGATAGGGGGGAGGAGCCAGAGGGATAGGGGGGAGGAACAGCAATGGTATGAGGAAGGAAGGGGAGTGAGGAAGGAGGAAGAGTAATGGAATGAGGAAGAAGAGTGTAGGGGAGGAGGGAGAGAAAGAGGAGGAGCAATGGAATGAGGGAAGAAGAGGGAGGAGGAGCAACAAGAGGGAGGGAGACCAGGTAGCCTGAGGGTTACCTGGGCAGGCAGTTGTAGATAGAAGTTGCCAGGTGGCGCCGCACACTACACTACCTCATGGACGATGATAAACAACAAGCCCTACTCTCCCCACACCAGGTAAATAAACCACTAATTACTCTCATCACCTTACTCTCTCTCTCTCTCCCCTCTACATCAACTCAGTCCTCAACCCACTTATTTCCTATCAGGTAACTTAACCACCTGAGCTGATGAAGAGACACGTTTGTCCTTATTCCCGCATTCTGTTATTCGATAAGTCATTTACTAATCACTATAAGATATTTCAGGTGATTACTGACCCCAGGTGTGTGAATATCAGTCATGTTATGTTTTTGTTTTCTTGGGAAGCAATACACACTAATCAGGGCTCGGTGAGTGTGGGCAAGTTTATAAACAACGGTATTTCTGGCTGATAACATCTAACCATATCAGTGGCGATTACAAACCTTTCGTTACCTATCTCTAGTTATCAAAGGCTGCAGGCAAAGATTCTAGTTAGGCTTAGGAGGAGGGGGAGGGTATTGGGGGGGGGGGTGAGGGGGAGGGTCATTTAGTCTCGCTGTGACCACCACTAGCCAGCTCCCACATCCCTCAGTCAGTCCATGCATCGCAGACCTTCACGACACCACAACACACTCACATTTTGTTGTGGTGACGTCGACGTTCTACCAGCCCCGATTCTGACTACAATGGTTAATACTGTGCTAAATTATCCTACGTAAGAGACCACGGCCCACAGGTCTAGTGAACGAAAGGAAACGATTAGTCTAGTAAAAAAAAAAATAAAAAAAAATCAAGGTACGGTAATGACAAAGTTCAAGGTGTACGTCTCTCTTGGGTGGACAAACATCTCTACTCCTCCTTCACCCCACCACGGCCTGAAAACAGTGAACTTAGACAGTGACCAAACTCCACCTTGAAGTACATCCCAGTGCCAACAACGTACAGTACTGCGTGTTTGTGCCCACCATTAAGATGTGACTTATGAACGAGAGCCACATGATCAGTGAAGTGAACCTGGCAGGTGTGTGAAGTGTAAACAACAGTGAAGTGAACCAGGCAGGTGTGTGAAGCGTAAACAACAGTAAAGTGAGCCTGGCAGGTGTAAGTGTGAAGTGTAAACAACAGTGAAGTGAGCCTGGCAGGTGTAAGTGTGAAGTGTAAGCAACAGTGAAGTGAACCTGGCAGGTGTAAGTGTGAAGTGTAAACAACAGTAAAGTGAACCTAACAGTTGCAAGTGAAGTACAAACAACATTAAACCTGTCAGCTGTAAATGAAGTGTAAACAACAGTGACGAAAGCCTGGCAGGTGTAAGAGTGAAGTGTGTGGTGCTGGTGCTTAGAGGTCAACACAACAGTGAATGAGGTCACCACAACGCCGCCACCCAACACACCACCTCACAGTAAGTCTCATCTTGTCATTGCTGCTCCACCAAAACATTTCTTTCATCCAGGAACTCCACTCCATGTTTCATATAATGTATTCAGTGTATCAATGACGTAGTTATTCATACGACAAAACTGTATTTAGTGTATCAATGACGTAGTTATTCATACGACAAAACTGTATTTAGTGTATCAATGACGTAGTTATTCATACGACAAAACTGTATTTAGTGTATCAATGACGTAGTTATTCATACGACAAAACTGTATTTAGTATATCAATGACGTAGTTATTCATACGACAAAACTGTATTTAGTATATCAATGACGTAGTTATTCATACGACAAAACTGTATTTCATAACAATAACAGAATGATGTTTCAGCTGTATCCAAACTACTGTATATAACTGTAGAGAGAGACCTAACATACAAAATCCACTGCTCTACAAAATCCACTCTCCTATAAAATCCACTGTTCTACAAAATCCACTGCTCTAAAATCACTCTCTAAAATCACTGTTCTACAAATCCTGCTCTACAAAATCACTCTCTAAAATCCTGTTCTACAAATCCTGCTCTACAAAATCCTCTCTACAAATCTGTTCTATCTGCTCTAAACCACTTCTATAAATCACTGTTCTACAAAATCCTGTCCAAATCACTCTCTAATCACTGTTCTACAAATCCTGCTCTAATCCACTTCTATAAATCACTGTTCTATCCTGTCTAAATCCACTCTCCGATAAAATCCACTGTTCTACAAATCACTGCTCTACAAATCCACTGCTCTACAAAATCCACTCTCCTATAAAATCCACTGTTCTACAAAATCCACTGCCCTACATAAACCTCCTTGCAAACCTGGCGGGTGAGGCAGACATACAGTAGGGCAATATAATACCTTTACATAGTGTTATATTACCCAAGAGTCACAACCAGGGTCTTGCGTTAGTCGTGACGTGGACTATATTGTACAACAGTTACACATTATGACCTAACCTAAACATCCCGTCTATTGTAAATATTGTGTGTGTGTGTGTGTGTGTTCGGTATTGGTGGTCGGTGATGTTGATGTTGGTCGTGTTGGTGGTGTTGGGGTGGGGTGGGGTCGGGTGGGGTGGTGGTGGTGGTGTGTGTGTGTGTGGTGGTGGTGTGTGTTGATTGTTGTGACATTGTGTGTGTGTGTGTGTAGAGAGCATAATTATATGCGTATGTATGTATGTCATCTAACAGCAAGAAGGTATGAATAACTGCACACACACACACACACACACACACACACACACACAAAGTATTTACATAATCAACTAATATATTTCTCCAGGTATCCAAACAGACATCAAAGGTGAAACTCAAGTCTGGTTACCTGAAGATTAGACACCCCCAGCTTATTATATACACACACCTCAATGTTTAATGCTACCTGTAGGGGTTGGGTTAGCTTAATTTAGATCAGGTTTGATTAAATTAGGTTAGGTTAGCTTAATTTTGATCAGGCTTGATTAGGTTAAATTAAATTAGATTAGATTAGATTAAATTAGGTTAATTTGGTTCAGAATTAATTACATTAGGTTAAACTAAACTAGGTTAGATTAGATTAGGTTAAAAGCGGACCCTGCCTCACCTACGACTAACACACGGTACAAACACAAATGGGGACTTAAACTACGGTTCTATTAACACCAATGAGAAGACCACGCTGATGATAAGGTGATAACATTGTGTGTGTGTGTGTGTGTGTGTGTGTACCAAGCCAACGTACTTCTTACTCCCTCACATACACCTGACAGGGTAGCAACACCCCCCTGATAAGTTACAACAATAACAAGATATACATGTGACCAAACCACACAGTAGGGAAAAAATACATAAAAGAACATATCGTTATAACACTAACATAAGAATGGAGGACACTGCAGCGGGCCTATTGACCCATACTGGGCCGTCCCGTTTACACCCAACCCCTATTGCTCATATAAGCATCCAACCTATGTTTGAAGCTATCCAGCGTATTCGAGTTAATGATGATGTTTGGTAACTTGTTCCATTCATCCACTACTCTGTTTCCAAACCAGTGTTTACCTATTTCACGCCTAAATCTAAATTTGTCTAATTTTAAACCATCGTTACGAGTTCGCTCCTGGTTGGATAGTTTGAGTACCTTTGTAATGTCCCCTTTGTTTAGCCCTGACTTCCATTTATACACCTCTATCAGGTCGCTCTACGTCTCTCGAGGGAATAGAATAAAACTCAATTACCTCACAACAATGTTGATAAGGACGCAAGCATATTATCAACAATGATTACAGGCGACAGACAGTCCACAACAAACCGATAAAAATGAGGAAAAAATACCACGAAACCTTTATTAAACAAATAATGTCATTTACGATAAGAAAACATAACAACCACAAAGTATTGATTATGAATTAATTTTTAAATTTAAGAAAAATATTTATTATATTTAGGAATAAATAAGCCATGCGAAAAGGTGAGTAATATTAACGAAAAATTATCTTTTAAAAAATTACATTTATTAAACGATGACATTTACAAAATAATTATCTTAAAAAGAAATTATATATATATATATATATATATATATATATATATATATATATATATATATATATATATATATATATATATATTTGTGTAGATCCACAATGAAAACGTGGATAAGATAAATTTTGATAAAACAGCACAAGTACAATACTGTATTAGAACAGCATCTGAAAGCAGTGCACTGTTCGTTCATGTTAGGAACAGTAATCATCACATAGATTGGGAAAACAGCTTAGAAGTGTTTAAATCATGTGTCACAGAAAAACTTCTGGTTTAAGTTAGTTTGATTAGAGAATTGAATTATATAAACCTTAGTGATGGTCAGTACAAAACTGATGTTACACAAATTTATTTGTCAGTGGCCCAAGGTTAAAAATGCTTTGAAAGCATTCGAGTTAGATGTAGGATAAATGATTAGTGGGTCCCATATTTTTGACCTGACTTAACATGACTAGTTACGTCGCCCTTTCTTTTAAGCTCCTTTGTGTGTGTGGTGGTGTTGGTGTGCGGATTAGTGGATATCGTATTTATGACCTGACGTCATGTTTAGTAAGGTCACCCTGTGTACTTAAGCCACTCTTGGTCCATGTAATTCAGTTGCCTCTGAAGATGTCTTGAATAAAGACGATGTTATACCTTGTTCCTGAGACAATGGGCAAAAAAAATCACTAGACGTTTCAACACACACAAAGAGATATATGACTGATAAATTTATTATTATTATCATTAACCACAACAATAAAACCTTAGCGGCGTATATTACTCTCTCAGGCAAAGAATGGCATTACTGTATGTAGTGCTGTTCCTCCCCTCACAAGCAAGTAACGACCTTCACATCTATTAACTCCTGTTTATATTGACAGAGGTATGGCCTACCTGGTAAACACACTCTACTGCTCTACTTTATCATTATGGCAGGAGTAAATAAAAGTTGGTATAGTACTTGACAATAATGTTTACTGACAAAATAATAAGACTGGTGGACTGACGGACACGTGTTGCCTTCGGTACGTTCTTGTTGATGAGGGAACAAAAGAACATAAGGAGTCTGCAATAGGCCGGTTGGTCTGTGCATGGCAGCTCCTGTCGAGAGTTACTACCACTCTCTATCATCCATGAATCTATCTAGCCTCCTTTTGGAACTTTCCAGAGTTCCCGCACTTACTACAAGTTGCTAAGCTTGTTCCACTCGTCCACCACCCTATTTGTGAACCAGTTTCTTCCTATCTCCCTCCTAAACCTAAACTTATCCAACTTGAATCCGTTGCTCCGAGTCCTATCCTGCTCGGATATTATAAGAACTTTATCTATATCCCCTTTATTGATTCCTTTCACCCACGTCAGTGTTGCTACATCAAGCAAGTCGGAATCAATACACCAATGCAGTGTTACCATTTCAGCAAGGGGATAATATTTGTACCTATAACTGACTTGTCAGTGTTAGCATGTCACGAAAGAGGCGGAATCAATCAATCAATCTCTCTCTCTCTCTCTCTCTCAATTAGCTGTTGCAATAAATACTTGCCTATAACTATTAATTCGACCTAGAATAACACCTAACCTAACCTGACCTATCCAAATGTGTGTGTGTGTGTGTGTGTTTTCTCCGAGGCGATCGTTGGCCAAGAAACACTAAACAGACACAGTTAGTTATCTTTCAAATGGACCCACTGACAGGTATAAAAAAATGACTCCCACATAATTAAAAACAGGTACTGCATCATATTTAGTCCCCCAGGTATCAAGTCATATCACTCCTTGGTCACATGTTAACTTCGTGATAAAAGCCACCTGGTGTTGATGAATCACCATTTATCAAACACAACAGCACAGGTCAACAGATAAAACCTCAAAATTAATCTGTCCTAAACACTTTAATATCTCTACCACCACCCACCCACCCACCCACTAACCCACCCACCCACCCTCCCCCACAATCTTGAAAGCTTTGTTAGTGCGACTCTTCAGTTTATTCTTCGTGTTAATGTTGTCACATGCGAACATTTAAGGTAAGATGCGTCTAATTATGACCCAATTTTTAGCTGCAATAATTCTGATCTCAGTTGAATAATGATGTTGTCTCAAATCAACGTATCTTCACATTTTTGTCGTAGAGTATATTAAGGTAATATTGATACGTTGTCTTCCCCCACAGGGTGTATGGTCTGACCAAGGGATTTTGTGAGTCGAATATCACACCAGGATACAATGGTATATATGCCACTGAATATATCTTAAGACCATTATATAGTTTATTGTCTGAAACACAATTAAAGTACTTTTTTCCTCGCTTATCAACACCACAAGTTAAGGAGTTTCATCCCCTCCCCCCACCGGTCAGCGATATTTTTAATTACTAGTTACAGTACAAGGAAAAACGACTTTATTACAGGGTGTACTCAAGACGTTTATTTTATTAACTCGCAAAAAATGTAGAAAAAATAAGTTCAATTAAACAGTAACTGACTTGGATCCCGTGGAAACACCGGCTGGGCTGACTGCCTGCACTGTACCAGCTGATTAGAGTGGTTTAATGTTGTGAGATTTTAATGTTGACATCAGTGTGGCCAGCAACACACATGAATGTTGACATCAGTGTGGCCAGCAACACACATGAATGTTGACATCAGTGTGGCCAGTAGCACACATGAATGTTGACATCAGTGTGGCCAGTAACACATGAATGTTGACATCAGTGTGGCCAGCAACACACATGAATGTTGACATCAGTGTCAGTAACACATGACATCAGTGTGGCCAGCAACACACATGAATGTTGACATCAGTGTGGCCAGCAACACACATGAACGTAGACATCAGTGTGGCCAGCAACACACATGAAACATCAGTGTAACCAGTAACCAGCAACACACATGAATGTGACATCACTGTGGCCAGCAACACACATGAACGTTGACATCAGTGTTACCAGCAACACACATGAATGTTAACATCAGTGTAACCAGCAACACACATGAATGTTAACATCAGTGTAACCAGCAACACACATGAATGTTAACATCAGTGTAACCAGCAACACACATGAATGTTAACATCAGTGTTACCAGCAACACACATGAATGTTGACATCAGTGTTACCAGCAACACACATGAATGTTGACATCAGTGTAACCAGCAACACACATGAATGTTAACATCAGTGTGGCCAGCAACACACATGAATGTTGACATCAGTGTTACCAGCAACACACATGAATGTTGACATCAGTGTAACCAGCAACACACATGAATGTTAACATCAGTGTGGCCAGCAACACACATGAATGTACTGTAGACATGAGTGTTTCCATACCTCAACCATAATGGAAGGGAACAATAATTAATTCCTGTCATCGTATTAACAGTAATTATACAATATACTGTACTGAGCACATGACCTCCACTGCCGGAAATAATTATAAACAGTTTAACAGTAACAGTTAATCTTCAATTATATGCAGAAAACAATTAAAACTGTGGATACATAACTTGCACGACGACACAGGACACGTAGGGTAAAACAACCAGTGAAACAGAATGTCTCACTAACTGTACCACCTGCAGCTAAACCTCCAGAATCAACCAGACACCTGTGTATGACTTTACAAACAACCCAACCTATCGTAAATGGATTAATTGTGACATAAATAAGCATGAAGCAACTTGATATCATTGTTATTCTGGCACAGCTGACACACAAGTCATATCAGTTGGCATACCGGAGGGGGCAGCCGAAGAAACACTAACTACTGTGTACAATGGGGATAAGCCATAAATGTGTGTGTCGGTACAGTACTAGGCTTCCGTCCCCGTATACAACACTGTCACTGAGCCGAATGCAATAATAAATAGATAATTTATACGGTCTGAGACACACTGTATGGTGTTAAATAAAATATGACACCTCTCTCTATCCCTTCGCCCTAGTAGCAGTGGCGGACTGGGTCAAAATTTTTCTACCGGGAAAACTTGTAAAAGGGCCCACTCAAAAGGGTCCAAAAATAAAGGCCCACTTAATCCCAAAACGTAGTCAAAGGAACCATCACTTTGGGGCCTACCGGGAAATTTCCTGGTATCCCGGTGGGCCAGTCCGCCACTGCCTAGTACTGTACTAACGATTCACCAAAATTGTGTACTGTACTTTATTCTTGGTACTGTGTTAGATTAAGTTACTGTAATATTATGTTAGGTCAGTTAGATTTGGTTATCAAGAAAGTTAGGTTTGTTATCAGTTTATAAGTATGTTAGAGTTAGGTTAGGTTTTGGTAGGTTAGGTTTTGGTAGGTTAGGTTAAGTTAGGATAGGTTAGGTTCGGTTAAGTTAGGGTGGGTTAGGTTAAGTTAGGGTAGGCTTAAGTTGGGTTAGGTTAGATTAAATTGGGGTTTCTTGAGGTTAGGTAATATTTAAAATAAGTTAAATGTTATGTAATTGTAAATAATTCTGCGGGCCCGTGGCAGCAATTCACCATTCTAGCACAGCACTCGTGTGTATGAAGGCATGAATATACTGTACTGTCATTGCCTCTTTACACGCAAACCCCCGGGGTTTTGTATCGACGGTCGAGTCTGGTTAATTGGACAACTTGTGCCTCTGAGCAGGTGTCAAGGAGTAGTCCAGACACTCTCCACGACATGAAACATAACAACCGACGCCTGAAAGACATACTGCAGCAGCCACATCAGAAAGTTCTCTTAAACTGAGTGTTAAATGAGAAGCAGAAGCCATAGATTATCTGCATCAGTGGTAGACATCAGGTTTTCCACATGAGGGAGCATAACACAATGACATACTAAAACTCTTCAACAAGTTTAACTATGTCATCTAACCTATTTTGAAGCATCATTTATTTTCTTTTGTATTGGTATTTGTGAAATAAACTAAACTTTCTGATTGTGGTTAAGTGAGTTTGGTGGTCCCGACAGATGTCGCTACAGGAGCCGCCAGTCCACGTCAAGACCACCTTCGGGTTCATGGGGGCAGTGGGTGTGGTGGTGAACATCGTCCTCTTCATTGTGGACATTGTCTCTGATGCCCTCCTGGCCTATGTCCTCTGGAAACAGGTAATGCCTCCACACTTTACAAGTAACACCTCCACACTTTACAAGTAACACCTCCACACACATTACAAGTAACACCTCCACACATTACAAGTAACACCTCCACACTTTACAAGTAATTCCTCCAACTTTACAAGTAACACCTCCACACTTTACAAGTCACACTTCCACACTTTACAAGTGACACCTCCACACTTTACAAGTAGCACCTCCACATTTTACAAGTAACACCTCCACACTTTACAGGTCACACTTCCACACTTTACAAGTAACACCTCCACACTTTACAAATAACACCTCCACACATTACAAGTAACACCTCCACACTTTACAGGTACAGTAGTACCTACAAATTTTTAATAAATTACTTTAAGTAATAAATCTTTCTGCTACTCTTTTTGTTTAATATTCTGTACAGTACAGTACTGTACAAGCTTCATATGAAATAAATTTATCAAAATTTCCTTACCTTTCAAATCAATAAAATGTAGAAACACTAAAAAATTACTTTGTCATTACAAAGTATTACTGTACAGTATTAATATTATTATTAATATCATTTTCATTATTGGTACAGTTATTATTATCACAGTACTGTACAGTATAGTATTATAAATAAACAGCTGTACTGGAGCAAATCTCAACTGATTAACATGTAATTCCAGACTGTACAGCTAGGAAGTACAGTTGTTATATCACAAGAGGAGGAATAATGCTGTTTGATATGTAATAGTGTAATAAGCACACTGTAGAGTACAGTGTTCAGTGTATGAGGTGTGTACAATTATAAAGCATACATACTGGCTTAAACATTGTAAGTGTACATATGCTGTGGCTTTAAGAGGAATCAGTATGTTTATTTAGACAGATAATTTGAGATAATTGCAGAAGTCAGTCAGTTATGGTGTGTTTGTATGGTGGATGAGAGAAGGAAGGAATCACTAAAACATGGCGTGTTTATGCAGGCAGACAAGATGGAGAACAAGGACGTCCAATCAGAGCTGTTCACCTGGTTCATCATCACACTCTGCATCATCATCCTGCCCATGGTTGTCATCAACATATTCAGGTGTGCTGCCAACCAACCCACCTACATCAACCAAACATTATTCACCTCCTGAAGTCCCTTGATAAATTGCCGCAGCTGTTATCACCTCCCTACGCCACTCTCCTCCCCCACTAGCGCATCCCTAACACCGAAAACCAAAATCTGACTTGCATTGTTCCTCGTCAACTCTATCTTACCGCCTTCCACCCACCTTAACAGACTATATGGAGGGAAGGAAGTCAGTTAGATGAGGTTTACCTGTACAGTACCTTTACCTGTCTATTCCTCTAATATTATAGAAGTGATGCAGCAACTCAAATCATTGTACTGTATATATATAAAACTCTTTGTCATTAGCGTTAAATCTTCCCACCGTCAACATTAAAAACCAAATTAATGAAAATCATGTAATAATTAATCATGGTTACTGTGAATAATAATGCTAGACTTTGCCACATGTTCTACATATAAGGACTGCACTAGACCAATGGAGAAACCCTAGTCTTAACGATACAAATTACAAATATAGATTAAGAAAGTACAGCACGATACAGGCTTAAAGGAACTGTAGTTAATGAGGTTTTGGTTTGCAGTCTGTTGTGGTACTGGCAGAACAAGATTTGTCTGGGAGACTACTGCGTCCTGCACAAGATGAGCACCTCACAGGCCATCATCAGGGTCTTCATCCATCTCCTCCTTCTTGGACCACTGATTCGGTAACAACACAACACACATACTGTATTTTAACTCTCAACCCATTAGCTACCTCTATTACATAATTTTCTTTACATCTTAGCCAAGAATGAAAGCTGAAGAGGTTGTAGGATATAACCCTCAAAGATAAGAACCTGATGAGAGGGGACTTCAAAATCCTGTGAAGTTTGGAGGCCTACCATCAGATAATCATGGCTAGCCCTCGCAAGCATGGTGATGATGATGACAGCTGATTGACAGGAGACTATTATGTTATAAGTACCATAAAACAGTATTGACTTACAGAAGATTACATCAACAAGAAATGCTGAATGTTGATATACATGGCTGATGAAATCAAATAAAAACTAAATCAAGTAGAGTACTGTACTTAATAGTACCTGGGTGAGAGATGCAACAAGTCAAATAATAACTCTTCACCAAGGACAACATTAAAGGTCTCTCCATTTCATCAATCATGTTCAGTACCTATCAGACCATTTTATATCCAGTGTAAGTCACTACTGTACAGTACTCTATGTCTGACTTATCATTCTAGGTATCTGGATATCTTAAGGTATGGCATTAAGATGAAGCGGGAGGTGAAGCACGTGGAGATGGGTACCAACGGTGCTCATGTACAGAGAAGAACACCCAGGGGGGAGGTCCATGCTGTCCTGCATATGGTGAGTGTAACCTTCCCTAGTGTATTTTGTGGAACAATTACTGAACTATAACTATCTGGTTTACTCCATTTCTTGTCACAATTCCAAAGGAATTCTCAAACAATATATAAGCAGAATGTTGCTTAAATGATATAAATTTGCATTCCTTCAATGAGCTGTCTTTCTGAGCTGATATGAATCAACACAAACAAAACAAGCATCCACTACTGTATTAACTTAATAGAATAATCAAAAGTAGAATTTAAGTATTTCCTTTCTTTTATCCCCAAGATAATAGGAAGAGACACCGCCATGCTGGACATGATGCACAGTTTCCTGCAAGATGCACCACAACTTATTTTTCAAATCTTCCTGTTGTACCGGAGTCCTAAAATCATCATTGGCACTGAAAAAATTTCTCCAACGAGTCAGTTCACAATGATCATTAACTATATGTTTTTCTTTTACGTTTTCAGGACAGGGTATTTGGCTTGTAACAATGTGTTAATATTTCTTGCATAAAAACATGTCTCTGATATAATGACGACACTGTACAGTGTGTGCAACAGTACTGTGCCACCTAACAGCTGCACATTTACAATCATTTCTATTATTCTTCAGCCACAGCAGTACAGGTATGGAAAGTCTTGCTGGGCGTGTTTGCCATGTCATGGTCATTGGTGTCATACCAAGATGAACTACGTCGTACAGTGCCAAACAAGACTCCGCTGTCCTGCTGTGCCACCACTACCTGCCTCTTCTGGCGGGCAGCTATGATTACCTCCAGAATAATCGCTATTGGTTCATTCACAGCAATACTTGTAAGTTTATTACTGCTTGACTTAAAAACTGTAATAATATATATAACTATATAGCTACTGTACAGTATAGCAATACAGTTCAGTACTGAGAAATGATCCATCAAGACACTGTACAGTAATTACAAAGTCACAATGTTCACATAGTGAGCCAACATGAAGTAACTGCAGTGTACAAGTATTATAACTCCCGTCAGTCTCACCCAACTCTCCTCCTGCTCACAGCCAGCAGGCCAGAACCCTCAAACGGCACTTTCTCTAAGCTGGACAGACTCTGGTGGGAATCTGGTAATACCCTATCCTGTCGTGGCTATGTGCATCCTGATAGGCCACTGGCTCATCATGACTGCCTGGCTACACGCACAGGTACGTAATGAGCTTTAACGTTATGGAAATCTCATTCAAACAACATAGATCCTGATCCAGCAAAGCCTAGAGATAACACCACTACCCTAAGGATGCTAACTGGTGCATCATGTCCTTCATTACTGTTGCACCAACACTGAACAATAAGTCATAACAAAGTAACAAAGAACAGACCAACTGCCCAAACAGCTGTTAAGTGGTGAAATACTGTACAGTGATATCTCCATTAGCCGGAACAATTGGTGCAGAGCACTTCCGTAGACGAGATTTCCGGGTAACGAGACGACTCTCTCAAAGCCGGAAAAATATCCCTCATCCCCAGAATTTTCCGGGTAACGGAAAATTTTTCTCGTTATTTCCAGAAAATGGGCCTGATTTTCAGCTCTCAAACCTGGAAAAAACTCCCCCATCCCCGGAATTTTTCGGGTACAGTATTGGAAACATTTTCTCTTTATTTTCTGGAAAATGTGCCCCTCGGAAAATCATTCCCAAAGCCGTAATTTTCCAGAAAATTACGGCTTTGGGAACGATTTTCCGAGAAAATTTAAATTCCGGCTATCGGAAAGTTCCGGGTTTGAGGGATTCCGGCTAACGGAGATATTACTGTAATACATTAATACTGTCAAGATATGAAATCCAAAAGTTTCAGGTGCACACAACAGGCAGACTCATGACAAAGTTGTTGATGATCTTTATTTGCCAAAACTGCTTGAGGAGTAAAAGAGACTCAAGACAGTACAGTATTATACCTTAATTAAAGCTCTGTCATTGCTGGTGATTAATGGTCCTTATTTTTTTCAGGGAACAACATTCTGTTCCCAAGAAAACGGCAGTGGCCGACCAGTGCTGGAACTATTGTATAACTGTGTCATGGGACTTGTTCATATCTTCTGCTACATCAACGTTAAAGACACACCTTCACGCAGACGTATGGTGTTCTTTTATACCTTCTGTCTCATAGAGAACTCTGCGATTATTGCCGTCTGGTATGTTGAGGTCAGTATTAATACATATCTGATGCTCGATTCATTCACTTAGTAAACTCGACCAAGTGCTGTGGCATCACCATATTTGTTCCCAACAATATAACATATTTTTTTAGACCTTTCTCCTGCTTAGGGACCATAGTGCTGGTTTGAAGGTAAAAATAATCAGGGAATGGCTGTACTCATGTAAGACAAACAATACCTTGTACAGTAGCTCAAGTAATCCTTGCACACAGCTCCACCATCATGAGTTTTTGCATTTTCCAATGTCTTTTCTAAATACAGTAATTCACATGAGTATGATCCACTTTACCTGTATTTGTAAATACAATAAACTACAGTACAGTACTGTATTTGGTGAATAGGCCATTACAGAAGCCAGCAATTGCATGGAAAAATAATATCTGTATACTAATATAGTATAGTTGATGGAGAGAATGGATGGATGAGACTAGTTGGGCCTAGAGGTGCATGAGCCTAAATGTGGAGGGAAGGAGAGCCAGGGGTAGGCCAAAAATGACATGGGGGAGAAGTTGTAGAAATAGCATTAGAGTTAAGAGGATGACAGGAGAGACTGCAGGAGACTGTGCAGCATGGACAGCTGCCATCAGGTAACCATGGCTAACCCATGCAAGCATGGGCAATGGCTGTAAAATGTTGATGATGAAGGTGCTATTGGCTTTATAGTAAGTGGGTAGGAAAAAATTACATCAGAAGGGCTTAGAAAGCTCAATCACTGGACTGCCATAAATATTATTACTGCACACATACAGATATAAATGATACCAACACTAAACTGTATCTTCCCACAGATGGTGATGTTCCCAGAATGGTTCCGGGTGGGCCTGATATTCAGCGTGGAGATGCTTTGGTTGGTGGGTCTGTGTTGTGTCATCGGTTACTACGGTTTTCTCCACCCAGATCACACTGACCTAATTCAACACAGAGAACAAGCCTCGTGGCGTCGGTAATCTCTCCTCTATAAATTATTATGTGGGTTTTGAAGGTGACAACTGATCAGTCAATTTAGTATTACTGACGACACTACTTAACCCCTTGTGTATGGGCTCATCTTTGTAAAGGGGTTACGAGTTTTGTTACGTTTGCAATAATATATTAGTACAGTAGGCTCTCACCAAGAACGTTTAATAGGTGCCTGAAAAACACCGTTATTAGCGAAAACGTTATTAATGTGACATTAAAATACATGTAAAAAGGGTTTATTGGTGCAGCCGCCACAAGAATTTCACCCATTTTTTTCCCTTGAAGCCCTGCCTAACACTTTTTGTTAGCTGAAATAAAAATAATTGTTATTCAATCATCAAAATAAAGAGGTTGAGTAATATAACACTTAGCTTGGGGGAGTTTTTGAGGTGCTTGGTGTGATGATTGTTCCGTATCTGAGGGCCGCTAACACTTGCACTGTCTTTCATTCTACAAGTTAACCATTTCACAAGAAAATGCTCTGTTATCACTAACAACCTGTTTCTATTGCCTTTATCATTCATAGCTCGCCTTGCATTTCCATCATTACCGAAATATTTTTAGCCAGCGCAATACTCTTCTTGGTCTCCTCTAAGTTCCTCTTAATATTTCGCACTGTAGACTCAGGACAGTTCAATTTCCTCACTTTAAAAGTTCCCAGTCGTTCAAGTGGCAAATCACTCCCTCCACCACCTCCCCTAGCCCCTGCAGGCAAAAATGCGGAAGCTATTATTGATCACCGACCCTAACAACCACTGGTTATAGAGGCGAAAATCTCACACGTGGGCGCAGCGCTGTATTCCACTGAGCGTGAGTGAGAGCGAGGCGGAGCGCACAACTACGTCATCAACATGGCGGCAAACAAACGCTATCGTTGATGCGTTCGAACGCTTCCCGCGAAATTTCCGTTATTCAAGAGAATCCAGACGTTATTATTGAAAATGGATATCTATTGTAACTTACCGTTATTGTCGAAAACGTTATTGTGGAAGTCGTTATTGGCGAGGCCACTATATGGCAGTTTGCTGCTGTACACTGCTGGCAAGTACTGTACTGGGCATGCATGGCCTCTTGCATGTACCTCAATATGTGCCAGTGTTTGCCACGTCAAGACTTAAAAGAGCTCACACTCTGCAGTCACAACATTATCTGGCAGGTTACTCCATAAATTCACAGCCCTTACTCCAAAGATTTTGGCTCAAACAGTTAGCTTCTGTAACTTGAGGCTGTGACCTTGAATGGGGTGACCTTCTCTCAACTCCAGACTCAAACATTTGACTGAGTAATGTCCTTTGATTTGCATACACTGTACAGTATACAGAATGTTTATTAAGTTGCCATCTGTTCTTTATATAGTACAGTACAGTAATCTGCCATAATATATAAAACAACTTGTCAGTTATATATAGATGCTTGTTTACTTTACCAATTAATTTCCTTTTGAAGAAAGTGTTTTTTCTGTAATTTAACGTGTGTAACTTATCTACAATTGCATTTAATTTTAAAATTGACATTGTCTGCTAATATACGTATTGTATACCAGACAAATTAAAATTTAATATAAAAATATGAAAAACAGTGAACGTCTTTTAAGTAGGGTAACCACTTATGCTTCACCTACACTAAGCCACACAAAACAAACACTATTATTGTGTTAGTCAGGGCTGTTAAGCAGGAAACTGTAAGTATTAGAAAACACACCAAAGAAGATGAATTCTTTTGATATATTAAGTGTTGCCAAGGGGATCATTCATGTACTGTACTTGACAAACATCATATAAGAGAAAAAAAATTATATTAAACCCCTCAGGAAAGATTCTCGTCATATACAACACATACAGTACAGTAATAAGATATTGTACTGTACACAGTAGTTACTGATTATGTGTCTGTACCAATGATGTCTCCATATTACACCAGTATTGATTCTGGTGCTCAGTTACAATGAACTGTACAGGATAACTTAACTAAGGTACAATCTGACTTACTTGACTTATCTCTATGGTACTCTTCACTGCATCCATTCATTATCTTCATCCCTTCGCTTCAGTCTTGTCACCTCTCTCATGCTAGGTTCTACACCCTCAGTTTCTGGCCACAGTAATCCTTCTTGGGACCTCCTCCCATGCCTGACTCTTTTAAGCCTTATACTATTACTGTACTGTCTATCATCCTCATCACATGGCAAAATAATAATCAAACCTGGCATCTTTTAATCACAGACTGAGTGGTGGCTGTCTGAACATTTCAATCAATCTATTTCACACTTGAAGATGTTATTAACTGAACATTTGTGGAAATGAATGGCACTTGAATGAGATTTCTACCAAAACAACACATACTCATGTCCAAACAGTACTGTATGTATAATTGAAATATTTGTAGGAGTATTTCACTTTTTGGAAAGACTTTTATATTCAGTGCCTCAACTGACGCTACCGCGGTTGCTGGAGGATCGGCTTTTTTCACACTTCATTTTTCCAACATTCGCTGCCTGAGATCCAATTTTCCTTCTGTGGAGCACCACCTATTAACCTCTTCCCCCGACCTCTTACTACTATCCGAACTTCAACTGACCAAAGCAGCTTCACCCAAACCTTTTCAAGTCTCCAACTACAACCTTTATACCTCCTTCCGTTCTAAGGGAGGTGTATGTGCCTACTGCAACACACGTACTCCTATAGCTCGACTCACGGTTCTTGAATCTTCCCTTTATGAAGTCATCTGTCCCAAAATATCTCTACCAACTATAACTATTGTTCATTGTTTCCTATACTGTTCACCCAAATCAACCACATATTTGAAACTTTTTGACTGTCTTACTTCTTGCCATGAGTCGTTGCTATCCACACACCCCAACACCGAGATCCTCTACCTACAGGATTTCAATGTACATCACAGTGAGTGGCTTGGTTCTGCAAGGGATGACCCAGGTGGAGCTGAGGCACTCTCTTTTTCCTTGCTTAATGATCTAGAACAAATAATTAAACACCCTACACGTGTTCCAGATCGACACGATCAACTTACTAACATTCTTGATCTTTGTTTTACCTCTAACCCCTCATACCGCCTCCCCCACCCCCCTCTAAGCGCCTACCATGGCACTATCGGAGGGCAAACTGGCAATCCTTACGAGAATTCTTCGCCGAGTTTCCTTGGGATGAATGTTGCTTTTCCACTCGGGACGCCTCGGTATGTGCTGACAGCATTGCTGGGGTTATACAGGGTGGTATGAGTGCATTTACCCCATCTTCTGCCAAAACTTTCACTTTACAATCATGGTTTGATTGCTCCTGCTCTCTTGCATGCAGGGAGAGAGATAGGGCATATCAAGCTATGAAACTATCTCCTTCTCCAATTACCCACTCCTCTTTCATTACTTCTAGGAATCGTTGTAAGGCTATTCTTCGTAGGGCCAAGCGAAATTTTATAAACAGAAAGACAGCTGTCCTAATTCATTCTTCCTCTAGTAAATCCTTCTGATCCTTAACCAAACACATATGTAATAACTTCTGCACTCCTTCTTTTCCTCCGTGCTTCCGACCTGATAACTCTATAGCCAACTCTCCCCCTGATAAAATCAATCTCTTTGGCACCTTATTCTCCTCTAACTCCACCTTAGACGATTCCAACTCTATCCCTCCTACCCCTGCTCCCCCTACTGAACCTATGCACTTTCCTATAATCTTCACTCGTAGGGTTGCTGGTGTGTTATCCAGGTTGGATGTGAGTAAGGCACATGGACCGGACGGAATACCCCCTCGTGTTCTGAGGGAGTGTGCTGAAGCCCTGGCCCCTGTGCTTGCTCGCCTCCTTCGCCTTTGCCTCAAAACCCAACCTTTTCCTTCATCTTGGAAGCATGCCTTGGTTCAGCCTATCCCGAAGAAGGGTGACCATTCTAATCCGTCTAACTATCGCCCCATTGCCCTAACTTCATCCCTCTCTAAGATTTTCGAAACTATCTTGAACTCCCATTTTCTTCATCACCTTGAATGCCATTCTCTTTTGTCGGATCACCAGTATGGCTTTTGCCAGGCGAGATCTGCCAGTGATCTGCTCTCCTACTGCACCCATCTTTGGTCATCCTCTCTTTGGGATTATGGGGAAACTTTCGTCATGGCCCTCGACATCTCCAAAGCATTTGACAGGGTATGGCACAAGTCTTTGATTTCTAAACTTCCTTCTTTGGTTTCTCTCCCCCACTTTGTTCTCTAATCTTTAGCTTCCTTGAGTACCGATCCATGGCAGTTGTTGTCGAGGGATCTATCTCTCGCTCTTTCTCTACCAATAGTGGTGTCCCACAGGCTTCTGTTCTTTCACCGACTCTCTTCCTTCTTATTATCAATGATTTACCTCACACTACAACTAATTCTATCCATTCTTATCCCGATGATTCTACCCTTCACTCATCTTCACATTTTCCCCTTCCTCCTAACTCTCAAACTAGATCTGTTTCTAGAGCTGATATCATTACATCTATCAATGTGGATCTGTTCAGCATCTCCGAATGGGGAGGTAGAATCTTGGTTAAATTCAATAGTAATAAAACTCAGTATTTACCAATTACACTTTCCAAATTAGATGATCTCCCGCCAATCACATTTCAGGATGTTATTATTCTACCAAATTCTAAAATAGATATGGTAGGTCTCACCATTTCCTCTAATATGTCATGGAAGCCACACATCCTGGGAATGCTGTACAAATGCCGTAGCTACTTCACTCCTGAGCAGTTGCTTCAAGTATATAGGGGATTCATTCGTCCTAACTTGGAGTACTGCTCTCATATCTGGGGTGGCTCGTCTTCTGTACAACTGTTAGATAGGGTGGAATCAAAGGCATTTCATCTTATTTACTCTCCTCCTTTAGTTGAAAATTTTTCTTCGCCGCAATGTTGCTTCACTCTCTCTCTTTTACAGGTACTTTAACGGGCAATGTTCGGTGGATTTGGCATCCTGTGTACCGCCGGCAAGGCCGTGGGCTCGTAACACACGTCTTGCCCGCGGTGCCCACCGTTTCTCTGTGGATGTCGGTCACACTAGATTAACCCGTTATGGTACATCCTTCTTTCCTCACACAGCCAAACTGTGGAATGCTCTGCATTCTTCTGTGTTTCCATACTTATACACTCTGTCTCACTTTGAAAAGCTGGTTTTCTGGCATCTTCGTGGTGTAGATTAATATAACCTTTTCCTTTTCTATTTTTAATTTCTTCCTATTCTTATTTTTTCGCCCCCTAGGCCCTGTTGTGGGTCGATGACCTGTGCCCGGGAGAGCATTCCCCGCAAAAAAAAAAAAAAATAAATAAAAATTGTTACCAATACTATGACACACCCCGGCCATACAAGGTCCTACTGAAGACACAGGCACCAGTTCTTTATTACTGTATTATTATTATTATTATTATTATTATTATTATTATTATTATTATTATCATCATCATTATTATTATTACTATTACATTTTCGTCCCCCAAGCCCCGATGTGGGTCAGTGACCTGTGCCTGGGTGGGCTAATTCTCGTAAAAAAAAGAAAAAGAAAAAAAAGTGACAAACTTATTCATGTATGTCTAAGATAAGGTTGATGATGAATGAACAAATGGGTGAACAGAAATGATTGATTGATTGACTGATTGGGCAAAATATCAGGCTGTAATTATTTGATGCTGATAATGAAAATCATAAGTTAAAACTATGATATCAAAAATAAAATAAAATACAACTTAAGAAAATCACAAGTGGTTTTAACAGAGGTCAGACAGACAGGAGATGAGGCACTTCCCCTGCCAAGGATTCACAGCCTGGTTAGGGCTAAGAGCAGCATATATCAACATTAGAGTTTCCCCTGATACAACTTCCTTCCTATAAAAATATCCCTCATTGTCCTGCCCATCATACTTTCCCCGATGTAAAAGTAAAACAAATAAATTCTTTCCATTAACAGTAAACTAGATGAACACTTCAGAATAAACTGGAGAAAAAATTTAAAGTTTATTAAGTGTAATCCATCATAATTATGTGACAATAAAAACTGTAATAAGCAAACTATAAGAAAAAACTACACTGTGGGTGTATGTTAAGTAATCTTCTTTCTCTTGTTGTTATGTCCAGCCCTAAATATAACATCACAAGACACTACAGTATTCTCTTGTGGCTGTTAAACATATCACTGGGGAATGACCTCTTAGATGACAGGTTATATGTCACAATATATACTGTGAACTTTGGGCTTCCTTCATAAAGAAGATATCCTAAGATTTGTTATTAATAAAAACAGATTAATATAAAAACAATTTCAAATGTTTTATATATTGCTTACTTTTATATAAGGTTATTCTCAGCATAAGCTCCACTGTGTGCCACATGTGTACTGAAGTTCACTACTAACTTGTGCTTACTGATTGTTGTACCATTTTGTATTTACTTAAACAAATTATGTACATAACTCAATAAATCACACCATGACTTATTTCTTCAACCTAATTATGACATCTATCTTTATTGTTGTGTGAAAGTGACCAACTTCCTTTACACAGGAGATTCCAGTAAATATGATAAATGGTTACAAACAAGGTATAATAATCCTAAAGAAAATAATGACGAGTTATGAAAAGAAATGTATTGAAATATTAAGATGAGGAAATGGAGAGTTGGTAGCCGGGATATGTTGAAATAGATTACAATATTATAATTAATTACTAAACAAACTATAGTAGAGGCTCCCTGATCCTAACCAAAAAAGAAAGTTCTGTGCAGGTTTTTTTTTTACACACTCAATACTAATGTCTACAAGAACTTAAAGAAACATTAGTTACCCATTAAAGTCAACGTTTTCTATTACCATTTTTTAATATCTCCTAACATTCCTTTCAAAAGTCATTCAATACGGATTATATAATTTTTTTCGTTTAATTTAACTGAGATTGAAATTTTAGTGAAATAATTCAAGAGATAAAGAGAAAAAATACGTTTTTTTTTTTACGCTAGAACGCACTGCAGAAGTAGCCAATCAACGCATAGTATTGATCTTGACTTCACTGGGGCGACCAATCAGCGGTCAGAACGCACTGCAGAAGTAGCCAATCAACGCATAGTATTGACCTTGACTCCACTCGGGCGACCAATCAGCGGTCAGCGTGAGCGTCTGCTAAACAGCTGATAGAACAACAACAACAATGGCCAAGACGAGTGGATATTACTCTAAATTCTACTCCAGTTTCTGTACCACGAGACAGAGGAGTGTGTGGCGTGACTCAGGAGGAGTTCTCTTGGGGTTTAACATATTAAAACTGTACGAGAACCCCGACAGTATCAACCAGGAGGTGAAGACGGCCAAGATAATGAACTGGAAGGAGAAGACCGGCACTGACAGACTACGGCTCATGTTTTCTTATGATGAATTCGGCAAAATGAGTCCAGAGATGGGGATGGTAATTACTCTACTATATGTCACTAAGAAAAGCCAACCATATTTTAACATAAACCATGTACACAACCAATGCTGGTGGGTGTGTGTGTGTGTGGGTCATCTTTCTTTACCTGAACATGGGATTCATTGAGGTCATCATCCTAATGCTTCACAGACATTAATAATAGGCACAGGATAAAGGTACAGCAGCCTACTGTGAACCACTATGTCTATTGGTACAGCAGCCTACTGTGCATGAATGGTCGTCAGACTATGCAATGATAGTTGCTACGATGGCCTTCTTTCTGACTAACCTAACCTAGCTACTTTACACACAACCTAACAACCTATCTTAAATAACCTATTTAAATAAGATTTACCTCCATTAAACCTTATAATGTATCAGCAGCTAGTAATTGTTTCTGTAAAAGTGTCTGTGTGTATGAAATCCTGTCCAGATGAAAATTACCACGATAATATGGTTTAAAAATTTGCAAATCTTCATCATTTCTTGAAAACCACCAAAATAATACAGGTTGTACCTCTCTAGTCCGGCATTCTGTGGTCCGGAACGATTTTAGTTTGTCCAATAGGTAGATAGGCAGCTTTTTTTTCTTCTTTTTTGTACTTATCTGAATTATTATTATTATTATTATTATTACAGGAGTATTAAATTTTTGCCCCTCAGACCCCAATGTGGGTCAGTGACCTATGCCCGGGTGGGCTAATCCCCGTAAAAAAACAACAACAACAAAGCCGCGGGAAACTAAGGTTTGTTTACATCCGGCAGTTCGGCTGCTCTCTCTCTCTCTCTGCTTGTCTATACAGAGTACAACATTTAACCCTTCAATATATATGAGCAGTAAATAAGTGTTGCTTTCATATTCTTATGTAAAGTAATGACGATATGTTTTCACATGTGCGCATGAGCACTTACATACGCGATCTCTCTTTTTTCTTTACCATTATCGTTAGCTACTTCTATTGTTCCATTTATTAACATTAAATAACATTACTTAAAACAACCATATTAATTTTACTACAGCTACAACCAAGGTCTAATTTTCTTCAGTTTTATATGTAGAACCAGTCAGTCACTGGTTTTGTAATCAACGAAAACAATGCAGTCTCATTTCCTCGTGTTTTAATATTCTACGTATTATTAATGAATTGTATTGCTCATTTTGCACACAAACATTAATTCAATCAAAAAGACTTTCAGTAATAAACAATAATGAATCTTTTGTACATAAGAGAAATGACGCTCTTTACAGATTCTGCACGTCGTCTGAACGTTGGTGGGCCGTTCAAACACGTCGAAATTCGAGTTTCCGCCGTCAAAATTTTTAAATGTGTTGTTTTTTTTGTGTTCAAATAGAAAACGTCGAATTAAAAACTCACGAAATTTGAGAAGCTACTGTATGACATTTAACCCTTCAATGTCTTCAAAGAGACCATGAAGCAGAGAAAGTGGTGCTAGTGCTTTCAAGCCAAGTCACTATCTATCCAGGAAAAGGGTGAATTTCCATGGTCCGGAAATTTCCATGGTCCGACACCGGTCAGGTCCCGAGGTTGCCGGACTAGAGAGGTACAACCTGTAATAATACAGTAATTTGTCTTCTGTAGGAAATTCTTGTAACGTTTCTGGTTAATGTGCTCTGCTGTTCTAGAGTATTACCAGTTTTCCTAGAATCAATGCTGAAGAAATGAATGTTGTTCATTCATGGACTGCTATCAAGTCGCAGTCTTAGACTTAAATATTTAAAAAAGATCGAGACCATATTTTAAAGTGGATGAAACAAAGCAGCCAATCAACAAATTTCATTATGTTGTCTCTTGCAATGGCTGAGAATTGAATGATTCTTGAGAAACCTAGCTTAACCTAACCAAACCTCAAGCTAGAAATAACATGACAAACATAATTTCTAAGCTATCACAAGTGACAACATGACAAGATATATCTGTACAGATACCCACAGAGTGTTATTTGTGTTGTGTTCTAGCGTCAAGAAGTTTGGTACTGTCTGTTAATGAAGCATCAAGTGATGTTTCAAGACTTAGGTAAGCTTGTGTCCCATGACAGAAGGTAACATTAGGAAACTCTACCAGCAAGTGTTCGCAGCACTCCCTCCAAAGCTGCTAGTGTGCATCATGATCAAATACATGTTGTTGTTGACAAACTGGAGTTGTTGTTGACAATTGTTCCAGACTGACATAATTTTCAGCTGTTCACATCCTTTATATGTTGTGAATTCATGCCCACAGGTTGTAAATGGTGCCATGCTGGGAGCCTTCACAGGGACTCTAATTGGAGGGACACTCCATTCAAAAGAGAGTTTTATCAAATTTATAGAACGAAACCAGGGAACTGCATTCCAAAGCACATTTGAAGCTCAAAAACAACTGCAAACTAAGGTAAAGTAATCACACATCCTAAAATAATGAGTTAAATAATATTAAGTTGCCCTATATTTTTTTTACAAAAAAATACACAAAACCATTTACTATAAAAAGTAATATTTAAAAAGTGTAGGTACTGAAAGAACTTTGTGTGTGTGGTAGCGAGTACATGTCATTATGTAAGCCTGTATTACTATTTTTATTTATTTATTTTTTTTTTTTACTCTGTTTAATGTCAGGGGATGAAGAAACCTCCAAGAAAATTGTTGGGTGGGCTAGGAATCATTACAGTACATGGGGTAGCTAGCAAGGAAATTTTATGAAAAGCTTAAAATCATTTCTGAGGAACATTGTGTACCAACAGATCAATCATCCCTAGAAGCTACAAGCACTGATTCTTTTAATTAGTTAAACTGTCAGGTTATGTCTTATTCACAAAAGCTACAGAGTTATGATTATCTAAAATAGTTTGCACTAATTTTTAAGCATAATAAATAGTTAACCTTCGGAATTTCATAAATATGCTTTCTTATAACTACTGTAATGACATTTTAATAATGTGTAAACCCAACAGGTGACGTTAGGATTTGCTCGCGGTGCCTGGATACTGGGCTGGAGATTAGGGGTATTCTGTGGATCCTTTATGCTTTTTACTACTAGTATATCTGTATACAGAGGGAAGTCTTCAATCATCGAGTAAGTACTGTACCTTTATTTAAACCTTAACATATTGTGTATTTAAACATTTTAGCACATTCCTTATTTTAAAAAGTCCAAGGAGTTACTACAGGTTAGGTCGGACTACAGTATTATGTTATTTAGTTTTAAAGGAACATTGTCTGTCTGTGTTGATAATGCGGTCAAAAGGTGTACAATACTTGGATGACACGAGAACAATACTTGACAGGCGTTTTAACTAAGCATTACTCTCTTGACCCAGTTTAAAGCACGGCATAATCTTTGCTATTAATACATACAATGTGTACTTCCCGCCATCATATTTCCTGAAGTCACAGCTGTCAAATGTGTGAATAATTCTTCTACAGTTCAAATGGCCATTTATTCTTCATTTCATTAAATATTGGTGTTAAAATATGAATCCCTATTGCATTTTTATTGACAGTCTCTCTCTCTCTCTCTCTCCCTCCAGGTACCTGGTAGGAGGAGGTGCCACCGGGATTTTATTCAAGTTAAAGCAAGGACCCCGAGCCATGGTAGCTGGGGGAATATTTGGTGGAGCTCTCGGGGCCTTAGCAGGAAGCGTGAATCTCGCAATCATGTATCTTACAGGTACGTTACCACAGTGAAGAACAGTTTGAGGCATTAGTGTGTGTGTGTGATGACTTATAACACTTGTAAAACTAATGACCATATTAGATCTTGTTACTCCATGGGTGTTTTGTTCAGTGTACTGTAGTATATCAATGAGGGTGAAGTTGTAAAACCTCACTATTCTGTCTTGCAGGTGTAACAATGGAAGAGATAAGATACTGGCAATATGAATGGAAGGAAGAACTTCAAGCAGACAAACAGGAAACACTACGTAAGGCCAGAGCTGCAGACCTCGACATACTCACCAAAGCTCACGAAGAGAGAACTGCGTCAACAACACCATTATTAGAAGTAGTTGAGGACCAAAGTGCAAGTAATAGTATAAAATCATAAACTGTTACAACATAGGATGATATTGTTGTATAATATATAGGCACATTTATTAAAGTTACAATGCAAGATATATATTTTTTTCCTATACGTAATTACCAAAATAAATTGAATGGTCCCGTACACTGTAATATAAATAGGAACTACAGCAATAAAAAAAAAATCTTCAAACAATCCCCTTCCCACTACAGTACAGAAAGAACAATATAAGGGCCCAAAATCTCTCCCTCGTTACCTTATTGCATTACCAGGTATGTTCTACTGTAGTGTTTGTATTTCACACCAAGGCCCAAAGAAGTTCAACTGGTTAACCCAGACTGTCGTACATCACTCCAGCATCACATTCATTCCTAGAGCTACTCTATGACAAGCTTTCTGGTCACTAGAAGTCAACAAAAATCAAAATAAAAGACGGACAACATTATCAAACCAAAAAAATACCCATATCAACGAGGGTGTACAGTGGTCCCTCGGTTATCGGGCACAATCCGTTCTAGAAGGTTGCTCGTTAACCGAAAAACTCGTTGAACCATTGTTTCAATGGGTTTTGGGTAATTGGTTCCAGCTCACCGAAAATTGCCTAAATTTAACAAAAAAGGTAGAAAAGTACACTTACTTTGAGGTGTGTATGTAGAAGGCTCCTGGATGATGATGATGGGAATTAGAATGGGGGTGGAGGAGAAGGGAGAAGAGAAGGCATTGGGGTGGAAGAGAAGTCACCCCATGGCGCCATTTCACCCATAAAATTTTAGTTCACTTGGTGTAATTCAATATTATTTTCTTTAAATCAACACTGCACTGCATTATATATTGTCAATATGTAAAATAAATTTCAAAATGACCAATAATTTGCTTGGGAACAGAAAAAAAACATTTATGTTGAAGAGAGTCTGAAGCAAGATGTTACCTCTACTGAAAAGACACAGACTCACGCCTGTATGGTGTGTTGACAGGCTGTTTGGCACGCAAAACGCTAGCTTCCTATACTTCAATTATGTTCAATAATTGTTAAAATGACTAAAAAATTTAATATTAAACTATTAAAATTATTGAAGAGTATAAACTTCTTGATATTTGCTAAAATGGTAAGGAATTTAAGCCCTAGAACCGATTACTGCATTGGCGGACTAATACTACAGCTGGTGGACCGCCAAATGCAAGCGAAAACATGTTCAGGTCAACTCGTATCAAACTCGTTAATTGCGGGATTGCTCGTTAACCGAAGTTAAGAATCTTATGGAAGGTAACTCGTTAACCGAAATCTCGTTAACCGAGGCGCTCGTTAACCGAGGGACCACTGTACTAAAATTAGGTCTGTACTCACCCAGTGCTGTCTGGATCAATAGATGAAAACACACTGAATTCCGTTGCCGCTATGCCTCTACGTTCATCACTAACTGAGCTCATTCTACTGAGTGGGGTGCCCGGCACTTCCTGAAAGAGAAAAAGATTACTGGAATTGAGTATAAATTATATTTGTTAATTTCAGCACTCTTAAACTGGACTAAAATAAAAAGCGGGTGAAAATTTTTTATTCTTAAAATTGACAGATGGATAATGTTGGTCACGAGAGAAGTGATCTGATTGGAGAATGGAGATAAAAGATCAAGTGTCAAATTTCTATGTTATGAAAATATGAACAATCAGATTACATTAGAGAAGGAAGGAGCACAACAAGCTAAAGCACATCCAGTTGTAAAAAGTACTGAACTTTGTTACTTAAGTAAAAGTATTGTTACATTGGCAAAATGTTACTCCAGTAGAAGTAAAAGTATCCAAATATTAATGTACTCAAGTAGAAGTAAATAAGTATCTCATTCTTAAGGTACAGTACTCAAGTAAATTATACAAAAATTGTTAACTAAAAATAAAAAATAAGACAGCATTTCACATGTTTATTTGCTAATCTTTCTATTAAGATTAATTAATAACTAATTCTCAAAATTATGGCTGTCCATTCCAGATCTTTTAGGCCCATATATATATATATATATATATATATATATATATATATATATATATATATATATATATATATATATATATATATATATATATATATATATATATATATATATATATATATATATATATATATATATATATATATATATATCATGTAAATCCACAATGAAAACGTGGATAAGATAAATCTTGATAAAATCACAGGGAAAATGGAAACAACGAGCACCTTGGCTTTCGTCTTTATTCAAGACATCTGAAGATGTCTTGAATAAAGACGAACAAGGTGCTCCGTTGTTTCCCTTTTGTGTGATTTTATATATATATATATATATATATATATATATATATATATATATATATATATATATATATATATATATATATATATATATATATATATATATATATATATATATATATATATATATATATATATAATAACGGAAGCCCCTCGAAATCGAGGATAGCCGGCCCAAGGGCCTCCTAGGCGTGAATTTGTTTAGGAGTAGAAGCTGTCGCCAACACAACAACCACACCCTAAGTTAACGAGCTGCAGGACCCAGTGTCAAGGAATAGCCCGAGAAGACTGGCTAACTGCACTGGCTAACCATTACCCCGGAATACGATCAGGCAAATCGATTAACATTCAGGCTCCCAATTACTGCTGGGTAGACAGAGGCAAATGGCACAAAGAAACTTGCCCACAGTTTCACCCTGCCAGGGGATCGAACTCGGGTCTGCTCGCTTGTGAGGCGAGGATGCTGACCATTACACCACAGTTTGCCTAAATATAAGCCCAGCATGACCTACGGAAAGAGAATACTCGTACGTTCACCGCTCTTCTCTCTACAATCCATCGCAGGGATGGTTAATGGGCTGAAAATATATCCATCCCACACTATGATCACTTTCTTCCTTATCCACACAAGTACCGTCGACGTGAACATACAGTCTGCAGACATAATGTTGTCTGCTTGCATTAGGTTAGGATAAAGCCCACTCTGGCAAGTATCTGAGGCGGGGGATGACCCGCACTGTAAACTCTGTAACTGTCTCAACACTAACACCCTTCAACACTTCTGTATTGCCTTGACTGTCCCACTGTCAGGGACCTCCTACTACAGGGAGAGTCACTAACCACTATATGTCACCACCTACTTATTCGTAATAATTTAGATGTAATTCTTGTATGCTACCCACGCTTTGGTGGTGCTAACTCCCATTGTTGTTAAATCATATCAATATTGTCACCATATCACAAGTAACAGTGTCCTGCGAGACACGAGTACCAATGTATTAGTGTCTGACCAGATGGTCTTGTGACTCGGCTTGTTGCCCCCTGGGGTGTAATAACTGAATTAAATAATAAGCCCAGCATGACTAAACAGACGTTCACAAGCACCAGATGCAGGTAGTGGGGTATTAAGCTTCAGAGATAAGTCACATTATGTCAGGAAAGACCTCAGTAGCTCCATTCCTTCCCCTGGGCATGCCAAGTAGCAATCAAGCTCCTTCATTTGAGGAGTTTGTGGATGATTGTTGCCTCCATAATGACTAAGTCTGACTAAGACTCACCGTGAACTGCCCCTCTAACTGGGGATGTGTCTGTGGTGATATCACTCTTTGATTCTATTTATGAGTGGCTGGATTTTTTGCACCACAGAATATCTGGCGGGTGTTGAGGGGAGGAGCAGTGGTACATAGTTATTTAAACAGAATCTTAAATACTGTATACTCAATCTCACACATATGTCTAGATACCTGCTTTATATATAACTTAGATGGAATTATGTAAAGCATTTTGGAATCACAGCCTCTTTGAAATTCATTTTAGGTACAGGTACTGTATATGCAAAGAGCAACTGATGTTTAATGGAAAGGTGGGGGAGAAGAGGGTGGGCTGGGTGAGGTGGGGTGGTCAAGGTGCTAATGGACACAAGAAGATCAAAGGGAAAGTCCGCTGTTATAGCCACTGCCACCTGACTTGACATCACCTCACCTCATGAGACCTCTAGGTATGTGACCGCTTGGTGTCTCCCCACACCCACGCCACACCCTTCAAGGCTCCACCCACACAACTCTTTTAACATGGTTAATATATAATTAGTTAATTAAAAAAATATTATTAGCTTGCTACAGACATTAAAACTCTGTTTGTTTGTTTTGTTTGGGCATGTAACAAGTAACACTTTGTTTTTTATATTGTATTGCAGTAAAAGTATTAGAAAACCATACTTAAGTAAAAGTACTAATTTTTTTAGTATCTTTTAAAAAGTAGATAACCAAAAATGTTAATTGAGTACAATACTCAAGTACATTTATTTTGTTACTCTAATACTCTTTGCATATCAGTAATTAAAAAGTATTGCCAGGAGAGAAATTTTAACCAGTTGCAAGACAAAACTACGATTGATAACAACTGAACTTTTGCAACTTTTATCTCAAGTATATACTGTATGGAGGATGAATCCATGTACATGTGCTTCCTCATAAACTGACCGTGAATACAGAAAATGGTTTTGCTTATTGACCTGCAGCCTTTTCATCAAACCTGATTCTATTAAAGTCTGGTGAAAATCATAGAAGTGTAATGCGATAAAACTATACTAAATATGTTTTTTTTAATTTTGGTGCAGTCAGTTCAGTAAAAAAGGAAGCGTGTAAAGCTTCTTCATGAACTACAGAATGATAATAACAGACTGGCTTATCAGTCCATGGTTTTGAAATATCACAAGCCAATAAAAGACGGTGGCTTTGTATCTGTTTCAAACTGACAGCATAAAACTAAGGCAAAAAAATCCACAAATGATCCAAGATTTTAATCCATTTTTATTTAAACAGTTGTGATCTTCACTCTTGAAAATTTCTTATAATAATTTCAGCAATTTTTGAGAGACATTCTTCACTCATTACTACAGGACAGTATTACCATAAATAATGATCCCTATAGCTCTTTTGATTATCCATCTGAAAAGTAACAAAACATGACAAGCAACACACCTGATGCAGAGATTCATCAAGAACTAAAGAATTGTTTCCACTTGGTCCTCCATTCTGGAACATGTGGACAAACTCCTCAAAGCTGATCCTCCCATCACCATCAACATCTAGTCGGCTAAACAGCTGTTCCAAAACCTGTGATGGTGAGAGATAAAGAAAATGAGATGTTAAAAAAAGGGAAAAACTATAACCAGGACCTTTAATAGAAGACCTACTGTACTGTATGTGAGAGTACTGTACGCACAGATCATCTTGTGGAGTAAGACCAAAACGTTAACATGGAAAAATGAAAAGACAGTCAGGAAAGAGATAAATTAGCAAGGTACAGCCAATGCAACCAAGCATCCGAGGCTTTGTTGAGACCTTGTTCGTGTGATTACTAATTTTAGTTAATTATTTAGTGTTGTTGGGATGTTAATCACAAGTGTCAAAATCAAAGTTACCTAGTCAAGGCATTACTAAGATACTGTTCATGTGCATAACAATTTTGAGCTTGACCAGTTAATACGCTGTCGAGATGTTATTAAAAAATAATTATTAGTGTTGTCAGTCAAATTTTTATATCTTATTCCTTCCTAGTAAGTATGGTATGCAGTATATATCTCTGGCAGCACCAAGTTCAGTAAATGTGTTAATATTAGTATGTTATACACATACTGTATAACTGCACAAACTTGACTTCTACGTTACAAGTTTCTGTACACACTAATACGCCTCAAGATCACTATACAACTCCTAGCAAATACAGCTTCCTTCAGAGGAAATTTTCAACACAAACACAAGACTTCTGATGTACAGCTAATCACTTAATTTGGAAATACCAAATGTATTACCAACAATACACATAATTCATCAGCTTGCGAGCACTACTGCCATCAACGTATGTATGGTTACCTACAACCTCAATCATCTACCTGAGCGATGATGTCACAAAGAAACCATAACTCAAGATTGCTCAATGGGTCCAGGTATTCCTTTTCCGCAGGCTGAAACATAAAGCAACCAGACACTCAGCAAGAGAGAAAGAAGTATCTAAGGATATTAAAGAACAGTGAATACCTTAACACTTCAGTAGTCAGATAGAAGGAAAAATGTCTGAGTAATACAGTAGTCAAGATACCTGAAACTTGTAATATAGCACTGAGAATGAGAAGGAAAAGTGTCAGTAAATATTAAATTATTCTCAATACAGTAAAAGTCCAACAGACCGGCATCCAGTGGTCTGGAAAGCCCAAGTGTCCGGCACAAAAAAGCTGTGACAATATTACTGTACCGTAAAAAATCATCATTACAACATTGGCGAGTTATACTGAACAATAAACTACATTATTGTACTACAGTATCATACAGTCAGGGTTGGAAAAAATCATGATTTAAAAAAAAAATAAAAAAAATCAATTTCTTTGATTTAAATAAATTTTTTTATTTAAATCGATTTTTTTTATTTTTTTACTAATTGCATTAAAATAGTATTTTTAAACCATAAAAACAGTATATTTCAACCAAAGTTTATTCAGGATAATAAACAGAAAATTGGCATTAAGATATTTATGCAGTAGATGTACCAATGGATTTTAACACAATAATATTCTTTTTGTAAAATAAAAGAGAACTGGTAACATATCTTACATTTGAGCGCACAAATCCAAACGTAATAATGAAATTTAACATAAATGCTCTTATAGGATTACAGTGTTTCAAAAATTAATAACTTAACTTCTTCAAGTCAACAGAATAATATTCTCATTTTGTAAAAAAAATAATACTGGTAACAAGTTTAAGAATTACCGGTAATAACTTCAAGTCAACACAATATTCTCATCCTGTAAACAACAAAAATAGTTCAAAACATTTAAATTAGCTTAGTTGAACATTGAAATGCTTATGTACTGTGACAAGCTTAGATGCCTTTTCCTGTCCTAGGCGATTTCTTACCTTTGAGTGTACAAATCCATATGTGGAAAAAATTCTCTCAACCCCTGCTGATGATGCAACAGCTGTAAATAATTGCCTAGGAACATCCATTACATTTTCTGTCATATCATTGGCAAAATACTGCCACCAAGCAAGGGGTGAGAGAGATTTTACAACATCTTTACCAAAATAGACCTCTTTAAATGGTGCACTTCTTCCATGGAAGGACATTAATGTTGAAAGGAAATGTGGAAGAGACTCGCACACATACTGTTCTGCAATGTCTCGCTGCTCAGGAGTCAGATGTCTGCCCTGATACCTTGGATCTATCACATTAGCTAGAAAATGGGCAGGTGTCAATGCTACTTTGATTCTTTTTTTCAAAATTATCCATATCCTTCTTATCTGTTAAATACTCCTTAATATCAGTTTTCAGTTTTACCCAGATTTCTACAGCATCACTTAATAGGGTATGTTCTCTCTGGACACAGTCCAATGCCACAGCAATAGGCTTAAGTCTCTCTAAATAGTCTTCTGCAGTTCTTTTTAATGCCTTATCATTAACTTTCCTTTCAATTTTCTTATCAATGTCTTCACTATTTTCTTTGCACACTTTGACAAGGGTCTCCCAGTTCTTTAAATAAGATTCAATAGAATCTGTCACTGTGTTCCATCGTGTGTCTGATGGCATTACTAGCATTGTTCCTCCTGCTCTTCTATACAAAGATCCTGGGATGTGATGATTTCTGAAGTACTTAATGATTTCAGTAATGTGCTCCTTAATGTTCTTGATTTGCAGGTCTTGTGAAAGCAAATTTAACAGGTGTGCAGAGCAACCATATGTTATAATGGATTTATCTTGTCCGAATTCACTTCTCATTTTTGCCATATTAGCAGCATTATCTGTTACACAGCTTCTTACTGTGCATCCAAATTTGTCTTCACACTTTTTTGTAGCACATTCAGCTAATTTCAACAGATATTCAGCTGTGTGTCTTGATTCTGTGTCTATAGAGTCAACAAGATAAATACGGTTGTCCGCTGTTAAAGTTATACATACTATAGGCTCATTATGGACATTACTCCATCCATCCATGGCCATGCAAAATGTTTTCCCACTAAGTTCTTCTGAATAATTCTTAATCACTGAATCGTAGGCTTGATCCAAAAGAGACCCTCCAATTTAATGTCTATTAGGTGGAACATATCCTGGTCTTAGCATTTTAATCATCTAGATGTTATTAGCCTGCTGCATTGCATATACTTTTCAATCATGTAGAATAAAAAGAGAAAACAGTTATTAGTAAAAAAATCATTTTGATTTAAATCATGATTTTTTTACTCTGATTTAAATCGTGCGATTTAAATCATTTGATTTAAATCATAACAACCCTGAATTATTATTCATACTGTATCTTATTATATACTTTTTACTTTGCATACTGTATCATTTATTTTACTTTACAATACATAAGAAAATTTTATTACAGTATATCACATATAAGTGAAAATAAAGCCTCTTGAGCTTGCAACTAGAAGTAACATCCAATAATCTGGCATATCTCATGATTCAGCACCCCCCTACACCCAGGGTGGAGGATTATTGGACTTATACTGTACAGTACCTGAAACCGTAATACTCAAATGAGAAGTGTAAGTGTGCATAAACATTACAGGCATCTTAATAAAGTAAATCCTCCATTTATATGAGTTAGTTCTATGCAACTTTTAATATATCATATCACATGTTTGGAACAAAATTATGATACAGCTTCCTCAGCTCAACAAAATGCAGCTTCTGGTACAGGTACTAAATATTTTAAATGAAGGACTGATCTTGATATCCCATTTTATAGCTAAGTCCATAACTACGAGACTTATGAATATTAGCTGTGAGTACTGTATTGGGTTCAAACATGAGCTTAAGTAACCCCTTGGTATTAAAGATTGGGATTAATTTATGAATTACTTACACATCCCCACTGGACCCCAGTCCCCAAAAGAAGCTTTAGAAGCAACAGTTCATTATTTAAAGTTTAAAGCTGGGATTAAAGGAAATGTTGTTTTGGAAGAGGAGAAGAGATTTGCAGTGACTCTGGATAAAGCAGTTTTTGTTTCTGCACTTCCCTATCCACTTATGATGAAGCTGGGAAAATCCTCCAGAGTCAACTAAATGACTCATAATTAGTTTTTCTTTTTCAATAGGAAGCAACATGGTCTTACTAAATCTGGATCACAACCTTCACTATGTGTTGCATCTAAAGTTCCCTCTCTGGGCTTGGTTGTGGCAGGGAAGGTTATTTAATTTATGAGACTATGATGCTTAAGAGTTAGGCCAAGGTTTGCAATGCACACTAAGAATGCCAATAAGTACTGGAGAAATTAGATAATAATCGCAGAAAAAGACAATAGTTATTAAGAGATCCAACAGATTAATAATAAAAATTAACAAGAAAAGTAGATAATGAATTATATAGAAATACATAAAAAGAAAACATTAAGAGCATGTTATAATATTGTAGATACATTACTGTATACCCAGTATGTCTTGGGCTAAGAAAAGTATGTCTTATAAAAGTTTTACTGTTAACGTGAAAAAATTTAAGGAAGATATTGTACACACATTAAAAAAAATTGTGAAAGTCCTAAAGTGGCATAGCTACTGTACTGTACTGTAGGCCTACCTCATTTGCGACTTTCTCCATTCCGATTGCATGACAGACTGTAGCGAGCTCATCCAGGGATAGGAAACCATCGTGACCCACCCCTAAACGCTGCCAGGTAGCACGAAGATACTCCTGAAGAACATGAGTATAATATATGTTCAAGTTTGTTGTTTACATTATAAGACTAACACAGCTAAACACATACACAATCTCCATAAATTTTTCTCATATACAACAAATATTATAAAACAATATGAATATCTCTTTACATAAACAAGATTCATTAAAATTTAATACCACAGCGAACACACAATACATCTGTCTGACCTTTGACGCCTATTACCAACTTTTACCTTTAACAGACTAGAAATTCATGCTTAGCACTTCATTTAGTAATTGAGATATTCATGGGGAAGGTTCAACAAAATATCTGTCAATGAATGTAGGTCCCATAGGCCAGAGAACCAGTTAGGATGAGTATGGCTCCAACTCTAACAATAATATACAAAGGCACCAGAGTTAATTGTGTTAGTTTGCACATTCCAACATAATTTAATCTTTTTTTTTTAATACTCAAATCACTGGTAACTAAAAATATATAATAAAAGCAAGGATTAAGTGGCACAGTTGACCTTGATGATTCCTGTAAACAATAAAGATCTTTTGTACAAATCTTAGGGGAGTAACAATAAATAATAAAACCTTTCACACCATAATTCATACAGAGAACACAATGAACGAAGAGTGAATACAGACCTCCTCATTGTCACCAGAGTACGCCAGACTGTTGGGCTGACTACCCTGGCCGGCTTCTTGGCTCGTGCCCACACTTGTACTCAGTCGCTCCTCTAGATCTTCCAAGGGCTGCAACGTCCCCCAAAATTTGTTAGCCAGTTACTAAATGTTAATCATTATGTATTGTGAGACAAGTAAGCGTGAGGGAAAAATAATAAACTTTCCTCCTCATTTTATCCTGTTGAGGTGATCCTAAAACTAAGTGCCATGTGGTATGATATCCAAACTGCATGACAATTTTCTTTCAGGATAAATACTAACCAAACTCACAATCATACTAGGATATATAAGGTTCAGCGCGTAGTTTACCCATAATGAAAGTTTCCCAAATTTTAGATGAATAAGCTAATATCATGTAAGTTAACAGAATATAACATGACCTAACCATACCACAATATAAACACGACTTATTCACGAGAGAACATTTTACCAGGTACCGGTATTTACAATTTCCCCAGGAATTTTACAATATGCCCGACCTTACAATTTGCCTGTAACGTACACTATATAATCAATATTTTCAATCTAGACAATAGATAATGATACAGTACAGTGGTCTCTCTAAAGTGGTTGACAATAAATAACTTTCTAAGCACAAAATCTCATCACTAAGCAATTGAAAAGTTCCCCAAATATGACAATAAGAAAACCATAAAATGTCTATTCTTTATACTCCATAAAAGGATTGTTCAAAAACATAAATATACAGAGTAAATCTTGCCCACTGAACTGTATTTAGTGCATCAACTACACAAAACCTGTCCTTCCTACAGTGTGAGATCATAGAAGGTAGTTTAAAATATTTTGTATGGGTAAATTATAGCAGCAACAAGTAAACAAAATACACACAAGATTCAAGTAACTACTGTATATATTTTACATTACATAAAATATACCTTACAGAATAATGCAGTAACATAATATATAAATAGAGGAAATGGCATTGATTACAACATGATCATATCTACTTTTTTTCTTCATATACTATAGTCATAACTGTTAAGAGCAAATAATGTGATGGGATGTAATATGTTCCAATGAAAAACATCAAAATGATAAAATGATAAGTTAATAATTAGTGCAGGGAACAGCATCTGAACACATTTTTCTAGACCAACAGATAATGTGTAATGTTTTCCAATACATTTTAAACTAATTTTGCTTTACTTAATAATATTTAATTGAATAAATATAAAATAATCATGTACTGTACTCAAAGTATATTACAGCACAGGTAAATGATCAAAAAAATAAAAATAAATAAATAAAAATAATATATATTTTAATTTGATGCTCACTTAATAAGGCACTTCACCCGCAGCTAAGTTAGTCATGAAACATCTACTGTTTAAATGTTTGTCTTATATCTTATTTCTATGGCAATAACCTCCATTTTTTGTGAAGGTTAAGTAAAAGTTTAAGTGTAAATATCAATTATAACTATTTAAGCTTTACAATTATATTTGAGTTGTATTATGGGACTCAGGAACCTAACACCTAAACTCAACTGATCTACTCTGTACAGGATGTGTGGGAACATAACCTGGTTGGAGATTTACTGTTATATAATTGGTGTAGTTACCTGACTCAAGCGCACGGTGCAAGTGGCCTTCTCGGCATCCTCTTCGATCGGTGACTCACAAGAACCCTCCATAATGGCACCACCTTTCCTTACCCCACAAGATGAATTGGGAATGCTCATTTTTTCTCCATGTGTTATATATGAAATCTGTGAGAGATATTCCTGAAAAATATTGCAATTATGAAATACAAGAAACACTTTTATCTAATACACTGTACATCTAAAGGTTTAGTTGCGAGACAGCAATACTAAGTTAAAGCACTACATGATATTCACAATCACCACATTTAAACTTTGTTATAATTCAAACTCTTAACCTGAAAATCTACTACAGTATAGCTAGTGATGTATTAATTTACCTGAATAGTTATCTGATCTATTTTCTCTCAAGCCATCTATTTATTGTTCAATCTATGTATCTATTGTGTTTATCATCAGATAGATATGTTATGCAAGCTTTATAAACTTCAATCATCCTCAACTTGTGCTGAGTGAAGTAATTTGAAGCAATTCTCTCATCTTCAATAATTCACAACTATGCATTTTGTTCCCTCAGCTGATTTGTCAGTTAGTGTTACTTTTTCATTCAATATCAATACAATTCTTTGTCACTGCACAGTCTGGTCAGTCACTGGTAGAACTCTCTGCATCTCATTAAGAGGGCCATGGCCTACAAACTCTTGTTAAATGAACAGCAGAGATTAAAAACTAACTTTGTGTTTAAATTAGTCTGCCCTTTGCTATTATAATAGTCTACAAACCAATTTCTGTAACACTTTTATTATACAATGGGCAAAAAATCAGAGCACTATAACTTGTATTTGGGGGTAAATAAATAATTTAAAAACAAGAATAAATTCTCACTGTTAATTAAAAAATAAACCTTACAAGCTCATGCTGTTACAGCAGACACAAACAATTCTTGAAATAATAAAACTATAATAAAATTTAATAAAATTTGGAAAACACGTTGAATATTAAGCAGCTTGCTTCCCACTCTCATCAGGTACACCAAACCAGGAATCATAGGAACAGACTAAAAACCCAAACTGGGCAGATTTAACGTAATAATCTACGTTTCAAACAAACAAATAAAAAACATTAAAAGGTTTTTTAAATTATTTCATAAGTAATCATTAGGAGACTTTTGTTTGATTAAAACTTGAACAAATTAACTAAATAAACAAAATGTGTTGCCACACTTTACACAAATACTGTACATGGTTGAGAAAGTTGAAGACATTAACCACTTCACTACTGGATGCCACATTTAATATTTAATTTGCCAAACACCAGTCAATCATATTCAGCACCGAGAGATCCCTTGTACGGTAGTAAATTCTTATTCTCTGATAAATGGAATGACAAATACAGTTGCTATGTAATTCTATACAGTACAGTATATGCTTGGTGCACATAAACTATATAGAATTACATAGAAATTGTTAAGGAAACATTAATGATTTTAATACCGTGGATGATGTCCATGATACTGGTAGTTCAAATTGAAGTCAGTAAATTTCTATGACATTCTTAATTTTTCTGGTTCGGGAAAGATTTTGGTTGGAACAAATTTTTTAGTTTATATTCAACAAACATATGATTTTTTGTGTGTGTGTACAGTACGCCCATATAATTTGCAGATTTCTATTTCGCGGTCCTCTAATATTCACGGATGGCACCCTGAATGTACCCAAGAATGTCTGTGGGTAGTTTTCAAGTTGTCGGAATTTTTGCGGCTGAGACAGGGAGCCATTCGTTCTAGAGACAGTAATTTCCTGTATCTGTATTGTATAATGTGTGTGTATATAGACACACACACACACACACACACAAAACACATACAAATAAATAATAATGGGAAAAATCCTCTCACAAATAATTATCAGAAACAAATGTAGCATTAAAAATGTTGAGTCTACCCTCAAGTCCACTCTGTGCTTTATTAATAACAAAGCACAGAGTGGACTAGAGGGTGGACTCAACATTTTTAATGCTACATTTGTTTCTGATTATTTGTTAGAAGATTTTTCCCATTACAGGTACTCCTCAAATTACGACATACTCGACTTATGACAACCCGGACATACGACCGCCGTGGTCGTATAAAATATTTTTCAAATTACGTATTTTCTAGTCCCGACGTTAGTGATCGCGCTGTGTACTGACAAAATTTTCGTTTGTAATTCCCTTTAAAATGGCTGGCAAGCATAAAAGTGAGAGTTCTCGTGGTGCTGAGAAGAAAAAGAGACACCCATTTTAGAATTTCTATGTACAGGTATTACTTTCACCTTTTCAACTTATGACCTGGTCGTCGGGACGGAACCCCTTCCTAAGTCGAGGAGAGACTGTATTATTTATTTGTATGTGTTTTGTGTGTGTGTCTACACATACACACACGTGTATACAATACAGGTAAAAGAAATAATTGTCCGAAGGGCAAACACATAAAGGGAATATACATTTCTTTGTAAAATGTACTCCCCCCCCCCTCCCGCCCGGTCAGCAAATCTTATTCGTGGATTTGGTGATTCAAGGCCATTTTGAGAACCTAATGCCCGTGAATTTGAAGGGAATGCTGTACTTATATTCACTTTAGCTCCCTAGGTTTTTACTTGATATACTTTAATCGTCACATATTTTGTTTCTCCACAATTGTATTCATAATGTTGTGAAATACGCATATTCAATTTTACCCCAAATGTGTCCGAAGCCGCCCCATGTCCAGAATCACCTCATTTCACAGTACAGTATTTCAACTCAAAAAACAATTCTGAACAATATATTTTATAGTTTCTTTTAAATTTACCAACTTGGGAGAAATTCCATGAAAACTTTGCCAACTTATAACAAAATGGACAACAATCTTACAATAAGTTCTTAACAATAGTTTGAATTTGATAAAAGCTGCCAGACAAAAATGGAATAAAAATTAAGTTTTACTGAAATACTTTAACAGCTCGGCCACATGTACTTCTGGAGCTGCTCCGAGGTGTTAGCAAATGAAAACAAAACATCGCTAAAGTGTGAAATTAATAGAAATGAATGACTGAGAATTTCTGAAAACATATATATGGTCATTATTTATGTTTAATGGCTCATCCTTGTCAAAATTAGATTAAGATCAATGATTATATTAAGTCCTGCAGGCAACATCTTCACTTACAAACATTAATCAAATCCTAAACCAATTATGATAAACTTTTTATAATAAGTGCATCCATTTAGTAATAAACTAGGCAGAACTCTGATGGAATTTGATATAAAACCTTTTCTTTATTAATTTTCTTGATTTGTTTGTAAAACTATATAATTTCTTTAATTCTTTTCATGACCTTACTACAACACTTTCCCTCTTCCTCCCATCCCTCCTCACTACTCACAACATATTAATGACAAACTAACCAAAAAAACATTTCCTCCTCGTCTTAAAGTATAATATAAACTCACTATCATAAACTAGTTAAAGTTAAGCCACAATATATCGATTATTGAAGCAGTATCCATCTTTATGGCCTTGGGATCATCCATAAATGCCTTCCAGTAATAAAACATATCCGTACATCACACCTTAGTAATAATAACAATACCATAAAAGACGACCTATAAAATCCCTCAATAAAAATTAGATCTTTAATAATAAATCACTTCAACAGTGTATTCTGGGCAGGGTTCACGCGCACCCATAACTAACCACCTATAAAACACCACAAACCTCTACTTTCTCGGGTCTCTAGGAGTAATATAAGGGTAGATAAAAGGTTAAACTTCTTCCTTACTCTCAAATATTAAAGATGAGTGCGAACAGGATGGTATTAATCGCTACAGTTGGTCAGATCTCAGGTAGGTCTCACTCCTTCCTTCAGTTGGCCATTGTAAACACACCTGACATGTATAGACGACATAACCCTAACATGGAGTATAGATGACATAACTCTCTTCCCTATAAGGCAATTCGATTCTATTTACAAATTATACACATTGACAAAATTATAAATGTAATTATAAATGTAGTTTTATGATTATATTTTATAACTAAAATTAATGATATAGCTAATAGTGGGTAATGTAATATTATAGAGTGATCAGTAAGTATATACAAATCAATACAGTAGGAAAGTCTTCAGGTAACTAAAGGTATTGGATTCTAAATACAGGTTATAGTGATTATAGTGGTAATAATGGTATGGCGATGCAGTTTTAAACCACAGTTTGAATAATGATGGTAATAATTGTTGTAATAAAGTCAAGTAAACTCTAAGGGCAAATTAGCTACCCGGTAAATCAGTTAAAGTCTTTACTCCACCCATTAGGCTACGTGATCTAACTAATGGGCGTAATTAATTTAAGAGATACAATGGGGACAATTTCAGTGTTATTAGTTGATATTAATATAACAAAGTAAAATGATTAGGAAATGTAAATGATTAGGTTTAGTACAGCGGTAAACGTCAGGTAGTGCGCATTACGGTATCCTTCAGGTTCAGTGACTTCAGGAAGCTCTTTAATTTGAACATTAACGGCACTGAACACATTCATATCTTAACTAAAAGGGGACACTAGCTTATTTCTTACATCAGTTATTGTTCTTTTGATATTTATTTCCATAAGTTTCGAAATTGTATCTGTTGAAGAGACCATAGAAGGAACGTAAGCCTTTGAGCCACACCCAATGTATATTAAGTCAGGCACATCAGCTATTTGTGTATAAAAGTAAAGAAAACAACAGTTATTTACAAAGAATATCCATTAAAACAGCTTTATAAATAACTACTTTACTAAAAAAAAGATAATGTTAGTTTACCTCTGATTAAGTTAAACTGTTATTTGCATTTACGAAATAATAAATACATTGCGCTATAAAGGGATTTGATCATAACTAATGTGTGTCTTATTTAGTATGGTTAATTTATTTAATATATTCAATTAACCGGAAACATAAATAACTGTCATACATCACCTCTCTCCTCCTCTTCCTCCCTCACTTACCATCTACATAATCTTCCTCCCATGCTTATTATGCATTGTTTCTTTAATAAATGGCAGTGTTTAATTGAGATCTTGACTTTCTTTCCTTTTTAGTGTCACATTTCATCAGTGTCGAGTGCCAATTAGATCTTCTGTCCCTCTTAAATCATTGTTTCATTTTCAGATGGTCTCTCTCTCTCTCTCTCTCTCTCTCTCTCTCTCTCTCTCTCTCTCTCTTTCCGTATCTGTTTCTCGTTCCGTCTTTCTCTCTCTCTCTCTCTCTCTCGGCAGATGAGTCAAGCAGAATATTTGTATAAGCAGGAAGTGTTTGATGACGAGCCGTGTTTTATATTTCCCCAAAACAAGTTGTCAAGTTTCATTCTATTATACAATATCATAACTACCAACATTATGGCATTATTATAAAGTAGCTATATATTTTACAGCGTTTAATCAGCTTGCCTTTCCTGATCTGACCAACAGTATATTTAGTGAATGAGTGAGTTTTCTGTGTGCAAGTACAGTAACGGTGCAGCCTAGAGCAGTCAACGTCCGGTCACCGCTGTTAGTCTCTGTTGTGGTTTGGTTAATTATAGTATATTCCCGCACATTTGAGACATTTGTACATCAATTGGGAGTAAGAGAGAGGATGGGTTGAAGGTAAGGATCCCGGGTGCTTTCTAATGGCTCTCTATAAACCTTGTAGGGGTATCGAGATATTAATGTTGTCTAGCACTCAGGATGGAAGAAAACTCTAATGTGGTTTTCTTATATGATATAAGTTATATGATAGACAGTCTGGTGCTGGAGGTGCCGTGTGGTGGGGAGCTGCTCAGTATAAGACGTTCGGTGAGTAGCGTGTTGAAGGAGGTAGATGTGCAGGAGCTTCGTTAGAGAAGATGTTGCCTGTTGCTGGCCTCCTGGTTGAATAAATGCTGACAGCGTGGAGCTTGCTGGAGGAGGTGTTGCTTGTTCAGGAAGATGGGCAGAATGAGAGTTGGTTGGTGAGGAAGCTCAGAGAAGGACAGCTGGTGGGTCGCCATGCTCGCTGGCGGGAGCGAGGGCCGCCAGGCAGGCGAGGAGAAGCGAGGGCCGCCAGGCAGGCGAGGAGAAGCGAAGGCAGCCAGGCAGCGGCGGAGGAGGAGGTGTTGCTTGTTCAAGAAGAATGGTCAGAATGAATCTCAATGGAGAGACAGAGCTTATATACCCAGCAGCAGTCGCCAGTCCTCTATGAATCATGTTGGGAAAACCCAGAAAGTCGCCGGTGACTAGTTCCGTTGCTAAGATACGGTAACATCTGGTTGGTTGCTAGGGAAGGCGGTAGCAGGTGGTGGCTGTGGCTACGCAGTTGTAGGCAGTTGTAGGGGAGACGTCCACTACAACCTTTCTCTTAAATCATTATCAAGGAATCATTAATGCTCTTCGATGAATCTCTGTCATGCATTTTAGAGGATTAGATTCCCCTCTCATGATGAATCGTTAAAAGTCCTGAAGAGGTAAGTGTAAGTTAAGGGCAACGGGTCTAAAGGTTCTAGAAACCTCTCTCTCTCTCTCTCTCTCTCTCTCTCTCTCAGGAGTTCAGTGACTACCATATGTTCAGCGACTCCCATAGGCTGGCTATCTATCTATCTATCTAACCTATCTATCTATCTATCTAGGAGCATACCCTGTTAAGCTGGGTGTATTGTTAATTAAGCTGAAAATATTGGAAAGCAATACTTGGAAAATATACTTCAAGCTGAGTGTCTAAGAGGATGTATCACTCCGACTTGGTACTCCTCTGGCCGTCTGTCCATCCGTCTGTCTGTTCGTCCGTCTGTCCGCCAGTTCGTCCAGTTCGTCCTTACAGTAACTTAAGTACTATTGGTCACGTGAGAACCAAACTTAACACACACGTTATTTATGTACAGGTGATGAACTCTATTGATTTTGGTCGTCTTTGGAGGTATGAGGCATTCTTATGATAGCAGTTCTTCCTTCCATCGTTTTCTTTATCTTCCTCTCTTTTTTTTTCATTTCTTCCGCCCTTCCTTCCCTTCTTTCCTTTCTTCCCTTCTCTTTCATCTTTCATTTCTTTTCCTTACCTCTTTCCCTTCTTTAACTTCCTTCCTTCCTTCCTTTCCCTCTATTACACGTATCTTGATCTAACCAACGCTTGTCCATAATTGTCCAGTCGTCCCTTTAAGTTCATGTAGAAGGGGTGGGAGGGGGTGGGGGGATATCGTGAGTTGACAGGGTAGCATGACACCTAAACACACCCTCAGAGACCTTGACCTACAGTACAGACCAGTTATCGACCATCTCTTTGTTATGTACCTGGGCGCCGGTCTCCAAGATCCGTATGTTGAATTTTCCACCTAAATGTATTGTTAATAACGCATTAATTTTGACCCTGTGCGTAATAATGGTAGAATAAATTAAAAGTATGAAAATTATACCGAGAACTCTGTATCTTTAACTTGTTACGTGCTTTTGGTGAATAAATTTAACGAAAGAAATTTCTGAGAATCGTTTCCCTGGAGTTACCTGTCACACATCTGTTGAGATATGGAGAATATGTCTTGGTTTATTGTTTGGACCCGGCAGATCAGTCGGGGGTCTTATGGCAAGCCAATGCTGTAATGGTTATAGCACTGTGTTGGCCCTGTCCATTATATGTCTGTCTGTCTATCTGTCATGTTGAGTTATTCAAAAAGGGAGACAGAGCATCAGCGTCAAATTACCGGCCGATCAGTTTGACGTCAGTAGTGGGGAAATTTCTTGAATCAATTATAGCAGATGGCATCCGATCGCATTTAGAGAATAGCAAATTAATCTACGACTCTCAACATGGGTTTACAAAGGGAAAATCTTGTCTAACAAATCTGCTAACGTTTTTTAGGAAAGTCTTCGAGGTAGTAGATAATGACGAAAATTACGATGTTATTTACTTAGACTTTAGCATATCCATATCACAGATAGGCAAAAACTTAACTTGATTCCCTAAGGCTCAAGAGTGCGGAGATATTGGGAAGTGATCAATAAAGGGGATATAGATAAAGTTCTTATAATATCCGAGCAGGATAGGACTCGGAGCAACGGATTCAAGTTGGATAAGTTTAGGTTTAGGAGGGAGATAGGAAGAAACTGGTTCACAAATAGGGTGGTGGAAGAGTGGAACAAGCTTAGCAACTTTGTAGTAAGTGCTGGAACTCTGGAAAGTTTCAAAAGGAGGCTAGATAGATTCATGGATGATAGAGAGTGGTAGTAACTCTCGACAGGAGCTGCCTATTGCAGACTCCTTATTTTCTTATGTTCTTATGTTCTTATAACTTATGAACGATTCGAGGTGAACTTTTTATTATTTGTTTTCAGAAGAATCATGCTCAGCTAGCCTAACCTAATCTAACCTAACAGCATGAGATAATTTGGTTGAGTTTGTGTTTGTTTACGAGGAACATTATCAAAAATCTCTCTCATAGTCTCTCAGCCCCCTCCCCTCTCTCTCTCTCTCAGCCTCCCCCTCTCTCTCTCTCTCTCAGCCATCAAGACCCGCGACGATTCATGTTGAGGTCTGAAGTGTTGACCAGCTCACACACCTGACGCCATCACTACTCTTACATCCGGGTCTTTGTAATCTACATACCAGTCAAGTGGAATTAGATCCCATAGGAAGAATGTTTGTGTGTTTGGTGATGTTGTTATTCTTCACATTTATAGAGGTTACCATTATTGTTGTTGTTGTTATTATTATAAGTATTATTCTTATTGCTATTCTTATTGTTATTGTAATATTATTATTGTTATAATTATTGGTTAATATTATTATTATCATTATTATTATTATTATTATTATTATTATTATTATCATTATCATTATTATTATTATTATTATTATTATTATTATTATTATTATTATTATTATTATTATTAT